GATCGAGATTCATGAAATCATTATGTTCGATCATTGGTTTAGCTGGAATCTATCATTGTACTGTATTGCATAACAATACTCTTATTTCTTTCTTTCTTTCTTTCTGATCATTATTATCATTATTATTGATATCATTCAAATCATTAGATCCCATTCGAACAAGTCAATATGGAATCAGCATTTGATAATCACAATACAATAATGAGACATATTGTGAGAACCATTTGTGTTGTGGTTTGAATATGAGTATTTCGATAATGGCCTTTCTTGGAATCCATTGTTTGATTGTATATTCAATATGCTGTTTGTGATTGTACACCGATGAATCCACAAATCACAAATTTCGAATGAATCTTGATCGAACGACTTCAATCGAATCGTTTTGACAAGATTCATTGCACTTAATCGAATTGAATCAATAGGAATCGACACAATCCATATTTGTTTGTTGAGATAGTATTAATTTGGATAATACTCAATGATTCATTATTGTTTTGTTTTCTCTTTTTGTTATTGTTTTGTTTAGATATTGCTTATCTATTTTTGATTATTCCATTTTTCATTTGTTGTTGTTGTTCAACTTTTGGAATTGATTGTAGTTCATTTTATTATTTCATTTTCGATTTTGATTTTTAGTTTATTCTTGTTTGTTTTGCTATTCTTGAGTTTTCTTTGTTTCTTATTTTCTTATATTTGGGCATTTTATTTCTTTTCCTTTTTTGTTTTGTATAATATGATTTTAATTTGTTTTTAGTTTTCTGTTTTGTATTTTCTTTTTCTTTATTATTCCCTTTTTTAATATTCTAACATTCATCCTTTTATTATTCACTATCCACCAGACAAATTGGATTGTGTCGATTCTTATTGATTCAAATCTCATAAGGAAATATGTGATTATTTGTTTGGATTGTTCCATGTTTTGTTTTGCTTATTTCTGTTTGTTTTCTGTTCATCATCATCATTATTATTATTATTATTATATATCCATTTTAACCAATCATAGAATCAATCATGTGCCATCAGTTTGAAACAACAATACAAATTCCACAGATCATTGCCAAAATGAACCAGATAGAATTGTTCCAATCATAACCAATCGAAATGTGTTCCTATTAAACCAATCAAATCAAATCAAATGATCAAGCGGAATAGAATGAAACACAATGAATCAAATCAAATCAAATCACCTAACAAGATAAGATAAGATAAGCTTAAACTTAGCAAATGGAATTGAAATCTATGAAAATCATATGAAATCAATTCCATTCTATTTATCAACAATACTCGAATCGATTTCGATTGAACATACCCCAATGATACAAGTAGATTGACATTTTGAAACAGATTTGGAATATCTATTTACCATCTCTATTCAATATTTAGATCCACTTTCCAATGTCACCAAAACGAGGACAACAGAAACTCCATTATACAGAAGTCAGTGATGTTAGACTTGGAAGATCCAAAGCAAATCATTTCGAATCGATTCATTGTTACTTCGAAGTGTCAATGAAGTTGAATCATCATTACCATCCCATCTTTCTCCCCTACCTTCCAGTATCCGATATCATATGACACATATTGTCTTTCCTTCATCATTCATTCATTCATTCTGTTTTCCTTCATTACTCACTCACTCAATCACTCACTCATTCATTTATAGATTATGGATCATTGATTGTCATAAAGGAAACACTTGATTCTTTGCTTTCATTGATTCCATTTCTTCTTTTGTTGACAAGGAATATTGTTATCGATTTTGATGGTTTGGAATCAATGAATGAATGGTAGGGGAGAAAAAGAGAAGTAGCAATAGCAGCAACAACATCCACAGCAACAACAACAATAATAGTAGTTGTAGTAAGCAATGGACCAAACTATCTACCAAATGAATTAATCAATAATCAGAACCTACAATACGAAATCATTTCAAACCAATCAAATTGATGATTCGTGACAACAATCAATCTTTCCATGGAAACCGACAATCAAATGATCTTCTCTTCATTTATATTTAAATCTGAATCGATTCACATAGATTCATAAATTATGCGGATTGTTTCACAAACAAACAAACAAACAATTCATTGACCTGCAGGAGATCTTGAGCGGGCCGTTGACCGCCTGTTATATCCGTACCTTCCGACCTTGGACTTCTTCCCAGTAGCCGACCTCTTGGGTCTGCTTGCTATCCCTTTGCTCCACATACCATAAAAAGTAAGCCGATCATAGTGAGTGCTTTGCAAAAATTTTGCTAGTTCCTCACATACAACCAACTCACTCCTCTCCCCAAAGAACTTCTTACAACCAATACCTGGTGCCTGAATTTCCTCACAGTCCTTCCTTCCTTCCTGTGTTCGGGACCCAATTGTCCTTCCCAAGGCTATCCGAACCACGATTCTCCCCAGACGAGGTACACACAGAACCAAAACCATTTCTCATCGAACCCTTAACAATATCTCTCCAGTCTGCACAATAAATTCTTTGAATGACCCTCCGTCCCAAGGATCCTCTCGGAATAACACTGCAATCACCAAAACCACGTAGCGAGCCTCTCACATCCACCGGGTCCTTACACAATAGACATGGGCGAAATCGGCTGTCCACAGCGATGTGAGTAGAAACTTGACACGCGTCACCAGAATCCGCAGTCGAAAACGTCGAATTAGCAGTCGTCGAAGCAGTCGTAGAAACAGCGCGAGAACCTTCGTCGTTCTTGTCCGGAGTAATTCCAGTTATCGGTAAGCTCTTCCCAGTCGTCCGTAGGGTCTGACATTCCGTATCCTTCCTATCGATTAAAGGTATAATCTCGGGGGTCTGAGAATCCTCGTCATCCGTGGGTGACTGTCGGTGTGTCACCCCTTTCGTTCCCTGTGCAACACGATCGTTGCGTAACTTGAAAGCCAGCAGAGACTCTATTGGCTCATTGTCTGAAGTAGATCTGTCGTTTGTCGACAATCCGTGGGTGTCTCTCCATGTCCTCTCCTGTACCAGTCGTAGACGCTTTCGGTTCGACGGGTCCAAGACAGTCTTCCTACTGTCAGTCCATCTTGATCTTGTCCTCGTTCCAGTCTTGTCCTTGTTCCAGTCTTGTCCTTGTTCAAAGTCTTGTCCAAAGTCTTGTCCGCAGATAAATCCTTGTCCTTGTCTGAGCACTTGGTCGCGATCTTGAAAAACTCGTCGATTCCAGACTGTCTATTCTTCTTCCTACCCGGTACCTGTGGCAAAGAGCTCACCTTAACCGGCGCCGAAAAGCTAGTTGGTGGGTGTGATAGCGACACAACTAACCAACTTTTCCCTCTCAGGCACGCCCCCAGGCGTCGAAACTCTCCCGCTCTCTACTTGATCTCCCCTTGCAGGTCCAACACTATGATCCGACTTTGTCCCTCCGCGTCTCGGACTTGTGTCCTTCTCTAGCGCTCGTGTCAACCTACTAGCTGCCTCGGAGTCGTTCGGACTATCGGGCAGAGGTAGGGCATCCCTCTTCACAGACTTCTTCTTCACTCCCTGTATTTCTGCTTTGTGGGTCGACACATCATCCAATCCGAGAACCATCCGGATCAGAGAAAGGCCCCACTCACACTCCTCACCCAACGTGAGCCTCTCTCTGATCCTCTGGACCAAAGCCAATCTTTCTTTCATATATCTCCGGCATTTAAAGAGGAAGTGCTCCAGGGTCTCCCTCTCGCACTCTCCGCAGCAAGGACACTTACACCCTTCTGGCCCCTCTAGCTTAGGGTAGTGCGTCTCCACACAACACCAGCTCCCACAGCGCATTTCCAGGATTACCTGACACCCTCTCGCCAATTCCGGATGCCTGAACCACAGGTCCAGGTAGCGCCGGTTGATGGCTCGTCCTCTTGTCAAGTACGTCCTCAGAAACTGCGCATCGCTCTCCTACAGCTGGCGTATCCAAAGGCGTGGAATCATCCTCCGTACATATGAGATCTCGAAGGAGTCCAAGGCTAATTATAGGTAAGGATGTAGTAGGCGGTGAACAGCCCGCTCAAGATCTCCTGCAGGTCAATACTTTGTTTGCTTGCTTGTTTGTTAACCCTCAACAACCCTCTCCCTTATGAATTATTTCGAATTCTCTGTTTGTTCTATTTCATAGCGACTGATTCGTGATTTGGTAGCTATAAATCATTCAACAGGCTCGGTCATGTTTCAAACAAGACAAGCAATATTGAATTGATCAGTTTTGAGAACCATCACAAAATACAGTTCATTAAATATGAAATTGCCGATTGTACACCATAAAGTTCCAAGATAGAAGAAAAGGAGTTGCACAAGTCTTGAAGGAGTTTATCGACTCTCTTTTGATCTTCTTCACCTTGTTCTTTTTCTAAAAATGGAAGATATTCAAGCAAAAGAAACGATTGAAAGTGGTATCAAAGGAAGGGGATAAAGTGGGAACAACGATTCCTTCGTCCGAAAAGCTTATCGACCACAATAGTACACACTTTGGATATACTCTATATTTATGATTAGTATGTTTATAATATTAAAAATAATAATAATCTTACGAAGGGGAAACTGACTGGTCCGCTACCAACACTACATAATTAGAATAGCGTCCAGCTGGAATCGATACGCGCGTACCCCATTCTTCTTTCATCCATTTCCATATTTCTTCTCGATAAACAACTTCGTTTAAGTAGGAGCGCAGACCACAGAGCAACATTGTAGGTTCTTTATAGCGACAAACCTACTACATAAAATCGAAAAAAAGGTTCAAACAAGGAGCTTCAGAGAAGTGAGTTCAGAACTCCAACCTCCTTCAAATTTTACATCAATATCTCGAATATATGGGTGTTCCTTTGCTGTTTCATCTACAAACAAACTCAACTCAAAGAAGAGTTCCGCAACTCTCCCCATTATCTTTGTCATTACATTCGATACACATACAATACACTAATTTTTCGAGTCGCTTTCCCCTCTATTACACAACCTCTGCTTTCCGTCCTTTCTAATTCAAATTCACATATTTTGCTTGTAAACTCATTATCCTCATCACAAATCATACTTTTTTTGAAAGAAGACATTCCTTTCAAAACAAATATGATAGAATGTGAGGTGTGGGTTACTGAGCATGCAAAAGAACAAATATTGAAGAAAGAAGAAGAGAAGGGAGTTGAGTTTGCTACGTTGCTCATAGGTGTTGTATTGTGATGGATGGATGGATTGAATATTCTAGGTTAGCAATACAAAACCAGTGATTACTGACTCTGTATCAAGTAGTCACTTAACGTCTGCTTTTCTTGTGGATTGTTGCGATTCTAGCTGCGTTGCTCCTATTTTGAATGTAATTATGAATTGTTTTGGCTGTTTGTATAGTTTGAAAGTAAACTCGCTTGTGGTAAGAGAATTGTGGGTATCTATACATCTTGCGGAATTCAAGAAAAGCGAATTAGGAGAATATTGAGCTTTTTGAATAGGAGCTGGCTTGTTCATCTCCGATCAGGTTTCTTACCTCCTTTGGTTTTAAAATCGGATTTCCACACGATGGTGAATCTTTCGATTCCGTTTCCGATCGTTTATTGTGCAATTGAAAGGGAAGCAGAAGAAGATTTTGTGGACACGTTTTGTGAATCTTTGAGAAGTCGATTATTATTGAAAAATGAGTATGGGATTCTTTCTGGGAATGCAGAGTGTTCTGGGACAATTTCGTTTGTATTGAAGCGAGCGAGTTTTGTTTGCGATGATTTGGTCCCGCTTTCTTTCAATTTGGATGTGTGTTATGTGGATGGCGAAAGTGTTGAGGAGGTAAAGACTGGGGTGATTGAACGTGTGAAGGATTTGTTCCACGAAACGATGACGATGAACTATGGTTCTGGCTGTTCTTTGTGGTAATGGAGTGGATGGGCTGTGATGGATAGGAAGAATGTGTATTCCTGGGAGTGTTCGTATCTCCAAATTGAACCGATCGAGAATCTGGTTTATGAGATGAATGACCCGAAGCGAAATCTTCTCTTTTGGAAGTTGATGTTAGTTCTATTCTGCTTGCTCGGTGTTTATTTTGTGTTCTGGCTTCAAGGAGGAAGAAAGAGTTGGTAGGGCAGTTGGTTATTGTGATTTGCTTGTTTTTTTGGATCTCTGCTAATTCACAAATCTATGTCACATTGCGGAATAGTGCATTGTAATTACATCGTAGTGGAAGTGTAGTGTAGTGTATCTTAGTACATTGTACTGCACTGCACTACACTACACTACACTACACTACACTACACTACACTACACTACACTACACTACACCACATCGCTTGATGATCCCTTTTATTGGTTTTGTTTACATACATATCTTTACAAACAATTACATAAAGATCGATATTGTTACCTATATGCAGCAACATGAAAAATGGCTCGGTTTCTATCGTGCTCCTTTCTGTATCATAAAGGATGGTGACTATCCATTTTCTACACCTTCTATCATTCTTTCTTCAAATGGATAGTGTTCCTATATTATTATTATTTTCAACTCCATAGAATAGTGTGTATAGTGTTGGAACAAATATCCCATCTATGTTATTCTTCTTTGTAATTACTATGATATTTCACTGCTTAAGAAAACGTGTATATCATGTAATAACTCAAACACATTAATCAGTCTTGGGACTTAGATGAAGCGCTCGAATCCCCAAATGTTTCTTGATTTGTTGAATAACTGTAATCACATACCAGGAGTACATGACACAAAGTGCGATCATACAATACACTAATAGTCTATTCTGGTCCACCCACTGTCCAAATGAGTTAGCAGTGAGTAAAAGCATTGGATACATTCCCGCAAATCTCCAGTCGAGTCTGCGCCTGCACAAATGAGATATATTCACTCGTGTTGACAGGAAGGAAAAAGAAAAGCCACAATAAACTACAATAATATTCAGCCTAAAAAACTACAGAAGGCAAGCAAGGGATGTTCTTTGAATAGCGAGGTAAACATAAGAAGGCGAACAGAGCATGCACTCATCACACTACAAATAAATTTCATTCAGATAAGCAACAGAGGGGGAATAACCCGAATTACGTAGTCTGCTGTTGTGAGATTCTTTTCACCACGATCCTCTTCTGGAATAGGTGAACCATGAATGAGAGAGTGGAAGAAGAGCTGCAGGATTGTGAAAATCATGCCAATATTCGTAACTTGAATGAAGAATCCGCAAATGGAAATATTCCAAGGAATTGAGATAGGAATCACCTGAGATAAGGGACGCGAAAGGATTGAAATACCAAAGATACCACGCAGACAATACACAAGAGCGACAGAGAGGATTGACTCTGTTGTTCCAAAAAACTTATTACCCACCACCAGGAGATCTATGTGATACTCCAAGATCTGTGCTAAAGAAAAAGCGAGACATTGGATAATTAGAATAGAACTGGTGTGGAACGAACTACCCGTTCCACATGCAGAAGCCAGTACCATAATAATGAATACCTCATTGATTGCATCACACCCATGGTCAAACAATTGACCCAATGGAGAGGAGGCATGGAGTCGGCGAGCTTGTTTCCCATCGGCACAATCGAAATTTAGGTAGGTAATTAAGGAAATTGCGGCAATAATGTAGATCCAGTCTGGGCAGTTACCTTCAAGAGTAGGGTCGTTGACCACAACAAGAATGGAAGCCGAAACATTGATAAGCAGCCCAACAAAAGTAATCATATTCGGAGCCATCCAATCTGGGAAGAATGAGGCGAACCAGGTCCAAAATGGATTCAGCAGGTTTTCAATAAAGGTATAATCAGCACCATGGTATTTGTATACGTCAAGACTCTTCAAGTCGCTCTCGCGTAAATACTTGGGCATTTTCTCTTTTATCTTCTGAATATCCTGGTTATTCATATTAGTTTTATAAGTTTCCACCGGATTATTTATTTATTATAAGACTACTGAACGCTATATTCTACAAACAAATCAAGACTTTTTGCTATTCATTTTGCTTTTTCTATCAAAGCATGTCAAGCATAGTATACACTCATTTTTACAACAAATTCTATTATTCTAACGAATCTGTACACTCCTATCAACAAATAAATCTGTTTCATAATTTATTCCACTACACGCTTCTATCTACAAACAAAACTAGTTCACTAACTTTTCATCATGCTTTATGAATGGTTCTGTGTCACTTGTGCTTCCGTCTGCAGGGTCGATCTTTTTACTTTCATTATCAAAGTTGTATCGTTCCACAGAATACCAAAAAGAGCCAGCAATCGTTAGAATGCACCCGATAATGCTGCTTATCGATAGAGACTGGTGGAACAAGACGACCGAAATCAGAATCATGCACACTTGCTTCACATTTCCGGTAATGTTAATCACAAGTGGCGAGGTGGATCGGGTTGCCTCGAAATTGGAGATATTCAACGAGAATGCAGTGAATCCGTGGAAAAGGAGAAGAGCGTACACGAAGATCGTTTGACTGGATAGAATGCATAGCAAACGAAATACTTTGGCAGAAATTGCGTAAAGAACGCGGATTCAGAAAACAACGTCACAGGAATTAACTCCACGCTTCCAAGACTGCTGTTCTATACTAAAAGAGAAGCAAGGGCTTAACAATAGTTAGAAGTTGAAGTGGAGAGAGTTTATTTCCTGTTGAAAGCAGTCGCTTGGTTATAATTCCTTTGATTGTTGAAACGAAGCAGCTCAGGAGCAAGACAGCAATTCCAAAGGATGTACCGTAGATCTGCTGTTGACGCTTCCTAGGATGCCTACCTCCCCTTTGCAGACCATCATGGCTCCTCCGATAATAGGAACCAGGGTAATATACACTTTCCAGGAGAGCTTTTCCTTGAAGAGTACATATTGAGTCACTGCCGTCCAAGCAGGCATTGTACAACGGACAATCTAAAGTCGAGGAGGCATTGTTGTCAAACTTGGTCAAGAGTTAGGCTACAATACTTGATGCTGACATTCCCTAAGATGATGTTGATGATAAAGAGAAGGCTGACCATTACTAGACGCTTGTATTCGTCCTTTTCGATAGTTCTTGCGTTATAATAGGTGGGGAACAGAATTCGGATAAGTATCGAATAAAATGCTGAAGAAATCATGTGGATCTACTAGCTATCCTTATTAAATTCATACTAAGGTAATACAAATTGGATAAGGACAATTCATAGAAGAGAAGAAAACCTTGTTGATTGTAGTTACAAAAATCAACAAAAAGAACCAGATCACTAACCATATCATGGTAGAAATGGAAAAAGTAAAAAACAGTTTGATGTGCACTTGTTCATTGTATCGACAAATTTGATTATGTAATAAATTGTATGATATATGTCTAACATGTAGCTGGTGGCTTTGCTGGTCAATAGTATATCTTGTCATATCCATTTAGTGTCAACTCTTATGATCTACTGTATTTGATGGAAATATGAATGGTGTTTTACTGTTTGATGAAATGTGATGGAGACTCTTTGAAACCAAAATCATATGAATGGATGGAATGATGGTTGACGAATACTATCTATTATTATTATTATTATCTCCCATCATTTTCTTTCAACATAGGAAAAACAACTCATTCTTGTATTTGCAAAAACAGCGGGACACAGGATTCCAACAAACAATTCAAAGTCTATACACATTTGTACGAATCAAGTTTCGAGGATCTTCTTCCAGATCTGTTTCAATGATTCCAGCCTCTTGCAGGACCCATTCAACAATAGACGTGTTTACCTTTCTTCCTCCAAGCTCTCGTAAGGTGGTAATTTGTTTCACAATATTTCCCTTATTATAAATGAACAACGCAGGAAGGTTCCTATGGATCATCTTCCTTGGCCCGTTTAATTCCTACTTGTCTGGATAGTCCGCGATGCACTCTGTGCTTACCATCTGAACGAATTTTACCATCGGATAACGTGCACTCACATCATCCAGCACATCCTTTAGAATTTTGCAGTCTACAATAGTGCTGTTAAGAAAATCACAAGCACAAGTACAAGTACAAGTACAAGTACAAGCACAGTAGGATATTTTTCCTTATACAGGAATACAACCACGGGATACTCCTGACTCGCTTCCGTCACCTGGCGAACATATTCACTTCGGGAAAGTTGAATTAGATAACCAAATTTGTTCTTCACTGCGGCACGCTGTAGCTCGGCGATTCTCTTTTGTCTATATTCATTCAGAGCGACCAAATCTTCGTCACTCAACAACTCCTCCTATGTGTCACTTTGCATCTGCTATTCTACATCTAAATCATCTTCCAGCTCGTTCAGATCACGTCCCTCATATGGATTCACTTTTTCCTTACGCTCTTCAAGAACTTCATCTAAGGCATTTTCGATATCCTGGATATCACAGTGATGCGCGACTCCTACCTTTTTTCGAGGAACTATTCCTCTCTCAGCAAGAATATCCTCCCATTCTGTAGTTTCGTTAGCGTCCTTGTGATACCTACAAATTATCAATATTCAACATAAATAACGTCGATGAACTTCCGTAGAAAGCCATTTTCTGTCTGCATTTTACCAGTGCAATATTCCCGCGGTTCAATTCTTAGTATGATCACTACTATAAAATTCAGGTAGTCTATTTTGTGTGTTTGGAACCCTTTTATTGGATTATAGGTTGGAAGGCGTTGGAATACATGATATTATTAGATGGACAAAGATTTACCAGCGAATATGGAGGAGAAGGTCACTAGTTCACCTCTTACAGCAGAGGACACTATTGTCAGATCAGGAGAAAAAGAAGAAAGTAAAAGTGATGAGATATCAACTACTAATGAGAACCAGACAAAAGTATTGGAATTTTGGTTTTGGACCTAACGGATTCAGTCATTCACCGGGTTGTTAGAAAATTCGACGGATTATTCACAATATTATCAGGAAAGTGAGGGTTTACCAAAGATGGACTCGAGCAGTGGTAATGCTCCAGATCGGAAAGAATATCGCTCGAGATCAAATAGAAAAGATAGTGAGACAATCGAAGAAGGGGGCAATGCTTTCCGATGTAAGAAGGTTCATGTTCAATCTCCTAGAGAATTGAGATACTATGGAGTTCCAGATTATCCTGAAGTTCATGATTTTGCATGGTGCCTTGTTCGAAATTTGCATGAGCTGGATAAAGCGTTAGAGCGGTAGAGCCGTTGATGGAAGTTTGTTATCATAGACTTCATTTGATGGAGCGTATTGATACAAAAGCGCTGCTCCGGGTTTCTCAACAAGACCCGTACATTGTGGACGAAATCATCCAATTTTTCGAAAAGCATTATAATGTGAAGGCTACAAATCCAAGGTAAGCACGATTAGCCTCTTCTATAAGAGTGGTTTATGGAAAGAACGACTCGTGCATATAGTAATAGCACAACAACAAGAATGAGGAGTGATTCATTCTTTAGGATGCTTACATTTTTTACAAAACCTTGATCTTATTTGAATGCTTAATGATATAAAATCGATCTGAGACTCATGATGACTCATTTTTTTGTAGTTCTTATCTTATGTCTGTAACTCGGAAATTCCTTACAAAGCACGAGTCTTATGCAAGAAACTATGATAGTCATGACTCGTATCATCGAGAAAGTTTACGCGAAGATGACCGAAGAGATTATGAGCGGCGCGATATTCATGATGATAGAAGAGATTATGAGCGACGTGATATCCGGGATGATCGAAGAGACTATGATCGACGCGATATTCGAGATGATCGAAGAGGAGACGACAGAAGAGGAGATGATCGAAGAGATGATCGAAGAGACGATCGAAGAGATGATCGAAGAGACGATCGAAGAGATGATCGAAGAGACGATCGAAGAGATGATCGAAGAGACGACAGAAGAGACGACAGAAGAGGAGACGACAGAAGAGGAGACGACCGAAGGGACGATGATCGCTTCGACACTCATCGAAGCTACTCAAGTCACTCCAATCCCATGGACCGAAGAGCGGACCATTCAGAACGCAGAGATGATCGACAAGATCGCGACTACCGCAAGACCTCGCGCGGATTCAGCACCGGTAGCTACCATCGAAGCTTCCATCGTGACGAGAGTCACGACATGCATCACAGTTACCGCTCGTATCCTTCTGACTATCATCCGCTCGACTAATTTCCACTCTCCGCATCCATTCAGGCGCTCTGTTTGTTGAACAAACACTCCATTCGTCCTTTGCATTCCTCCGATTCATCCAAATCGAATTCAGCATATACATGCAAGCTTGATTGTCTTCGATCCACGTTAAAAACGCGATTTGCTGCGACGGCTTCAAGATGTTCATATACCGATCCACCATTTCCTTCATTGTCTTCATGTTGTCTTCGATCTTCTATGCCTCACTGCAGCCACGTCGTACCTTCGTTTGCAGCTCGTTCAGCAGCGAAAGGGTTTCTTGCAGGTTCTTTCGCTGCGTTCGAATCAGCGCCTTCGCACCCAGAATCGACTGCTGCTGCTCCGCCGTGAACTACCTCGCAGATCCCCCACGCCTCTACCTTCATCTCCCGGCAGATCAGCGACCAAATCCCTCGGTCGCGGAACGCCGACGGCGGAATCTCGTCGTTTTCGCTGAGATCTTGAAGATCGGTCAGATAGTCGTGGATCGTGTCCACCGTCGTGGGAGCGTCGTCTTTGCGATTCCAACTCATTAGAAGCGCTTTGGTTAGCTACAAATCATCAACCAGGACGGCCATTGCATTGGTTGGTAGCAAGAGGGACTTTAAGCGGTCTAAATGATATTTTACAGTGCGACGACGCTCCTGGCCATAGTCTTGCCAGCTCACTATGTACTGCTCCATTAAGCTTTTGAGCTACGTCGAATCCCTTCCCATCGCATACTTCTTCTTCGCTCGCCGTGTCCTTCATCTCGCGGAGCTTCTTCAGCTGTCGACAGCGCTCCTTCTCGCGATTTTTGCTGTCCACTCCTTTGCGAAGCAAGAAAATCAGTTCGTCGTTCTCCTCGCGCAGGCGTTTCACTTCCTGCTCCATTTGCTCCATCTTCTCCCGCTGACGTTTGCGACAATTGCGGGCGATCTCGCGATTTCGCTGCAAACGAAGTCTTTTGCGGTCCTCTTCCGTTAGCGCGACGTCTAGAAAACATTTCCAGAATCACACGCAAAATACCATCTGGAACCTTGGGAAGGGTGCTAGACGAGGAGCGATCGCTCTCCAGGGGAGTGGTGGAATTTACAAGTGCATCAAAAGTCTGCGGATTCACCTTGGAATTATCATCGTCTGTACGAAGCAGTCTACCTGCTGTGATACGCCTGACACAGCGGTGCCCGCCGATTCCTGCGGGAGAAGGTTCTTTGAAGAGGTGGGGATGGCGCTGTCGTTATTCAGCGTGAATAGGTCGCAGTTAATCAATAGCCAGGAAAACACGTCTACTTGTAAGCGCATGACAGAGGGAGCACCATCGTCTACAGAAGACATTACTTTCCTGTTTTCCGTGTTCCCTGCAACAAAATTCAGCAGGCTGTCAATTTGCGACATTCGTAAACAAAAACCTGTAATTCAACAAACAGAGCACTGCCAATAGCAACCTCCCTGGCCCAGGGGCGCCGCTCTTCCCTTCAGATTGAGCACAGGCGCGGCCTCGATTCCTCTGCGATTCAGCAGACAGCGGAACCAGATGATGCGGTTGAGCGCGGCATCGACGTCCAGCTTGTCCTCCGGGGTCCAGAGCTGCTCGCTGACGCCGGCAGCACGCGGCCAGACGGTGTTGAACCAGTCGGAGGTGTCCACGGTCTCGGCCCACATGCAGGCCTCACCTCCGAGAATCTTTCCGCGGTTCTCCTGGGGCACGCCGCTGGCGATGTCGTTGGAGTAGAAAATGTCCCAGGTGTTGTCGAGGTCGTCGAGGTACCAGCGTCTGGACACGATCACGCGGTAGCCCTTCTGCACGATGGAGTTCACGGAGGTGGACATCAGCCACACATGCATGATGGCGCGCGGGTCCACGCCGCTCAGGTGCGTGGCCACCTCCTCCCAGTTCACCGCGGTGCGGTTGACGCCGAAGACCATCTGGTGCGCGCGGTCCACGGTGTACTTGTACGTGTCCGTGGTGGAGAAGCCCTTCTCCTTCATCCACTGCGCGATGCGCGGCGTGGACGTCCAGCACTGCGTGTTCACCTCGTCGCCGCCCAGGTGGAAGAACTCGTCGAAGAACAGTCCCGACTGCGTCACCTCCTCCACGAAGTTCTGGATCAGCGTGAACGCGTTCTCGTTCGACGGGTCGATCGGCTCGGGACACGCCACCGACGGACACACCTCCGGGTCTGCGCCTCACGCGGCCCACCAAGCAAGCCTACACACCGTGCACCACGACTTCATGTGGCCGGGGACGTCGATCTCGGGGATCACGCGGATGCCGCGCTGCCGCGCGTACTCCACGATGTCCCGCATCTCGTGCTGCGTGTAGCGCTCGTACGGCGTGTAGGCCGAGTCCCAGAAGCGCGGCGCGGACTTGGTCTGCAGCACCATGGCCTCGTTGTCGGACAAGTGCCAGTGCAGCGCGTTGAACTTCGCGTACGTCAGCGAGTCGATGATCTTCTTCACCACGCGCAGCGGCAAGAAGTGGCGCACAGAGTCGATCAGCATGCCGCGGTGCTGGGTTCCACGGTTTCCACGATCCCTACCGGGTAGCGCGGAGCGTCGACGATGCGCCAGGGCGCGCCGTGGATCTCGAAGCCCTCCCGCGCGCTGTTAAACCGGACCAATTGGCTCAGCGATTCCAGTCCGTGGTACGCGCCAAAAAGCGTCTTCGCCTCGATCCGCGCAGCCGAACCGTCCGAGGGGATCGTCAGCGTGTAGCTCTCGTCCACGCCGAACTAGAGCGATGAGGGAGCGAGATAAAGGAGAACGTTCAGCTGGACGTCGTAGTCCTCGACGTCGATGTACACCGTCGACAACGAGGCATCACGCGCAGGGGCGGCGACGTTGCCTCCGAAAATCTCGTCCATGTAACGGTTGATCGCGGCGGTCATGTCGGGGTGCTGCTTGTTGGGAACGAAGTGGAAACTGTAATAGTCAATGCTGACCGTCTCGTCGCCTCGCGTATAGCTCTTTGGCATCGGCCAGATGGGCATATCGGGCTCTCTGCCAATATGGGAGGCTAGGGGTGAAAAGAGAAAAACACAAATACCCTCTGTATAGATCCAGACGACACTATCGGAACTGCGCACGAGAGGCTGTGTAGCACTCTTCAGTTTTCCGTTCTCGTTGAAAGCCACACAATTGGGAGTTTCCTCGCAAATCACCTTTAACTCGTCAACCTAATATAAATCCATTTTCTCATCACATACACTGGCCGAGACCTGCTTAATATCATTACCACTAATATCGTATCCTCTCAAGGCCATATATTTACGGGGAAGGTCCTCGCTCAGGACCAGTCCCAGGAAAAGCATACAGAAGATCACCTTCTTCATAATTCTTTTATATGAAACACAAATGGTTCCCCACTCTACCCGCGGGGATTGTATATTTCTCCGTTTGGAACAAACACACATTTAGGATCGACTCAATCGCTTTCGAATTTGCTCCACGATATAGCAGCACTTTTCATATCTACACCAATCACAATTATGCACAGCGTAAACTCGTTTTCGGTTTCTGCAGACAAATCTTCCTCGCAGTACGCATTCTGCCACGGCATTTGGTCCATCAGCAGAGCGACGAGTACAATCGACTCCTCTCGCAAAATGCTTTCCACAGACGTGTATCCATTGTTCGTTAGAATGATTGCGTAATTAAGCTCGACCTATCGTGTGACTGAGTATAAAACAAAAAGCTACGCCCAAATTAACAAGAGCGAGCGTCTCGGGAGTGAGGTCAGTGGCCATGTGCATTTCGAATCCTTTGAACACCTCATAGAGCAAATCATAATGCAGACACTTCAGCACGCGCAGGTTGGTATGGTAGAACACCCTGCACGCGGTCTGCAAGCTCTGCAGCACGCCCTTGGAGAGTCCGAAGATGTGTTTGGTGCGTTCCAAGTTGTCAAATCGCAGCAAATCGTTCACTACTAAGCAGGCTAAAAAGCGTTTCAGGCGGCTCTGGGTGTCCGCAGAAAAGGACTCCGCCCCACGGCCTTCGCGCAGAGCGGCGAGCACGTGGAGGGGGAGGAGCTCGCGGTCGGCGAACTGCATTTCGGCATCGGTGAGAAAGCGGTGGACGTATTCGAGAGCGGCCGCGATGGGGATGCGGAGCTCCGCGCTGAGCGGGGTGAGGTGGTACACGATCTGCAGCGAGTTGCTCACGTCCACGCGCGTGTTGAGCTGGGAGAGCGAGCGGGCGAGCGACGCCACCTCGCTGACGTTGAGTCGGCTCAGAAAGGAGGCTTCGCCCAGTTCGGTGGGTACGCAGCGCATGGAGAATGGAGTGAGGGGCGAGGAAGAAGAGGAAGAAGAAGAGGAAGATAAAGGAAGGATAAGGAGAAACTGGTGGCGCACCAGCCAGCAGAGAGAGGAAGCGAGCTCGTAAAGGTGGGGCTGCGATGAGGGAGAGAGCCAGCTCGCGATGCGGAGCTCCCAGGAATTGGCATCGCGCGGGAGAATCTCAAAGAGACTCGTTATATCAGAATGGGGAGAAGAAGCGGATGATTTGATAGGAGGTGAAGGAGGGTTCGATTCAATGGATGAGTCGATGGGGGATTCGATGGGGGATTCGATGGGGGATTCGATGGGGGATTCAAGAGGCAACGCATTGCACAATTCCTTTCCCATTTCATTCGGAAACTCACCAGAAAGATAGGAAAAATAGGAGAATTTTCTCACCAACGCAATGAGTTCATTTAGCCGCGTTTCGATCCCCAGTGCCACCACTTCTAAAAGAATTCGGCACCAACACCAGCGTGTCCGCACATAGTTCCCACGCCGAATCTCCACGCCGCTTCCCGACCGAATTCGATCACGAAACTCCCGCTCATCGCGGGGATCGACGAGGACCAGCACGGTTCCCCTTTTCGCCTGCCCCATTCTCCCCGTGCGTCCAATCATCTGCGCGTACTCCGTGGGCGAGTACATCTGTCCGCAGCGCCGAATCCCGTCGACGATCACCGCGTCCACGTTTAGATTCACTCCCGCGGAAAGCGTGGAGGTCGCGGCCAGCACGCGCAGACACCGTCGTCGGAACAGCGCCTCCACCAGCACTCGCTCCGCATCGGTGAGTCCCGCGTGGTGCACGCCCGCTCCGCGGAGCAGCAGACTCGCCAGCAGAGGATCGAACGGCGTGATGTGCCGCTGCTGGTACCCGCGAAGACTTTCCTGAACCTCGCGAACGCGCGCTGCGCTCAGCGGAGGGAGGGCTGCGGCCGCTCGCTGCGCGGCGAGCTCGCTCTGCGCCTTGGTGGGGCAGAAAACCAGCACCGAATCGCCGTGAGCCACGCGTTCGCGCACCAACTCGAGGAAGGAAGACGCTCGATCGCGGCTCTGCAGGGTGCGCTGCAGAGAACCGTCCAGCGTGGTAACGCGGCCGCCGCTCACGATGGACTCGGAAAGCCCCGAGGGCGCGGAGGGGAAGAGATAGAGCTGGGCGTGGAGCCAGCGAGCCAGCGAGACGGGGGAGGAGAGCGTGGCGGAGAGAGCGATGACTTGAAGGTGCGGGTTGAGGGAGCGGAGCTTGAGGAGAAGCAGCTCGATGAGATGGCCGCGCTCGGATTCCAACGTGTGGGCTTCGTCGATGATCACGAGGTTGATGCGAGGCTTCTACAGAGAGAAACGTGGAAACCGAGTACTTGGCCGTCGAGAAGACAGCGATTGACAATGCTGTTGGCTTTTTCGACGGTGCTGATCGCGATCTATAGAACACAGAAAACCCCAATCCCTACGTCGATGTGAGGATCCAAACACTGCGAGCCGCTGGAGTGGAAACACTCCACGAAAAGACCGTTGGCCTCACAGAGATCCTCGAAGTATCGTTTCTTCTCTTCGATCAGCGAAATGTACGGCAGAAGCAGCAAACACTGCCCTTTCCAAAACAGGATTCGGCGGAGCATGCAGATCTCGTACACGAGCGACTTGCCAACACCCGTGGGAGCACTGTACACCAAGTTCTTCCCTTTCAGAACACTATCTGCACTTGACGAGAGGAGCTCTACTTGCCAAGGAAGCACTGAATCGATGTGAAATTGGTTGTAGTAGACATTGATAAAGGATTGGGGGATGCCATAATAACGCAGATCACTCCGCGGAAAACAGCTGCAAATCTTGCAGTGAAATTAACAAATAGAGTTTACTGTGTGTTCAAAACAAACGTCAGACCGTAAGGGTTCGACCTTCTTCTGGAGAATGCGCTTGTCGCGCTGGCACGCAGCAAATGCGTATGGTTTGAAATATTTGTGGGATGTCAATGAGAGATAATATCTTGGAATGCACACAAAACAATAGTAATACTTTGTTTTGCCTTTCACCCTCCATCCAGAGTGTTTAGGTGCAGGGCTCGACATAAAACTGATGACTTATGATGAAGATGTAATTTTGATTCAAAAGTGTGAATTGGATTGAAAATGGCGGGGAAAGAATATGGAATGGGAGCAATAGATTTTAGAAAGGAATTGGAATTTGGATATTGTGGTAATAGGGAACGGGAAAAGAGCAGGCGCTAAGGAAGTGAGTGCTAATGAGAAAGGCAAGATAAGGAAGATGTGTAAAACAAAAAACATTGAACAAAACTATACTAACTTCTGTACCTACAAACATATCGATTCAAAGCCATCACTACTCACGTCAAGAGCCCTTCAAACAGCAATATGCCACAGTCATGCAATCTACAACCCCGTACTCATTATCTTTCTCACCAGAGCATTGTTCTCTTCGTCATTCTCCCCATCCTGAAAGTCCGCCAGCGCCTGCAAAATCGGCATTCGGCAATCTGCGTACAGCTCCCTTCCAAAGCAATGATCCAAAAGAAGCAGCGTGATCTACCCTCTCATCTCTCCTCTTCGCCTCCACATTTCGAATCTCTCGGGACGGATCGTGAAGAAGTCGCAGCAGCGAAGGGCAGATCGATTCCATCACGAGGCCATTGCGATCGCCGTCCAATTCAATCAGCGATCGAACGATCTACTCCCCACGCCATGCTTCAACCCACTTTCAACGCTGGGAGACGGATGGCGCGCTGCCGATGGCTCAGAAGCGGCGCGAGCAAGTGAACGATCGTTTCGGCCACCATATGGATGTTGGTTGAAAGGCGATCAATGAGGTACTGCGTTCCACACAGAGTGGAGACAATGATCTCGGAGCAAGAATCGGTACAATAGATTCGGAGCAACGCGATGATATCCTAGAGAGAGAACAAACAATGCAAAACGACATCGATCTTTGACAACAGAAAGTCTGTATCTCCATAATGCAGAATGAACGATAGCAGGGAAGCAATCTGCAACTCATTACAACCCAACGCATGTACATAAACACGAACTGCCTCTGTTTCATCCTTTCGCTGGGTAATATTCCTGCAATCAAAATCAACAACCTAGCACACTTACGCATACACTTTGCCAAAACAATAGGGAATTGCTTCCCTTGTGTCATCCCGATTCAAAAGCATCAATAAGGTAGCAGCCTATATGAAGAATAGCTCCAAAACCATACAATACGAAATGATAACTCGCGGCATGTATCGTAACTGTCCTCAAATAACAATTCATTCAAAATCACCATGCATTCAGAGAGTGAAATGGAGGAACGAGCATTGACATCCGCTTGCATCCTTTTTAATTCATTTTTGCGTTCCACCTTGCTCGTTGATTTCAACAATGGGTAATCCATCCGAGATCCTCCGAGTCAAACTAATTCTGAATATTGAAAAAGGATGGGTAAAAGAAGGAAGGGAGGCGCGACACCGTGGAAACGATGCAAGAAACCAAGAGAGGACGTTTGGCAATCCGAAGGAGCTTTGGTTCGCGAAAATTCCAAGTTTGAAGAGTACTATCGTTTGCAAAAAATCGTTCCCGAAGAGGAATTCGACGAATTCATGACTTGCCTGGTAGACGAGGTTGATTTGAGTAATCGCTAGAAAACCGATCTTCCCACAACATTCCGTATTAATTTGGCAGATCCCTACGGAGAGGTCGTAAAGAGTACACTGAAGACCCGATTCCACTTCGAGGGAACTGTGGACGTTGAAGGAAGGCAAGTGGAAGCGGTACACCCTCTGAAATGGTTTCCGAACGAAAATGCCTGGGAAGTAAGTGTTGTTCTGTGAAACCAACATCAGATTAACGTAGGCAGGAACAAACTGCGCAAATCTCCGCTCTTCGCTGACCTGCATTCCTACCTGGTCGAAATGACCCAAGCTGGCGTGATCAGTCGTCTCGAAGCCGTGAGCATGATTCCCCCGCTCTTTCTGGACGTCCACCCAGATCATCTCGTCCTCGATCTGTGTGCCGCTCCGGGATCCAAAACGCAGCAACTTTTGGAAATGCTAAAATCGGGGGTAATTGTGGCAAACGACGCGAACCCGCAGCGCGCGCTGATGCTGGTGAACCAGACGAGCCACGCGCCCACCACGAAGCTGGTGGTCACTTCCTACCTGGCTCAGCAATTCCCAGTCCCGAGAAACGCCGGGAAGCCCGTCCAGTTCGATCGAATTCTGTGCGACGTGCCCTGCAGCGGCGACGGAACGCTGGTAGGATTCCCGCGGGAATGGGACCTAGCGCAAATCGCCGGAGATTTGGTCCACGTGGTCGCTGCGGTACGCGCAGTCGCTGCATTCCCTCCAACTGTCCATTTTGGCGCGCGCGGTGAAACTCCTCAAAATTGGCGGCAAAATCGTGTACAGCACGTGCTCGCTGAATCCCGTGGAAAACGAAGCCGTGGTCCTCGAAATTTGGCGGCAAGCCGAAGGAGCCGTGCGATTGGTCGACGTTTCCCGCCAATTTCCGGACCTTTCCCGCGGGAATGGGCTCAGTTCGTGGGTGGTGACGGACTCGGAGAACCGCGTGATTCCCGCGGGGAGCGAGGCTTCGACGGAACATTCCACGGTGAAACGGTCGTTTTTCCCGCCAAACGAAGAGGAGCGCGCCGCCGCGCACCCGGAATTCGCCATGCGCTTTCTCCCCCACGTGCAGAACCGCGGGGGATTCTTCGTGTGCGTGCTGGAGAAAACCGCGGAACTGCCCGCGACGTTCGGCCAGTCGCTCGGCGATGAAACGCTCGTGGGGCTGGTGAAGTGCGAGCAGCAGTGGCGTTTCGGCGGGAGTTTCATCGCGTAGGACGCTGGCGTCCCGCCATCGCGAAGCGGCGCTTGAAATTTGGCGGGGAGGCGAAGAAGGGCGCGGCCAGCTGCGCGAATTCTATGGAATCGAGGAGACGTTCGATTGGTCGTGCGTGTATTCCCGCGGTTCTGCGAATCACGTGCGCATGGGCGGGGAGTTGGACGTAGACGCTGTATTTGGTGCATCCAATGATTCGCGCGCTCTGTTTGGAACCCGAATCGACCGTCCAGGCGCTCCACACCGGGCTCAAAGTCTTCGAACACAGCAATCGAAACGGGCTTTGCCCCTTCCGACTCTGCCAAGAAGGCCTCGCCGCGCTCCTCCCCGCGCTCCGGAAGCGAGCGGTGCGCGTGGGCGCGGCGGACTGGCTGGTTTTGCTGGGCGATCGGACGGAAGCGAAGGCGCTGGACCGGTTTAGCGAGGAGTTTCGAGTGAAAATGACGTGATGGAGTGACCGGTAGAGGCAGGTGGGGGCGCTGGAGGGAGGAGCGTGGGCAGCCACGCTGGACGAAGAGACGTGTAGGCAGATTGAAACGAAGTGGCCTGCGATGGCAGAGAAAGCGCGACGAGTGGGATGTGCCGTGTGGAAGGGAGTGGCGAAGTAGGGCAACGGAAGCGCATGAAGGATAGCGTCAACGTGCTCGCGAGTGAAGCGGTCGTCAGCTCGATCCGACGTCTTTTAGAGTTGAGAGATTCACTTGTTTGTTTAATACGATTTATTTTCGATGGCAGGCTCGACAGTGGAAGAAACCCTGTACAACAGGCAGCTCTATGTCTTGGGAGAGGAAGCAATGAAAAAGATGGGTCATTCAAGCGCTCTCATTATTGGAATGAAGGGTCTGGGCGTTGAAATTGGTATTTGCAATGTATTTCGTTTAGTGTAGCGAAGAATATTATTCTCGCTGGAATCAAGAATGTTTCCATATTTGATAACGAGACTGCATGCATTAAAGATTTGTCGACAAATTTCTACATCACGGAGGAAGATCTCGGTAAACCGCGTGCTGAGGTGTGTATATTTGGGGTTGCTTGAAGGGCAGGTGTGTCTGCCGAAGCTCCGCGATCTGAATCCGTTCGTGAATGTAACACGTCGCGTAGAGGAAATTACAGAAGACTATTTAAAATCATTCCGCGTAATCACCGCCAGCCGATTTGGTTCATAACATAGGTCGTCGTTGCCACCAATCTGCGGAACGACCAGCAAGAAACGATTGATGCGATCTGTCACGCTAACAACGTTTGTTTCATCGGAGTGAACAACTATGGCCTCGCTGTTCGCATTTTCTGCGATTTCGGCGAGTCCTTCTACGTCAGCGACATCGATGATTCCGAGCCCGGCACTGTCCTCGTCGGAGACATCAGCAGAGTGTGTTTCCCCATTTCCCCAATCGGTTCTAACGCGTAGGACAAGGAAGGCCTGGTCACGATCGCCGAGGACCGCCATCCCTTCCAAAACGGCGACCTGGTCACTTTCTCGGATATCCGCGGGATGGTCGAACTGAATGGCTGCGCGCCACGCGCCGTCCACGTGCTCGGCCCCCAGCAATTCACGATCGGCGACACGTCCTCGCTGTCTCCCTACGAATCCTTCGGCTGGTGCACGCTGGTCAAGCAGCCGAAAACCCTCCGATTTTTGGAATTGCGGAAAGCCAACCGGCATCCCGCGGATATTCTCTACACCGATTTCGGGAAAGAAGACCACGCCATGGCTCTGCATACCGCGGTTCTCGCGCTCGACCGTTTCATGGCGCGGTTTGGTCACGTGCCGCGCCCGTGGAACGACGAAGACGCGGGAATCTTCGTCAAAATGGCGCGCGAAGTCAGCCAATCAATCGACGAGGATTGCCGTCCCGCGGAACTGAACGAAACCGTCCTGCGAACCTTCGCTATGACCTGCTGCGGCGAAATCTGCCCGATAACCGCGGCTTTCGGCGGAATCGCGGGGCAGGAAGTGCTGAAAGCGTGCAGCGGGAAATTCGCGCCAATCAAACAGTTTTTGTACTACGACGCCTTCGAAGCGCTGCCTCCCCGCGGGGATCATGGTAGGCACTTCCGCGGGGATCGAGGGTAGCGGATTGCCGGGAGATCGGGAGTCGGTACGACGGTCAAATCGTGGTATTCGGGGAAACCTTGCAGAAAAAGCTGGCAGAATCGCGGGTATTTTTGGTGGGCGCCGGCGCGATCGGCTGCGAAATGCTCAAAAACCTCGCGCTAATGGGCGTCGGAACCGCGGGGGAGGGCGCGATTGTGGTGGCGGACATGGACCGCATCGAGCGGAGCAATCTGTCGCGGCAGTTTTTGTTCCGGAACACAGATATCGGTCAGAGCAAGGCGGGAACCGCGGTTCGTGCGATCCGATCGATGAATCCGCGCGTGCGGAGCGAGTTTTTCGAGACGAAGGTGGGTCCCGAGACGGAGAATTTGTTCAGCGACGCGTTCTTCGAGCGATTGACCTTCGTCTGCAACGCGCTGGACAACGTCGAGGCGCGCAAATACGTCGATTCCCGCTGCGTCCGCTTCGGGAAGCCGCTGCTGGAATCCGGAACGCTGGGAACCCGCGGGAATACGCAGATCGTCGTGCCGTTCGTGACGGAGAGTTACGGTGCGACCAATGATCCGCAGGGTGGCAGAACCGCGGGGAAATGAAGCGTAGAGGAGAAGATTCCGCTGTGCACGCTGAAGAATTACCCGTACAAAATCGAGCACACAATTCAGTGGGCACGTGACGCCTTCGAGGGACTCTTCGTCCAATCGATGCACACGCTCGCCGCCTATCGCGACACCCGCGGTTATCTCGCCTCCGTCGCGGGGAAGCCGGACATCCACGACGAAGCCGTGCGTCAGCTGCACGAATTATTGGTCGATTCCCCGTGCGTTTCGTTCGACGATTGTGTGCGCTGGGCCGCCAAATTGTTCCGCGCCTTTTTCTACACCGAGATCGAAAACATCGTCGCCCAGTTCCCCGTAGTCCCGCGGGAATGCCCTCCCTTCTAGGCCGACGCGGTGGACGCCAAGGGCAACAAATTCTGGAGCGGCAACAAGCTTTTCCCGCGCTCTCTTCGCTTCGACCCCGCCGACGAAACTGCCGTCGCCTTCGTTGAAACTGCCGCGCTGCTCCGCGCTCAGACGCTCCAGATTCCCGTGCACGATAACCGCGGAAAAATCATCGAGATCGCGTCCACCGTCGAGTTCCCCGCGGGACCCGCGGGACCCGCGCAGCCCGGAGAGTCGTCATCCCCGCGGGAACTGGAGCGGCTGGAGCGCGAGCTGCCGAGTCCGGCGACAATCGCGGGAATGCGTTCGGTTCCATTGGAATTCGAAAAGGACGATGACGGAAATCGGCACATCGATTTCATCGCCGCCTGCGCCAATCTCCGCGCCCGGAAGTAGCCATCCCCGCGGGTATTGAGGGTAGTTACGGAATCACGCCGGTGGACCGGAACACGGTGAAGAAAATCGCGGGGAAGATCATTCCCGCGATTTCGACGACGACGAGCTTCGTGGCCGGCGCGGTGGCCGTGGAGCTTCTGAAGGTGCGATCGGGTTTTGATTCGATCGAACGCTTCCGAAACTGCTTCGCGAACCTCTCCATTCCCCTCGTTTGCTTCACCGAGCCCGGAGCTTGCGCCAAATACCGCGCCTTCGGGAAGGAATGGACGGAGTGGGACTCGGTGGTCGTGACCCAGGAGCAAGCGAGGACCATCGGCGATCTTATTGATTACATCGAGGAAAAGTATAAGGTGGAGGTCTCGATGATGAACTGCGGGGAAAAGCTGCTCTTTATGGGGTTCGGAGCGCCTGTAAGGCTGTACGGGTGAGTTCATGGTAGGCCGCGGTCGAGAAGGCGAAGAAAACGCCCGTGCTCGACAGAATTCGCGAGATTTGCCACGTGGAACCGAAGGAGGGACAGAAGCACTTCGAGCTGATTATCTCGTGCGACAGCGTGGATGGAGAAGAGGACGAATTTGCTGCGTTCCCTACTGTTTTGTATAAGATTTGAAGTGTTTGTTGAACAATCCCTAAAGAGTATTCTCAAAGAAGTGACTATTTTTGTACTCTTTGCCAGGCGAAGGTTAAAAATGAAAATCGTTGTTGTTTTGTTTGTATTCCTTTTGGCACGCTCGATTATTATTCATGCAGAAAAGGAATATTCCTGTTCACATGTTAATGCTACCTTTGGAGTGCCCGTGGGATCCGTGAGTGGGTTGTTTTGGGTTTCCTTGAATCTAGATTGCACAGGAACGTTTGTATCTACGGTTCCTTTGGATGCGTGCGGCGAAATCAAATCAAATCTGACGAATTCTGTAGCGCTGATCATTAAAAATGCGACTAGCATCGGATGTAGTGCCGCAAAGCAGGTGTACAATGTACGATTCGAAAGAAGAGCGCTCTGAATCCTAGGTACAACAGGCTGGAGCGATTGGAGCCGTGGTCATGAACGCCCCCGTCTCGTGGTATGATGATTTTGAGATTGTCGATGCCGAGGATAAGGATGAATACAATGTATGATTTTCGGAGTACTGAGCATTGTAGATAACAATCCCAGTGGTTGGTATCCTTTTTCAGAGTGGATATCAGATCTACTACATGCTAAAGGAGAACAGCAGTATTACTGTTACAATTAGTCGCGATTTTGAGTGTAAGCATCTCTTTTTGTGATATTGATCCTATTAGATCAACCGGCCAGCTGGTGGGAAACACTTCTAATGTTTGTTTTTGTTCGCTTTTTCTTCTTCTTTTCTCTGATCCTGTAGTCCATTCTTCTTCTCTGGGCGGGCTGGTTTATCCTCACCTTCTTCTCGACGTTGGGCGAGAAGTGCAAGAAATACCACCGCCAAAACTACGTGAAGCAAATCAAAGTCACTCGCTTCCACACCAAAAACGTGGATCCGGAGAGCCAGCCGACCTGTGCGATTTGTTTATCCGACTTCAAAGAGCACGACCCCATCAAAACTCTCCGTTGTGGCCATTTTTTCCATAGCGTCTGCATCGATCCGTGGCTAATCAACGAAAAAGCGCTCTGTCCGGTGTGTCGACAAGGAATTTTCCAAATCGAAGACTGGGTGGGCGTCGAGGAAACGCGATGAATCGTAGAATTTGATGGAGGAAAACCAGCGGCGTGATATCGATATCATGCTCACGAATCTGGGTAGAAATGAGGCGGAGCTTGAATGTAGAAATGCAGTCGTCGAGTTCCTTCAGCAACGTGTTCATTATCGTGATCTGCGGATGCATGTTCATTTACCCGTTCTTCCTTAGCGCTTGAGGACGGGGAGAACGCAAAGAAGTCTTTTGGAAATGTGATTCGAAGTCTAACTAACTAGCAAACTAACAAACTCCTTTTATCATTTGTACATTTTTCTGTTTGTTTCAAACCATCTGCTTGGGCATTACAGTTCGCTTGAATTCGCATTTTTTATTATGGATGCTTTTCTATATTCATTTATTTCATGGCGTATCGGGATCTAAAAAACTTCCAGTATACACTGGAGTATGAATGCAGTGATTACAAGAAGTCATGGACATGGTCCGATTTGAACCTAGGTATACCTGTATGTCTCCTGATCGGTTGAGCATTTTCTCGCTGTTTGAGTTCCCCATCTCCAAAGAACCTCAGGTTTTTAACCCTGTTTTGTCTCATCTAGATCGTGCAAGCGTATAATCAGTACCAAACAATGCCAGAAGACATTCGGCGGCATTTGCTACGTCTTCATAATCTGTATGGGAGCCTATCCGACTCAGTGGTAGAGAACGGAAACATGATACGGTGAATGTATTGACAGAGCATTGCAGAAACATCCACATTGGCGAATTTTTGCACGATACTGCTGACGAAACGATTGGGTGCTATGTGGTATGTATCCAATTCCCACCTTCATTGCAGGATATACTCCGCAGTTTAATGATGTTGTCTGCGGTCCTCACGAGGAACCACATAGTCTTGCCCTATTTGTCCCCAAATCAGCTCCTTACTGTGTACAGCGAGGTCAAATACCTTTTACTCTTTGCTGTTCCCTTTGGATGTGTAGATCTTGAACCATCCTGTTTTTCAAATTCTCCGCAACCTCCTGATCAGTGCCTATGGAATTGGGATGCTACAGAGGCGGATACACTATATTCCATTGGTCATATCATTTGTCACCACACCTTAGTAATGCAAGCACTTCAAAACTACTACGATAATTGCATTGCAAGCTACATCCCTGTCGAGGAAAAGGAATATACAGCAACGCATATTCCGCTCAAAGCAGTAAAGTTTTCTGACGATTCCTACCTTTCTGCTGTTCACAATGTTTCGTTGTCATTCATGTGATTCACTTAATATCGATTGTATCTGTAGGTCACCTGCAAAGAGAAATCGCCCCTCCTTGATGGAAGCGACACTCCTGATGAATAGTTTGCTAACCGAAGTAGATAATGTGGATCTTCCCAAAATCGAATTACCCCGACTCTCCGCTTCTGTTTTTACAGAGCACACATTTCTCTGCCGTCGTGAATGTTCGCAAAGCATTGACGAGCATAATTTTCTCAAAGTAAAAACGAGTTTCACAATAAACAAAAGGAAAATCGAGTGGAAGACTATCTGAAATGGGTCTCCAGTACCTTCGATTCGCTGCAAGACGGACTCAAAGAATCCGTAATGATGTTGTCAAACGCTGCGATCGAATACAATCAAAAGCGCATTGAGTTGTTCTGTCAAAAGCGCAAAGAGGACGAATCGCAATATCCCATCTTGCATTTGGACATTGACGACATTTTGAACGGAACGTTCACTGGAAGTCGCTTAGAGGAGCTGCAGCGGATGTTGGACGAAGTGACCGAAGAGGAGAAAAGGCGTGAAAAAACGCTGCTAAGCGGTGAGAGCATCGTAAGCCTATCTAGAACCGCCCTGTCGTTTGCCTGCCAGCAATTCTCTCCGAGCGCGTTTCAATGTCTGGTCAATATTTTCAGGCAGAATCACAGTAAGGAAGAGGGAATTCGATGAGCCACAGACCAGTTGTTTTCGTTTTGGAGAGAGTGCAAAGAGGCGATTTTTCAGCTGCAGAAATATGCCAATCTCAGAGAATATGATGAGTTTGCAAACTTATTGGTGGAGTTCCTACCACAAAAAGAATCCGCAACATTCGTTGAGGCAAGTCTGCAGAACGCAAAGCAGAAAGCAGTACCCATTCATCCGCTTCTTTCTCTTCATTACTATCATCCGTCTTTTCGAGGATCCCTCACGAGAGAGGAGAGGAACAAACTCGCTACCAGTATCTTCTATCGAACGATCAATCTGCAGTATGAGGCAAAACGGCGTGACGTGTCTTCTGAGCTTCTCTCTATTATGCAAGTGCTGAAAACTCCTCTAAGAGCATGCTCGCTTCTTCAAACAAAAGAGTTTTACACCAACCTGAGTCATTCCTTTTCTCTAACCCTGGAGCAGTGCAAAAATACCAGTTTTATCATTCTCATAATTCAAGAAGCGCGCTCCTACTTCAGCTATCAGCTGGCTCAAGATAAGGCAAACGAGAACTTATTATTTAGGATCGTACCTTTATAGCATTGTGGAATATTGTATTAGAATCACGATCTAAAGGATATAGGAAAAGCAGCGACAATTCACTACTTGAAAAACCATTTCTCGTTTCAAGAATTGAGTAATTTATATGAGTATTGATCTCTTTTTGATATATCACACACTTTCGCAGGATCATTGTTTCCCTCCAAAACAATCATTTTGTTCTATTTCGAATGGAATGAATATTTCTTGTCTGTACACAACAAGAAAGACGCAAAAAAGCAAACGTTGGCAAGATGGTTTCTTGCGGCTTCAAAGCATGGTAAGATAGATTCACTACTTTCGTATCTTAGAATGAAACAGGATTCACCCTATTGGATGACGCAGAAAGTACCCTTTCTGTAGGGCAGTTAAAAAAGCCACTTTTGACAATGCTTCACGGTTGTGACGATGATTTACAATTCGAATGGAAGGAGTACCTCATTTGCATAGAACGGGATGCTCTGCCGAACCACCAAGGAACGGAAAGCACAGCTGCAGTGAAACCTAGCGTTATGGAAGTGGCTAGTTATAGTAAAGCGAAGACAACAAAGACAGGAGATCCGTTGTTAAGACCAAAAAACCTGGAAGTAAAGACCTTTTCTGGTTGTATTGACGTTGTCTTGTCTGCTATTTCCAACGTTCCATCTGGTGAAGGGAGGGAGGATGTGATGGATAGAGGAGAAGGATTCGGAAAGAAGAGATTAGCAATCACAAGTGAAATGGATGGTGGGTTGTCTGTCCTTGGATCTAGTGATGATTCCTGTGTACTCTCAAAGAAGGTCAAGCAAACTATATCTACTTTTAATCCTCCTACTCCTAGCAGTGGTAATACTGATCTGAGCGAAACAATATCAAATCGTCCAATGCCTCAAGCATCAATACCTAGCGAATCCCGTTTTGTTCTTCCTCCTTTCCAGTCAATTCAGCAACAGGATTACTCGTTTTATTCTCTCAATCCCTTTCCTCCTCCCTCTTCGCTCTCAGAATATCAGCAGCAGTTAACATTGATTGCTGAAGCTGTCATTCGAAGTTTTCTGGTTGCGACCTCATCGAAGTATCCTTGGATTCTCGGCTCGTTTTGTAGAATCTTTGCGCAGTACACAAAGCAAGGGAACCAGCCGTTGCCTACGGACGTGCTACCTCCTCTATCATGGTTGCAACGATCGTCTATTAAAGGAGTTCTCAAGTGGGAAGGTTGTAGTGTGAAAGTAACCAAAAAAGCGGAGCGAACCTTCCTCTCGATTCCTTCCTATTCTTCTTCCGACCTGAAAGCAAACGAAGAGTCGGGGAGTCTCTACAATCATCTCTTCGTGCTGCTGGCGAAATCGGAAGTGTTCTTTGCTCGTTCTCTCTGGCATGGATGTACTGCAGACCAAATCATTGAGATCACTCCCTTTCGCTGTGCGTTCCAATCGCTGTCATCCATTCTAGTCATCGATTATGGCTCTGTAAGGAAGAAAAAATGGATTGCGATGTAGATCGACATGGAGTGGAAGTTTTTAGAGCGCTGCTCGCTTCTCCCTTCGATTCATGTGGCTTCAAGTCTGCTTCGACCAGGACCTACCGCCCATCTTCTCTCTCCTTTCAGTCAGGCAGCGATCGAGTTGGGAAAGAAGCGGGTGCTGTCGCAGTTTCCCTTCAATGCAGCCCAGGAATCAGTGTTGGATCGTGTGCTCGCTTTTTTCAACGAACAGCAAGAAACCAATCGAATTCAGCTGATCCAAGGCGTGTTTGGGAGTGGAAAATCGCGCCTCATCGCAGAGCTTCTAGTCTGCATGCATTCTCTCTTTCAAGCGCGAGCCACGGCCACTACCAAATCGGAGAAGAACGAAAGTGATTTTTTGATGCTCTCCGAAGAGCCCCAGTTATTTCGCCGCGGTAAAGGCGCGTTCAAAAGCAAGATGCGTTCCACAATTTTGTTCTGCAGCCATACCAATATCGCCGTGGATCGCGTGTGCTTGCTGCTCCATGAGATGGGATTTAAGCAGTTCCGCCGCACGGGGAACATTCGACGAATCCATCCAAGCTTGCGAAGCTACTACCGAGCCAAGTGCGACGAGACGGATGAACTGAGAGTGTTGTGCACGACGCTGTGCTCGCTTCCCGAAGACCTTGGAGAAATCGGTGTGTTGGTTCTCGACGAAGCATCCCAGATTACCGAGTATTACGTAGGATCAATCTTCCCTCTGCTCCATCCAGGCTATTTTACCCCTTCTTCTTGCGAACCCTCAGCTCGTTCTTCTCATAGGAGACCAGAAGCAGCTTCCTCCTGTTCCGCTCCGTGCTGTTGGAGAGTCTGCATGATGCGTAGAAGGCATTCCCCAAATCCAGAATTCGCTCTTCAGTCGTCTGCTTCAGTGCTGTAGGGATCGTAATCGAGCGTTATGAGCAGATCGTCCGATCGTGTTGAACACGCAGTACCGCTGTCATCCGGTGATTGGAAACCTGGCATCCCTTTTGTTCTACGAGAATTCTCTCTTGCATGGAGAGAACACGTCGTCGATTCCAGCGCTCCTGCCCTCGTTCAGCCGCATTACCTTCATTAACAATCCGTCTCCCGAAGCCTCGAAGGCAGGTAGAATCGGCGCGCTTTTTTATTATTTCAAAGATTCCTTCTGTAATCCTGGAGAAGAAGAGCTCATCGTCCGTCTCCTTGGGAAGTTGTTCGCCTCTCTCCAAGCAGGCGAATCTTGTGATTCGCAGGATGCTCGCGATGATAATGAATCCCAAAGTATTGGTCAAGCCATCGGAGTGATTTCTCTCTACGCAGCACAATGCTGGTCCTTGCAGAGAAGGATCGCAGATCAAAGGGTTCAGATTTCGACAGTGGACGCGTTCCAAGGGAATGAGAAAGATCTGATCATCCTATCCACCGTCCGCTCTCAATCGATTGGGTTTTCTTCGGACCCAAAGCGACTCAATGTTGCCATTACGCGAGCGAAGGGGCAGCTCATCATCATAGGGAACCAGCGATTATTAGAAAGCAACTCTCTGTGGAGAACAGTTCTTGATTACATTCAACGGAATGGAGAAATCCGTCAAGGATTCTGAAGGTTGTTGCTTTGTTAACAAACACTTCAATGATAACTACGATGACGACTGCTTCGACTTCGTTCCCGACCATGATCTCGATCTTTTCCTCGATCACGATCACGATCACGATCACGATCACGATCACGATCACGATCACGATCACGATCACGATTTCGATCATGCGTACGACTTCGACTACGACTTCGACTACGACTACGACTACGATGACGATCACTTCGACGATCGTCACGATGACTACTACTGTGATGATCGTCTCGATGGGAGTCATGATGGCGACTTCGAGAATGGCTCGATTCTCGATGCGATTCTTTGTTTTCTTCTCGATGGGCTGTGTGCGAAGAAGAGGAAGAACTCTCTTGGGGTTTTCTAACTATCACACGAATCCAAAAAAACCAACGCCGATAAATGCATTTCCTGCAGCTTGCTCAGCTTCTTGCGAATTGCGAGATAAGCCACATGCGATTTCCCAATGAAGTGATCGGCCAGCCGTCTAACAAGGAATCAAAAGTGCCGATTTCCTTACTGATCGACATCAAAAATGGACAGCATACCGCCGCAGATGTTGCAGATTCGAGTCTTTTGTGCTGGGGTTGCATTTGTCGCTCTGTAATCATCAATTGGGATCCTCAACACTTACTGGATCTCAGGAGGCAGTTTTTCCTGCTCTTCTTTGAGATGAGCCGCTTGAAGACTTGCTTTGATCTCAATTTGGCTAGCAATCTTGGACTCGAGCTCCTCCGCTTGCTGCGTTTTCCCCATCTTTTCTACACCTAACGAAACTTGGACCTAATCGTACTCAGCTCTTCAACCTCCTCTTCTAACTTATCAATACCTTCCGCGTACATTTTAACGTCTCTGAACTCCTCCATTTTCATAAGATTGTCAACTCCATCAGTCTTGAAGCGAATAACGGCATTCTACAGAACAATCACACAGAACGAGTATAGGATACATTGATTCTGCGATCGCACTGACGAATTTCCTCCTGTAGTTCAGAAAGTAAAGTAGCCTCGTAACCATAGCTATCTCGCTTAGGATCTTGCTCGAAGCTAAATATTACCAAGAATATTATAAATTTACGCTTTTTTTAATTGAGGATCGTGAATTTTGCTACAAGGACCGCAATCATACTTTGAAGTGGCCAAAACATCGTGGATACAGAATCCCAATAAATAGGACTTACAAACTCGACTATCCTTAAAGCTCTAACAAATGATGTCGAAAACGCGTATTTACTGTAACCTCTCTTGGCTTTTGATCCCCATTTCTGTCTGGACCCATCAGCTGGTCAAGCAGCGCACGAATGCCTTCCATTTTGAAATTTTTTGAGCTGGATGGGGCTGTGGTACAAGAGCAAAGGAAATCATTTTTAGTATTGAAGGTAGAAACATGCTCAACATCATCTCTATTGTTCAAGTGAAGCGTTTCCCGGTGTATGCGACTCATTCTCTCTTTCGATTCCTTGATTCAATCGTCTGGTCATGAATTCGAATCGTTTTTTACCAAATGACGTCCCAATTAAATATGGAGAGTTGAGTCCCTATTTGAGTATTTAGTCAAGGTTCATTTCCACATTAGGGTCGGGCACATCATATCTTGGAGATTCACATTTTTTGATATATCTAGCAATGTTCCGACGTAAGAAGCCTGAAAGTAATGCTCCTCCTGGTATTGGCGGAGGAAGCCGTGTAAAGCAGACCCGTGCTGAGAAGCAGGCTGAGGCCGCTCAGAAGGCCGCTCAACCAAAGAAGAGAGGTGAGGTTCCTGAACTCATGGCTGTACGTGTCTTTTTGGGTTGGATTATCTTGTAGTTGCTGAACAATCCTGATGTGCAGAAGGATGTGATGAAGCTGCGAGAAGTGATGCGTAAGGTGATCAACTACTCGACTATGGGAGTTGATATGTCCAAGCTGTTCACCCCTGTGATTATGGTACACAGTTTTGAGGATGGGTGATGGCTAGGTGTCTATTACCAAGGATATCGTAGTGAAGAAGATGACGAACCAGTTCTTGGTGACCTATGCTAAGCAGAATCAGGAGCTGGCTATTCTCGCTATTAACACCTTCGAGAAGGATTGGTAGGCGTTGAGACCCTGTCTTTATCCTAGTCGCGATGAGAATCCTACTGTTCGTGGAATGGCTCTTCGTTCGCTGTGCTCCCTCCGTCTGAAGACGGTCGTGGAGTACGTGGTTCCTTGCTTGGAGCGTGGACTGGTGGACCAGAGCGCCTACGTTCGCCGCAACGCCATCATGGGCGTGCTGAAGCTCTACCACATCGAGAAGGAGCGTGTGCGTGACAGCAACCTGGTGACGGCTCTTCAGAACCTGGTGCTGGACGCTGACGCGCTGGTGGTGACGAACGCCCTGCTGGCTTTGAAGGAAATCACGGGCGATCTCCCGAAGACGAAGCCTCTGATCCACCACTTGCTGAACCGCCTGAAGGACTTCAACGAGTGGTGCATGTGCGTGGTGCTCGACCTGGTGGCGCAGTACCAGCCCGAGAACGAAACGGAGTTGTTCGGAATTATGAATCTTCTGGAGCCGTTCCTCCGCTATCACAACACTGCCGTCATTCTGGCCACGACCAAGGTCTACATGTCCTTCACGGAGAACATGCCGCAGGTGTTCCAGCAGGTGATGACCCGTCTGAAGCAGCCGCTGCTGACGCTGATGGCCAGCAACATTCCGGAAGTGGCGTACTGCGTGCTGTCGCACATGAAGCTGCTGATGCGTCGCTGCAAGGACACGTTCCAGGACGAGTACCGCCAGTTCTTCTGCAGAGACATCGAGCCCACCTTCATCCACCATCTCAAGATTCAAATCCTCCCCATGCTGGCTACCAGCGAGAACTTCGTGGATATCCTGAACGAGTTGAAGGAGTACGTCCCCGGAACGCCCGAATCGACCTCCCGCGAGGCCATCCGCGCCATCTGCCAGCTCGGAATCTTGCTGGACGAGGCGCACACTCGCTGCTTCGAGACCCTGGTCGAGTTCTTCGACATCGATATCGACTACATCCGCTCGGAGACCATCATCGTGATGCAGGACATGCTGCGCAAGCATCCCGAGAACGCTGAGGAGGTCATGGAGCACGTGCCTCGCATTCTGCGCAAGACCGAGGATCCCAACGGCCGCGCTGCCTGCTTGTGGCTGATCGGCGCCTTCCCCGACTTCTGCGCGGATGCTCCCTACATCGTGGAGCCTCTGATCGACGACATCGAGGAGCAGAAGAACATCTGCGTGCGTCTGGAGCTGCTGACCACCGCGGTCAAGCTGTTCTTCCGCCGTGCTCCGGAGATGCAGGCGATGCTGGGCCGTCTGTTCAAGGCGCTGTCCGAGGACGACTCGTCTCCCGATGTGACGGATCGCGTGCACATGTACTACCGCTTGCTGGCGAACGACATCGACTCTGCGAAGCAGGTCATTGACTCGACGGAGAACGGAGTGGAGGGCTTCGTGGACATGGACGAGAAGCTGGTCAACACGCTCTTCTCCGAGTTCAACACGCTCTCGGTGCTCTACGAGAAGCCCGCTGCCCACTTCATCACCACCAAGGAGCTCGTGGTGCCCGATCTCGGCTACAACGATGTGGAGGAGGACGACGACGAGGGTGCCGATGCTGGCGAGTTCCAGGAAGAGGCGCCTGCTGCCGCCGCTGCTGCGGATATGGGCATGGACATGGGCATGGGTATGGGAGCCCCGGAGGCCGCGCCCGCTTCCTCGATGGGCGGCTTCGACGACTTCATGAACTTCGATATGGGCGGTGCTGGAGGTAATGACATGGGTATGGGCGGCGTGTTCTCTCTGGACCCGAATCCCTCGACGGACCGTGGCACGTTCCAGCAGAAGTGGACGACTCTGTCGGAGGCCCATCAGGAAACCTTCCAGATCATGTCTACGCCTAGCGATCCCAAGATGATCGAGGCCACTCTGCAGAACTACAACATTGCCTTCGTGGCCAACGGATACATGGGACAGGTCATGAAGATCTTCCTGAGCGCCTACCACAGCGGCGCTGCCTTCGAGACCGAGTTGCTGATCGCGCAGAACAACTGCAAGATCACCGTCAAGACTGAAGACCCCAGCCATGTCACCGACTTTGTCGATATTCTGAAGAGTGCGCTGAATAGTCTTTAAGAAGCTGTTGCGAGATGTTTGTTTGACTCACATTTTGGTTGGAAATGCTCCGTTGCTGTGCCTCGTGTGCCCAGGTCCCTAGACGTTTATCTGCTTTGATTTTTGCGAGAGCAGACCACATGACTCCTCCTGTAAAGGAGAACATCGATGCGGTAGCTGTTTTGAAACGGAGTTAGTTGCTAGGCATACGTCAACTGTATCGAGGAACTTAGCGAGCTGAAAATCTACAAGTCTGCCGATGAAGAGATTGACGAAGTAAAATTTCATTTTGAACACTCGAATCGTGTAGACACTGAACAGATATCATTTCCCAAACTCTGTGCGCAAGCATGTTTACAACAGGAGTATTTTGCCCAGTATCAAAGCGAAGGTGTATATTTCAAAAATTTTGAAAAAGATGGAGAACGAGCATTTGAAGCAGTAGGTTATCTTTTTCGAACACAAGGTGTAGGATTAGTGATACTACTATAGACCCAATTAATCGTTATAGAGAAGACTATTTTAAGTAATTTTTCTATTTGTTCAAATCTCTATGATTGTTAACTCATAAATCGTTTGGTTAGGGTTTTGGGGTAAACGTCAACCAAATTCGTTGAGAATGCTATTTATGAGAATATTATTATTATTGAGTGATAGGGATATGTGTCAATTTAGAGAATGCCATTATCTCGTGGTGCAAAGATAGATTGTGAAGTTGATATAAGGCGAATACACCTGCAATGGAAAGCAGTCAAATTTACCAGAATTTAACTCAATGAATAAGCGAACCGATTCACAGTTCTCCGTATATTTCAAACAAACAGCAAGTGGATAAATTCGATGGATGTGGATAACTACTACTATGTGGATTCATTCATTCATTCATTCCCTTGACTCCCTTTCCATCTATTCTTCACGCGGCGTGCTTTCCATCTGTCCCTTGACCAGTGCTGCGTAGAACTCGCACTTCTTCAGCAGTTCTGCGTGCTTTCCGCTGTCCACGATCTTCCCTTCGCTCACCACAAAGATGACATCGCTGTCCACGATCGTGCTCAGTCGGTGCGCCACTGTGATCACCGTGCAGGGATGCGTCGATCGCCACTTCTCCAATGCCTCCAAGAACTTGTCCTGGTTTTCGCTGTCCAGCGCGCTCGTCGCTTCGTCCAGCAGCAGCACGTGCGGCTTTCGGAGAATCGCGCGAGCCAACGCCAATCGCTGCTTCTGTCCTCCCGAAACCGACTTTCCGGTCGATCCGAGATCCGTTTCGAATCCATCCACCATTTCATTGATGAAATCCATGCACAACGCTTGCGTGCAAGCGTCCATCAGCTCCGCTTCGGACACTTCACGATCCAATCCCATCACCAAATTCTCGCGAATCGTGCCGCTGAACATGCACGGCTCTTGGTTCACCGCGCCCAGCAGCGAACGATACGAGTCCAAGTTGACATTCTGCACATTGGCTCCGTCCATCAACACTTCGCCACTCTCCGGTTTGTACATTCGCTGGATCAGCGAAATGATCGTACTCTTTCCACACCCACTGGGACCCACGAAAGCCACGGAAGATCCCTTGGGAATTGAGAAGGACACATCGGAAAGAATCGGAGCGTCTGGCCGCGTGGGATACGCGAACGACACATGATCGAAGGCGATCGCTCCGTCCTTCGCCTTCCCGGGAAGCGCTCGCAGCGCGTCCTTCTCGCCCGAGCTTTCAATCAGCGAGAAAACGCGCCGCGCTGCCTCCTGAGCCAACGCCATATTGGGAATTTTGCCCATAGTAATTCCGATGTAGGTGGCCATTAAGAAAACGGTGTTGTAAACGATCATCATCTGCTGGAACTCGATCACGTTGTAGCTAATGAGGATCGTTCCGGCTGTAAACGTGATCACCATGTAGGTCATGGGGCATAAAATGGCCAGAATATTCGCGATCGCCGATCGAAGGCTTCGCGAAGTGCACAAGCGATTGGTTCGCTCCAGGTCGTGGATCATCGATTCGTAGACGCGATCTTGCAGATTGTAAGAGTGGATCGTGTGGATGTTGAGCAGAGAATCAGTGATCTCGCCGGACTTCGCTGTCAGATTGCTGTCGATCTTTTCCGTCACGTTCGCCACGAGTTTGTTTTGGCAATACTCCGCAGTGAACAGCAGAGGACAAGCGAGCAGCGAAATGCAACTCAGCTCCCACGATCCCAGACCGGAGAAGGTGATGATCAAGCAGAGAATAGCGATGATGAAGCTCTCGAAAAACGAGCCCACTTCATCCATGAAGTCGCGCAGCTTTCGAACATCGATGGAGAGTTCCGAAGTAACGGCAGCTACGAATTATAATGCAGGATAGAGAACGTCTTACCTGGAGAATGCTCCTTTTCATCGTAGTAGGCTACAGACTGGGAGAGAAGCTTCACGAAGGACTTCGACCGCACCGTAACGATCATGTTCTCCTTCACAACACTCGACAAATCCCACCAGAGAAGGTCGCCCGAAGCATAAATGACAGTAACGACCACCATCATGGTCGAAAAGAAGATTCCCTCGCGCCAAATGGTTGATACATCCAATCGGAAGGGAATCGCGTGCATCAACGCCACAACGATCGCATATCCAGCCGGATACATGGCAGTGCAGAGAACGCCGATGAAGGCGATCCACAGAATGCATTTTGTACGACCAAAGTAATTATAGAGAGAGAAGAGATTATACTTCTTCGGCTTTTCTGCCTTTTCGTTTTCGTCCTTCTTCTTATTCTTATTCTTCGAATCTGCAGTTTCTGCTTCTTTCTCTTTCTCCTTTTCGTTTCTTTCTTCTTTCTTCTTTGCTTCTGCATCCGCTTCCTTCTCTTCCTTCTTTTCCGTTCCCTCGGCTCCTTCTTCTTCCTCCTTTTCTAAAGTTTCTTGGCTTTTATACAATCCCGCATAGATTCCGCCCTTCGCTAGCAAGCTTTCATGATCGCCTTCCTCCACGATCTTTCCTTCCTCCACCACCACAATGCGATCGCACGATCGAATGCTGCTCAGCCGATGTGCCACGATCACGATGCTCAGTCCCTTTCCCTTCGCTTCGTTCTTTCTCCGGATCGTTTCCATCGCGTTCTGCACGATTTTCTCGCTCTGCGAATCCAGCGCGCTCGTCGCTTCGTCCAGCACCAGAATTCGCGGGTTTCGAATCAGCGCGCGGGCGATAGCAATACGCTGCTTCTGTCCTCCGGACAGCGAGCTTCCCAACTCGCCCACAAAGGTGTCGTACCCTTTGGGGAACGATCGAATGAACGCGTCGGCCTCCACCAGCTTCGCGGCTTCCACCATTTCTTCCTCGGTGCAGCCCTCGCGTCCATAGAGCAGATTCTCGCGAATCGTTCCGCTGAACAGCACGGGCTCCTGCGCCACATAGCTGATCTGATCGCGAATCCACGCCGTCGAGAGCGTCGTCACATCGACTCCGTCCCACGTGATCGTTCCCGCCGTCGGAGCGTACAATCGCATCAAGAGTTTCAAGATTGTGCTTTTTCCGCTGCCACTCTCGCCCACGATGCCGATCATTTCGTTCTCGCGAATGGTGAAGTTGAGCTGCTTCAGCACTTGCGTGTCGCGTGAAGCGTACTTGAAGTCCACGTTCTTGTACACAACGTCTCCCTTGCTGCTGCTGGGAGTGGTCGATCCAGACTTCATCGCGTCTTCGTGCTCGATCACCTTCACGAAAGAAGTCGCAGACGCGCATGTCTTCTTGATCGCTTGAATGGCACTGAAGGCAGGACCGAGTCCCAGAAAAGAGTTCATCACTCCGCAGAGCACGATCAGCAAATCTCCGCCAACCAGGCATTGCCCATTGCCGCTCTGGTACCAACAACTAGACACGCGATCACAAATCGCCATGCAATTATCTGAGAGAGTTGCATTGCTGAAGCAAACGTCCACCGAAGATATCAAGTCCGTGACGCAGCCCGCATCATAGAGTTCTTGAGGGAATCCCTTGCGCTGGTTGTAAACAAGAATGGTTGTGAAGTAGAAGACCAACGAAATTGCGATATTGCTGGTAAACGTGCTCACACCCTTCCACGCTCCCGCTTGGTACAGCGATTTCAGCAGCATTTTCTTGCACTTCTCGATCTAATCGTAATGAACCAATCCACAACACGCACGAGGGAAACGTATTTTTTCTCCATCGATGCTTCGGCTCCCAACGCGGTCACCGTTTTGTAGTTTCGAATACTCTCTTCAGCAATGCTGTCTGCTTCCTTGTGATCTCGCATCAAGGTCTCGATCCATTTCCCCATGGCACTAGCAAATCTGAACCCAGCCAGGGTAACTAAGGGAGCAGCAATAAGAGTAAGGAGAGTGAGTTCCCAGCTCTAGCATCAGAACCGTTGAAGAATGAGACATACATGCGTAAATCCGATGAGAAGACCGCATAAAAAGGTGGCAATCGCACGAACGAACTGCCCGATGGACGGACCCAGTCCGTTGATGATTCGGGAAGATTCCTCCGCAACAGTTTGCCCCAATGCTCCAGGCTTTTCTGACTCGATATAGTCAACATCGTGATGGAGAAGGGCATAGATGTACTTCTCACGCAAATGACGTGTCAAGTTTTCTAAGGGTCAGCCAGTAAATATCTCGAATTACCAGCATATCCGTTCAAACACCATCTCTCAAAGAAGGCAAACGTTGTAGCCACAAGAAGGTTACCTACGAAAACGTATAGTACATTCATGACCTCCGAAAGAGAGACTCCGTCCAGATTATTCTTGTTTACAATGTCCCCAAGAAAAATGTAACTAATGGGAATTAGAAAACCTGTCATAAAAGAACCTGGAAATAACTCATGACCACAAATTATTTACAGAATAACCCAGTGAATAGCAAACAGCGTTCTTTCTTGCTTGCATAAGAATAAACTAAACGACTCCAGGGAATTGACTCTGTAACATTCTCAGACACCTTAACAGTCTGGGATTGTTCATCAGACGGTATAACCTTGGTTTTTTTATCTTGGCTTCCCATAAAAATAATTATGGTGTTGGAGTGGTCTCGTAAAATTCTGGGAAAATTCTTGCAAAGTGGATTTAAACAAACATCCTCCTCCAACGAGAACTCTTTTCAGCGAAGCTCCCTATTAAGTAAATCGAGTTCTCTTTTATATTTTGCCTCGGCTTGATTTCTTGCTTCCGTCGTTTGCTCCTCTCTACTCCTCACGCTGTACTCCTAAAAGAATACATGACCCGAAGTTTCTGAAGCAGTTCCTGCTTTCGTAGCAACTGCTGATGCGTTCTAATGGATTGTGTAAAGTTCAGACACGGTACTTGTCTTGCTGCTTCTTCCTTTCCATGTCTACTCGCTTCTGAAGCCTCTAGCATATCACGGCCGAGGATTGGTCTTCTTACTTGTGCCTCTTCTTCTTTTCGAACGAGAAGCAAATCCAGCTTCTCTTCCTCCTTCGAGAGAAGATCCGCTTTCTCTTTCTCCGATGTTACTCTCTCCTTCGCTTCCCTTCGATTAAGACCCCATTAGCTGAGCATTCATCAAGGATATGCGCACTCTTTGCGATTCTGAACAGAAAGCAAAAGCCTTTGGAGAGTTGGGTTTGACAGGATTGCTGTTTGCAGCGATCTCTCCTCTTTGCATCGATCGACTTGCTTCTCCAACGCACTGTACTGCTGCTGAAGCGCCTGCGCCTGGTCTTCCAGCTGCTTCATCGTGAGCGCCATGGTCGACAGAGATTCCTTGGTGGCCGAAAGCTGCTTTTCTATTTCCAGTGCTTTTCTTTCAAGCTCTGCTTGACTTTGAGCTGCGCGCTCTTTCTGGCTATTGAGTTCCTCGATTGCCTTGCTGTGCTTTTGTATCTGAAGCGAGACTTGCTCCCATTCTTCTCTCATTCTGTCTTGTGCTTTTCTCTCTTGATCCATTTGGTTCTCCAGTTCAGTTTGAGAAATACGTTTATTGTCCAGCAATTGCTTTCTTTCCTGCAATTGCCGAACAATGCTTTCAATTTCCGAACCACACTCTGCCAAGCCCGAGCTTTCATCCTCGATTCTCTTTCTCAGGACTGCTTTTTCCTGCTCTTCCCTTTCTCTTGATTGCCTCTGGTTTAGCTGAAGGGTCTTTAGCTCGTCTATCATATTCAACTTATCCTATATTGTAAGACTCCCAATCTTTTAGAAATAGTACACTTTCTACAATCGTTAATTTCTTCTGAAGGAGCATTAGTTCTTCTTCGCTCTCTTTTTGCATCTTCTCTTTGCGTTCACTCTCTTTATCTCTTTGATCCCTTTGTTTTTGGAATCGTTCAAATCGACCACAGAGTTCGGAATAGGATCTCTGCTTCGCAGTTAAAGTCTGTTGAATCTCAGAAAGGCTTGTACATACCGCGTTTAGCTCTTCTGATGCTATGCTATTAAAGACTTGATGTTCTAATACATTGCTCTATAGCAGCTTCCTGTTTTCGCACGCTCTGCTTCCAGTCATTCCATTTCTCCTCCAGCTGTTTCAGTTGTGAGCAGATACTTTCATACTGCTCTTGTTCCGCAGATACCTGACCTTCTATTTCTGCCAGCTGCTGCTGAATAATGAGAGTTGTATTTTGCAGCCCTTCACATTCGATCAAAAGACGATTCCTTTCGTTTAAAATGTGCGAAAGATTCGTAATCAATGCATTGTTGTCGTTGTAGAGCTGCATGTTGAGTACTTTTTGAGTGTGGAGATCCTCATCGGCCGATTGTATTTCGTTCGTAAGTGACTGGGCTTGCTCTTCCTGCTTTGCCACAGTATCTTGATTTACAAGTTCATTTTGAAGAATCTTTACTACTAGTAACTAGATGGTCCTTCGGGTACAAGAGTAAATTCGAATATCAGATAAAACGTTTTCTTCCATAATTAGTGAAGCAAACAAGAAAAATGACATCATAAAAAGTGGAGGGAAAAGTATCCAATCAAATATCGAGTTCCTTTTCCTTCCGTTTCATCATCTCGGCCATTTCTTTGGACACTCTGTCGGTGATTTCATCAATCTTTTTCTTCATAGAGCTAATATCATCTTTGGAAATGGAAACATTTTTCTCAATCACACGAACTTTGTCCATATATCGCTTTCGAACGGCTCTGAGCTTCGATTTTTGCTGCTCACACTCCAGAGCCACTTGTTTGATCATCTTTTGACGAGTTTCTTTCGTTGTTCTAGAGTGGAGAATTCTATGCCATTTCTACTTGGGAATTTGAATTCGGACACTGTTTTTGTCAATTTGAGGATTCAGATTCAAGTCACTCGATTTGAGTGTCTTTACTACAAAGGAGAGATTCTACACTACAATCATAAATTGAATAAAACAGCTGGATCAAATGGTGTCACCAAATAGGATATTTGAGTATTTGCAGCGACCTGTGCAATACTGCTCATCACTGCACTCTTCCCATCTAACTCCACCTTTAATTGGCCGATCATATTGGGATCAAAGCGGACAGCATGTATTTTTGCATAGCTATTTCCCAGAGAGGTGGCAATGCGGTGTTGTTAAGAGAACAGCTTTCATTTCGAACTAGCAGGATATCTTCATATCGCGCTGCACCTCATCATAGTCTAATTGTGGAGCAATGTCCACCGCGCTGTCGCTCTTATCCTTTTTGCTCTTATTTCCTCCTGTAATGAAATACAGATAATATACATACCCTTTTTGCCGAACGAACGAGAAAAGACAGGAATGGGAACTGCTTTTCCCATCGAAGCCAGTGGCAATTTATATACTAGATTTGAAACAATGAACCAGATCAAACAGGAGAGTCGAGATAGCATAGAAAAAAATATGAGCAATAAGAGCCCACTTGTTGTTTTAGGTCCTTCATCAGGTATTTTGATATTTGCCGATATAGCCTGATGGTATAGCCTTGACTTGTTCATCCTCATTGAAAACTCTTCCTGATCCATCAGATGGTAGGCATCTCTGTTCTTCTGTTATTTGTAAAGGAAAAGGACGGAAATATTTGTTTCTTGAGAATCAAGTATATGAGTTAAGTTCCAACACTAAGTATCCCTCGAGTTGGTTTGTAAATAATCAAGTTTACCAGGGTATGAAATTGGAATGAAGTAATAGAGTAGATGGTTCAATTCGAATGTTAACTCCTGTTCACCCTCTCTTCTTTTGCATCTCATTTTTGCGGCAAAAGAAATATCATAATTATATGTCCGTTGAGGATTTGTTCATTTCTTCTTCCTTTCCCGATATTCGAGAATTGGGAAAGCTTCCATGCATCGAAGATCAGCTACCGCTAATTTGCGATGTCCAAAAGATTAGTGATCAGTGTTATTACAAGTACAATCATGATTTGTGCCTAAAGTGGCTTCACTGCCGCACCGAGAAAATTCGCCAAGGTAGTTATTGGTATTGTGTACAATGTAGTGATAAAAGAGGATCAACCATTGGATTCGTTGTGCATTCTCTCCCAATATATTGGGAAAGATTTACTGGAGGAGGTTTGTAACGAATTTCAAGTGAAGCTGTCACAACTGGTTCCAAAGTAGCGTGTTGGAATCGTTTTTGAATCCATAGACAGAAGGTGGTTCTGAGTTGTGACTCGAAAAAAACGCATAACAAGCGATCGGAGAGATCTGAAGCCTCGGAAAGCCAACCAGCTAAGATAGCTCGGAAATCTGGAAAGTCGGTACATACTGCTCAGAATGCAGCGTCCGGTTGTTCAAAGAATAGTATCACGGCCTTTTTCAAGTCCAAATCGTCTAGGAATTCTTTTTCACTATCCAAAGTTCGTTCTAATGCTTAGTTTTCTTGGCGCTCTGATTGTTGGGTAATGGTTCATGTGTGTTGTTTCGTTTGATGTAAATCTGTATTATATGTGGGTTCCACTTTCAAAATCCTGATGGAACTTCAATCAATGCACTTTATCCACTACCTATCGTTTGATTGTTCCTAATTCATTCCTTTCTTCTTCTTCTTCTTCTTCTTCTTCTTCTCTGACTATACACCTCTTTTCCATAAACTCTTTCCACCCACACCCTCACATTCATGCATTCAATTCATTCAATTCATTCAATTCATCCATCTATCCATTCATTCATTCCATATCCATGGTCCACTCCTCGCCACACAACGATACACACACCACACAATTCCCCGAATTTCCAATTAGTTTCACAAACAATGACACAGCTAATAACGCCTTAATGAGAAATCGCAGTATTTCCTTCCTCCTGCGCATACTCTTCCTGCTTCTTTTCAAGACGCTTTTCAATTTTTTCTTCATCCGGTCTACACATCGCCTCGCTCCATCTCACCTACTGAGGGGCGTTCTTAAAGAGCACCAATACCATTGTCATATTATCCTTCGAATTCCGCTGGAGGCAAAGTTCAAAAAGATCCGCAAGTGCCACTTCCACAGAGACAGACGATTCCTAGACCCTATTTCGCGCCCTTCTCCTCCTACAAGCAAATCGCTGACGATATTCACGCATTCCTGAGGTTCCGTGATCGCATCCCAAATGCCATCACAAGCAAATATTAAATAATTATCCTTTTCATTGCGGTCGATCACAAGTATATCCGGCTCTGGAGAAACCATCTGCTTTTCGGCAGGCAGATCTGCGTTCCCTTTGAACGGGAAATCTCCCAAGGCGCGAGAGACCTAGACCTGATCGCTAGCCAGACAACACGTACAGCCAGATCCCCGTTCACTCGGCCTGCCATGACGGAGCCTCCAGCATTGTTGATGCGATCACGCTCTGCGGCCTATACATCGAACAACTACGAAGCACTCACATTGTAGGGTTTATGATCTGTACTTAAGGGAATTGCCTGCCCATCACGAGCTAGAACACACCGAGAGTCTCCTATGAATCGACCCATGTACCAAGCAATACCGCAATTAGCAACAATAATGTGATTCGGCGTCACAAAGGCAGTAATGGCAGTGCTGCCACTGCGATCGTTATCATTATCGGATTGCTTTTTACGCATCTCCGCATCCATAGCCAAAAACCCGTTACGCATAATAACCTTATAATCATCAGGTGTTGTCTACAACTAAAGATAGCTTCGTAATACCAACATCTTTGCCCTTGTACTCTGGTTGGGATAACAGAATTGGAAGTAAATGATTCCTGCTAAACGATAAAGCGGCAACAACTAGACTACCAATATTCAGAAGAATATGTTCCTCCATGGCCATCAAAAACACCATAAAAGGCAGTTTCCTCATTTCCATCCAGTTTTGGGCACATCACATGAGCATCCTAAAATAATGATACCTGATAGGTAAGGATACCTCCATCGTAATTCTCCACCCCTGCATCGAACAACTATATGCTCTCATTCCATTGGCTTCCTGCGAATCGCAAGTCTTGTCTGTTAACGGCTTATCGAGGAATGCACCCATTATCTGAGAAAGTTATTACAATACACACAATTCAAACTGTGAATAACAAAAAGGTGAGTTTTGGAAATGACGACAATTGACAGAAATGGGAACCTTTTTCGCGATATTGATTTGGTTGGAATTTGAATTACGCACGCTCTCGGTTTGGAGATTGGTCATGAGATGCAATGCCATCAGTGGCCTCCAAGAACAAATATGACAACGAAGAGGACATTTGTTGGAAAGTCTGACGAACTTGGAAAATAATTGATCCACATTGATTAGGAATACGAAAATTTTAGAAAATCACCTTCCTTTGTTCGGTCAGTGGTGATGGGAAGCAAGATAATAGTTTTTATGAGTTTGAACGCTTTCTCTTATTTATTGTTTCTGATTTTAGTTCAGAGTCATCTTCCCACCGATTATTGGTAATGTCGGTTTGTATGTTGTGAATTAGTTTCTAAAACACAACATTGAACCCGTGCTACATTGAATTTAGGGTTAAATATTCGATTGAGCCATCCCCAAGTCAATCTCCCTATTTCCTCCAGTCACACTCCCTTCTCCAAACACTTTTATAAACAAACAGTGCAGCCTTGGTTCATCATTGTTAACAATTCTAAACGATCGTTCCCTGAGATTCACCCAAGTACATTTCAGAAAAACCTATGGCTCACTTCCTTTCCGAATCTCTATCAATTATTGCCCTTTCCTTGGTGCTCAACACTATTGCGGAAAGTATTTTGAGTAGCTTTGTGGTAATTAGCTAGTTGTTTCGTATATTTTCGTGTATAGTACAGAGGAATATAAGAAAGTTAGCGGAAACCTTACAAAGGTGTCCCTCGAGCGTTGGTATGCCGTATTCGAATAACTTGTAGTCTCGAAGAAGAAAGATCAGATTGTTCCTGCTAGCGAGGAGAAAAAGCACAAGAAGGCAATTCAGAGATTGAAAGAAGAAGAATCGGTACTTGTGAACAATTGCTTAATATTAGACTCTGAAGAGAGATTTAGGTGGAATGACCACTCGTATCAATATGATCATTTCCCTTGTTTTGATGATGATGATGGGTGTTTTCCGCTCTTCGTAATTATTTGTGTCACTGCTCTTATTTAGCTACTCTGGAGTTGTAGTTGCCAAACTCCCATTCGAGCCGGTCTCAATCTTCCGTGGTATTTTCCATTCTGGGTTAAAGAAAAGCACTGATCCTAGAGATTGCTGCATGGTATTTTTCGTAGTGGCGTTTTGAGTAGACTGCACTTTACATTCTGTGCAACATGACTTTCCGCCAGACAGTACGCTCGTGTGATGAATAATGACCAATAGATTAAAATGATCATGGGAACTCGTGGCCCACGTTCTTTGAACAGTTTTGCTCAAATGATGGAAGACGCCGAGGAAAAGGTTGACAAATACTACAAAACAGATTAATTTTACTTGAAGGTATTGATGCATTCTTACTTTCCCGGCTTGTTTACTCAAAGAAATGAATTGTATGCAAAATAGGAACGTGATGAGAAGTTTTTCGGTGAATAGATGGAAAGGCGGAGATAAAAGCAATGGTAACAACAGTTGCAGATATTGATTGTAAAGCGACGCATCGTATTACAGCGAATGAACTTCATCAGATTCCACAACAATTAAAAGAATATGAAACACACAAATAAAATAAAAGATTAAAAATAATATTATAAGCCCTACCATTCTCACCATCAATCCACGCTGAAGAAGTAGTAAAACGATCCTAAAAGCACCACTAACGATTCAAAAACAAACAAGCCTTTAATAAGCAGAGAATCCTTAGTACATATCCGGCAAAACACTTTCGCATTCTCATTCATTCCAGCCTTGTAATGATATCTGAATAGATATCCCGAACATCATCTGCAACACTATCCAGGCTAAAGGATGCATCAATTGATTTGAAAATGTAAATCCCTTGTTCTTTCGAAGCCTTCCGAGGCTTAAACGTTGTCGTCACAGAATCAAAGCGTTCCAACACCTCTCCTAGCAACTCCACGGCAGGACTCAGCTCTTTCTCTGCTTTCTGGGTTTCCATCTCGGTCGACAACACAGCCACATAAATTCCTTTCGGGCAAACACCCATCTTCCACGACAAGCACAACACGGAGATGTCGGACTCCCGAGGCTTATAGCCTGCTTTAATAAGCTGCTTCTTGAAAAGCCCAATGATGGCAGACTTTCCTCGTTCGCACTCATCGATGGGATGGTTGAGAAGACAAATCGATCGAATGACTTTCCCAGTCTTCTTTTGTCTATCATCGCGGAACCAACTGCTATCGCCAACAACGATGGGAGTTTGGGCAAAGCAATCCCCGATGGTGAGTCCTGCTATCTTCCCTTCCTGGAAAATGAGCTGCTTGGATGCTCTACACATTTTGCCACTCTCCAATTCCAATACTGCTGGAGAAGAACATCGCAGTGAGCATCTTGCGCTATTAATTCTTGCAAAACATCGCAAATCGATTGCTTCCCACCCAGAGGGTACAGAAACGGCGACGGTTTGTCATGCTTAACAGTTTCAACATATCTACACGTCGGTCAGATTTCTCAACACCAACGCAATAATCCGATCAAAAGTTGACTGGCATGCTTCTTCAAGATAGTCATCATTATCGTAAAGCGCTATTCCATGACCAATATACCCTTGAGAGCCGACGCTCAGGCCGTACTTCGCATAAACATCTTCCATCAGTAATCCTTTGTCTTCGTATCCTGAAGGATGATCACGATAATCCTTAATAGCCTGAAGAAGCGATTTCCATCGCTTTCTCTGAATCATATTGAGCAAGGGGGTCTGTGTTGCATCTTCAATGGAAAATGGTAACTAATGAAAAAACAGAATGCGTAGAATACTACCTTTCCTATTTTCTTTGTTCTTCCACTGTAAGCTACATGAAGATCTACACACTTAAAAGTGATCTTTTCAAAAATCCCGATTTCTCTTAAGATGGATGCCATACTTCCATACGACAATAAAACTTTTGGAGATAAATCGATATGGTACTCTTTTGGATTGCCTAAAGCTTCAAAATCTTCTTCCGTGGGTTCCTCTTCCCGAAAGCGGCTGAAAAGTTTCTAGAAATTTAAGTTGCCAAAAATAGAATACCAGTAAGTCGAAATTCGTGTTATCCCAGAAAAATGACTTCTTCCTTGAAACAATTAATACCTATATAATCAGAACAGGATATAGCACAATTCCTTTTTGCCATTACGGATTAACAATGCTGCTAGTAAGCATTCACGTAATCCAACGCCAAAGATTACAACATCATACTTTCCCCCTCCTAGTAATTTCGAATGACTATTTTCCGGGGGAAATGGATCTACAATTTCCATGAAAAATAAAGTCCTTCCACATATGAAACTCCTGTTGGCTGTTCTCTTTGATTATGCCACATATTTTTTCCCTGCAAGATATGGAAACAACTGAATCTTTGAAACAAAAGGTATTCGAAATTGCTCACAACTTTGGAGTAGGATTCATCTTTTCCGAATCTCTCAGAAACTGATTCAGAAGAGGAAGAGAGAAAAGCAAAGGAAGAAATGGAAAAGATAAACAAAGAATTGACCTCACTAAGTAAAGAAGAGCAGAAACGCATTAAAAACCTGGAATGCGAAGCCTCCCGCTATTTGTGGTACCCAGACCACGAGTCAATGAACAATATCCGAGTATTCTATTGTTGTTCTGAGACATGTAGTGCCGTTGCTGTCCGAAATGCTGTTTCAAAACAATCAGTAACGCACTCGAACATTTAAAGACAAAGAAACATAGGAGACTGTTCTCCTTCATGTTTGCACTAATCGATAGAGCTCGACGGTATGTTATTGATCATTGCACAGACAAGAAAAAGATAGAAGAGCGAAGAAATAGCAATTATGAACGATTGCAAAGATGGTACTACTGCTAGAGAAGGATCATCTTAATAGGATCGAAAAGAAGAAACTTCGGAGAAGCGCGAAAAGAAAAGAGAAACTGGTAAGTGATGGCAGAATGGTTTTAGCTAGAAAAATCTCACTCCAGAACAGATCGCTCTTCGAAAGGAAAAGTTCCAACAAAAGAAAGTAGTCAATTCTCTTGTCTGTGCTTTTGTAGGCTCGAAGGATGGAGAGAAAAAAGGCAGCAGAATCAAAGTAGTCGGGAAATGGTTTGGTTACTTATATGTTTGTTTTGAAGAACACACTTCTGGCTGCTAGTCAGTGGTAAAATAGACAGCAGCTTCTATATCAGGGTAATTGCCAGCCGGATCCTATTGCAAAGCAGAAATCACTGAGTATTCTACGGATTCACAGAGAGAGTGGTTTGTTAACGCATCAACTGCTCTGATCTTTGTAGTAGTGAATTCATCGAGTCAGAGTTTGGAGTTTTGCATCTTTCGATCACACTATCGCCTTCCAGGAAAGAGAAAAAATCCTCAGCAACGCTGATTATTCTATGGCATGGGTCTTCCATATGAATATATGTGAACAACCGATTTCTGTGTGAGTAGAAAACACGTTTCAATCTCTTTCTTTTCTTCGAATTCTCTGTTTGTTCTATTTCATAGCGACTGACTCGTGATGTGGTGGCTATAAATCATTCAACAGGCTCGGTCATGTTTCAAACAAAACAAGCAATATTGAATTGATCAGTTTTGAGAACCATCACAAAATACAGTTCATTAAATATGAAATTGCCGATTGTACACCATAAAGTTCCAAGATAGAAGAAAAGGAGTTGCACAAGTCTTGAAGGAGTTTATCGACTCTCTTTTGATCTTCTTCACCTTGTTCTTTTTCTAAAAATGGAAGATATTCAAGCAAAAGAAACGATTGAAAGTGGTATCAAAGGAAGGGGATAAAGTGGGAACAACGATTCCTTCGTCCGAAAAGCTTATCGACCACAATAGTACACACTTTGGATATACTCTATATTTATGATTAGTATGTTTATAATATTAATAATAATAATAATCTTACGAAGGGGAAACTGACTGGTCCGCTACCAACACTACATAATTAGAATAGCGTCCAGCTGGAATCGATACGCGCGTACCCCATTCTTCTTTCATCCATTTCCATATTTCTTCTCGATAAACAACTTCGTTTAAGTAGGAGCGCAGACCACAGAGCAACATTGTAGGTTCTTTATAGCGACAAACCTACTACATAAAATCGAAAAAAGGTTCAAACAAGGAGCTTCAGAGAAGTGAGTTCAGAACTCCAACCTCCTTCAAATTTTACATCAATATCTCGAATATATGGGTGTTCCTTTGCTGTTTCATCTACAAACAAACTCAACTCAAAGAAGAGTTCCGCAACTCTCCCCATTATCTTTGTCATTACATTCGATACACATACAATACACTAATTTTTCGAGTCGCTTTCCCCTCTATTACACAACCTCTGCTTTCCGTCCTTTCTAATTCAAATTCACATATTTTGCTTGTAAACTCATTATCCTCATCACAAATTATACTTTTTTTGAAAGAAGACATTCCTTTCAAAACAAATATGATAGAATGTGAGGTGTGGGTTACTGAGCATGCAAAAGAACAAATATTGAAGAAAGAAGAAGAGAAGGGAGTTGAGTTTGCTACGTTGCTCATAGGTGTTGTATTGTGATGGATGGATGGATTGAATATTCTAGGTTAGCAATACAAAACCAGTGATTACTGACTCTGTATCAAGTAGTCACTTAACGTCTGCTTTTCTTGTGGATTGTTGCGATTCTAGCTGCGTTGCTCCTATTTTGAATGTAATTATGAATTGTTTTGGCTGTTTGTATAGTTTGAAAGTAAACTCGCTTGTGGTAAGAGAATTGTGGGTATCTATACATCTTGCGGAATTCAAGAAAAGCGAATTAGGAGAATATTGAGCTTTTTGAATAGGAGCTGGCTTGTTCATCTCCGATCAGGTTTCTTACCTCCTTTGGTTTTAAAATCGGATTTCCACACGATGGTGAATCTTTCGATTCCGTTTCCGATCGTTTATTGTGCAATTGAAAGGGAAGCAGAAGAAGATTTTGTGGACACGTTTTGTGAATCTTTGAGAAGTCGATTATTATTGAAAAATGAGTATGGGATTCTTTCTGGGAATGCAGAGTGTTCTGGGACAATTTCGTTTGTATTGAAGCGAGCGAGTTTTGTTTGCGATGATTTGGTCCCGCTTTCTTTCAATTTGGATGTGTGTTATGTGGATGGCGAAAGTGTTGAGGAGGTAAAGACTGGGGTGATTGAACGTGTGAAGGATTTGTTCCACGAAACGATGACGATGAACTATGGTTCTGGCTGTTCTTTGTGGTAATGGAGTGGATGGGCTGTGATGGATAGGAAGAATGTGTATTCCTGGGAGTGTTCGTATCTCCAAATTGAACCGATCGAGAATCTGGTTTATGAGATGAATGACCCGAAGCGAAACCTTCTCTTTTGGAAGTTGATGTTAGTTCTATTCTGCTTGCTCGGTGTTTATTTTGTGTTCTGGCTTCAAGGAGGAAGAAAGAGTTGGTAGGGCAGTTGGTTATTGTGATTTGCTTGTTTTTTTTGGATCTCTGCTAATTCACAAATCTATGTCACATTGCGGAATAGTGCATTGTAATTGCATCGTAGTGGAAGTGTAGTGTAGTGTATCTTAGTACATTGTACTGCACTACACTACACTACACTACACTACACTACACTACACTACACTACACTACACTATACTACACTATACTACACTATACTACACTACACTACACTACACCACATCGCTTGATGATCCCTTTTATTGGTTTTGTTTACATACATATCTTTACAAACAATTGCATAAAGATCGATATTGTTACCTATATGCAGCAACATGAAAAATGGCTCGGTTTCTATCGTGCTCCTTTCTGTATCATAAAGGATGGTGACTATTCGTTTTGTACTTTTTCTAACTTTTGAGCATTTTGTTTCATAAAGGGGGATGCTGAACGAACAGAATCTCGGCTACCCTATAGAAAACACTTTACATGATCTGTAATTAAATTCATTTGGTATTCTCTCTTCGTTCTAAAACCTCCCTTTCATTAACTTTGCCAAAGATCATTTTAAATAGGCTGCTTTGCTGTCATCATTTTAGTGGCCTGTTTTATTGATTGTGTATTTCTCGAATGATTGATTGTACCCTATCATAGTCATTGCCACTAGATTATTCTCCGCCGAATTTAAACGAATTCCTTGTAATTTTCTGATATGAGACACGCTTTTTCAACAGTTCACTATTCACTACTGTATAACCTTATTTCTCAATCAACATGACACCAATATTATATTTTATACACGCTATTTACAATAATACCTTCAAAAGAGAATCTTGACCATCGTCTATTCTGTAAATAGAAATGATCCATTCTTGATAACATTTTTGACTGTCACGACTCTCACTGCTATACCAGACATTGTATCCAAAAGATCTCTCTTGTTCATTGATTGAAGAATATGCATACTTTTGCTTAATTTTAAATTGTTTGTGGTCGCTGCATTGTGGTTATCACTCTGGAGGAGTCATTACAGTTGTTTGAGAATTCTACGAACAATTAACTATTTTTTGATAAAATATTCAAATTATATGTAATAGCGATCTCGCACGCATCTGTAACTTCTATTTGGAGTATCTTTTTTTCCATTACTTTAAACACTTTGGAAATGTTGGATTAAATTGAATTACCACTAGAACATTTTTAAAAATATTGTGACCACATTGAATCCTAAACTACAATAAAAGAAGAGAACTCAATAATCCCTCGCCCTATCGGTCTCTCATTTTACGATATTGCAGTCAACTTTAAACATAATAATTACAAGCATTTTATACCCAAATTAAATATTAATAATTTTCAAAACACACTTGTTGCAAAGGATGCTTACATGAGTGTACTGTATTTGCTTTCACATGTATATATAAGTGGAATATATTATATATTAAGGCTATTGCTATTGAGTAGAAAACAAATGGTGTTAAATACAAATAACTGCCTGAAGATTCTTCATAAACGAACAACGCAAAAGGCTCCAAATTTCAACTACTCGTCTATGGTTTCTTATCCTGTTGACTCTTAGTGTCTTGAGTAAAAGAGTTTTGGAAATGTACCTTCCATTATTCTTTATTGCCAAACACAAAAGAATGTAATTTATAGTACAATTTAATCCATTTTTAAAACACATTTTGTTGTTAGTGCTTGGTAATTGTAGATTTGATTTACCTGACATATGTTATTAGTGCATTCTGTATTATCCTCGTGGATATTTCTTTGTACCTATTTTCAGCCAACACTTCACTTTTATCACTACAAGCTACTTCTCACAGATACATTTAAATTATATTAAAGACTTAAGATTAACCACTCTAAAGAGGGGTGGCAACATCGTACTTATAAACACCCTAATATAGTGACCGTGTAACCAACAGCACCACATCAGCACATATAGAACCCTCTATTATTTAGGCTAATCTCTGATGAGCCCATTTGACTGTTTTGTTTAAGAGCAATCGTCGCGATAAAATGATTGGTTGATGGGCATATTATTCGAGATAATTGCCTAAACGGCAAAATGTATGGATTATATGGAATGCAGTTTTTATTTCGATATGTGGTGTTACACTATTGTTTTGATTTTGGCTGTTGTTTCGGCAGTTAGATTGTCACCTGATAAATTTGAATGTACCACAGCAGGTTATCTGCAGTATGTTGAGGAATACAAGTTATTTAAGGGAGAGAACTATCATGATAATGACACTGAACTGGCATTCATTGCCACCTGCAATAAGATGAAAGATCGTGCTTCTTATGTGAGATACCAGCAGGAGTTCACTATTTTGAGTGATTTCACTAAGGACACTCTTGACCAGCTGATGGATCAGAGTGCTCTTGTCTATGCTGGACTTGGTTCCTATTATGATGGAGCTACCCATGAAGGAGAGGAAAAAGAACTTACATGGACTACTATGGATCGTGTTTTTGAAGATGTTGAGGATGTCCCCTACTCTCTGGCCAAGAATTTCGAAGGAGTGACGGAGGCTGGTCAGAGTACTTCTTGGGCCACCACTACTATTAAGGCTGCTGAGAAGGCTTTGGAATTCGGAAAGGTTCCTGGTGTAAAGCTTTCCTGGAGATATCTTTTTGAGTGCATCTATGGTGATAATCCTGATGACAGCTATAAGAAGGAAGGTGTTCCGCCTAAGGATATTATTGAGTTCATTCGTGAAAAGGGTCTTGTCACTGAAGATGCTATTATTGCCCATGGTAGTATTGACTGTGGCTATAATTATGAGAATGCTTTCCTCTTCAATGTAGAGGAAGCTGAGGGACCTAACAAATATGCTCTGATGAACCTTATTGATACTGAAAATCCGACTATTGTTCTTATGGCTATTGATCTTCATAAGATCAAGTATGTGGCTAATATGACAAACGAGGAGTATCCTGTTCGTTGCTCTTATGACGAGCCTACTCTTTATGGTATTGTTAAAGGATACAAGAATACCGAAGATTTTGATCAGGAGGGTTGGTGGTCGATTGAGACTAATGTGGTCCCTGGAGAGAGTGTTTATCTGCGTATTCCTCTCATTGCCAATAACACTAATGCCAACTATGCTGGTATTGCTGCTTATGCCTTCTCTATTTTGTATGATGGACCTATTCCTACTACTGAGGCCCCCGTCACTGAGGTTCCTACCACTGAGGCTCCTACTACTGAGGCTCCTACTACTGAAGCTCCCACTACTGAAGCTCCCACTACTGAAGCTCCTACTACTGAAGCTCCTACTACTGAAGCTCCCACTACTGAGGCTCCCACTACGGAAGCTCCCACTACTGAGGCTCCTACCACTGAAGCTCCTACCACTGAAGCTCCTACCACTGAAGCTCCTACCACTGAAGCTCCTACCACTGAGGCTCCTACCACTGAGGCTCCTACCACTGTTGTTCCAACAAATTTGGTTAACTATGAAGTGTTGACTTGTCTTGACTTGAATACTTTGATGGAGTATGAGGAAGGTGGTAATAATGGATACATTGGTTCTATTGTGGTTGCTATGCTTGATAACCAGGTGTGTGACGATTACGTAGAGTTGGATTTCACCAGATATTTCTGGATGAAATCCCTTAGTGTCACGGCCACATCCGACACAGTTTTCCCCAACTTGAAGCGTGTTATTGTTGGAAATGAAAAATTGACAGAGGTTACATTCGAAGGCATTGGTAACCAACTTATTGAAGAAGTCATTGAAGGTTCTGCGTTGGTGTTCAAGAAGTCTATCAATTTGGAGAAGATTACCATTAATACGTATACCTTCCAGCATTTCGAAAACTTCACTCTTGGAGAGAATCCTGAGGAGAATGAAGAAAACTTCCCTAAGTTGAAGAGCATCACATTCGGAAGTACTAATTTCAAGCAGGGTACCTTCAGTTTCTGGAAGTCCACACAGCCTTTCGTTCTGGTCAACCTTCCTTCTCTGGAGGAAGTTGTCGTGGGAACGCAAGCATTCTACCTTACTAATACTGTGGTGCTTGAGAACTTGCCCAAACTTAAGAGCCTCTATGTTAACAAGGATGCTTTCTATGGTAGTCTTGCTAGTGCTGAATTGACTATGTTGAATGTGGGTACGGAGTACTACAGCACTGAGCTGAAGAAGACACAGATGACTGTGCGTACGAATACTTTCAATTCTCATTTTAATGTGTATTTGAAGGGTATGGTTTCAAATGGTTTTTTAATGCCTAGATACTCCTGTTGCTATTGAGTTCACTCTTACTCCTGGCTCTGAAACGGAAACCACTTTCACTTCGCTGCAGCATATTTACTACACTTTCAGCGGTGAATGTATGTTTCATTTTGGTTGATTTGATATGTAGGGGAGACTCTTACTCGTGAGTTTGCTGAAGGAATTGTCACTGTGGCTAAGAAGGATAATAGTATTATTGAGCCTTGGGTGCAGCCTTAAGAACCATCTCTCCAAGTAATGACGACATTCTAACTGTGTGAATGTTGCTTGTTTCACAAACAAGTATAATAATAATAATAATCCATTGTCCTTCTGCTCTCTTTCTCTCTCGTGCCAATGTAATTATATTGTGTGAGCCACGAATGAGCAAGAACTTGCTGGATGTTGAGCCGCTTTTCCTTTTCTCGGAGGAGCTAAGGAGAATGACACACCCGTCGGATCCTACCCCTTGAATAAAATCTACGCATTTTGGACTTAAGGATGCAGGAAAGACGAGTTCCTTGTTTCGAATGTTCTCTTGGATTTTGTCTGTTTCTCGCTCCCCGAAAGGGGTTCTCCCTGTGCAGAGCTCGTACGTCAGAACCCCCAAGCACCACAAGTCAGCCTACGAGGGCACATTCCCGGCAGTACTCTACTTCGAACTCGTAGGAATCTCCAGCAGCCACTTCTGGAGGCATATACGCGGGCGTTCCACACACCGTGGTTCTTTGTTTGTTTCCTTTGTGAACTGCCCAGCCAAAGTCACAGAGTTTTGGCTCAAACTAGAAGAGATAGGTGGCTAGAGGAGATGGTACTCCGTCTCCGATTAAGATGTTCTCCGCCTTTATATCGCGGTGGATAACTCCGCGACTGTGCATGTAGGCAATGGCGTTGGCGATGCGCTGAACGAACCAGGAAGCTTGCCTTTCGGAGAGTTTTCCATTTTGATCGAGGAATTTCTTAAGATCTCCATAGAAGCCGTATTCCATCACCATATAGATCCGCGAATCGTCCCAGAAATAGCCGTAGAGTCCCAAGATATTAGGATGCCTAGAGAGCAAATCCAAAATCCAAAAAGCTACGACAAATGAGTTTGTACGTCGATTTCATTTTGAATCAGATCTACAATGCATCCCCGGGCTATTTCTTTCTTTGGGATCGCTTTGATTGCGACAATAAACTTTGACTTTCGTTCTCTTGCTAGATATACTTTTGCTCAGAGTCATACCCCGGGATAATGAAGTACCGTATCTTCCTGATCCAACCTTCATTCCGATTTCAAAATCGTTGATGGTCCATGTTCTTTTCCTGATGAATGGAGAATAGACGATACTTGATTTCCATTGCGTTGGTACTCTGTAAAAGGAAAACGGATGGAGCGTGGAGATGTTTGTGAGACTTTGGTAAAATCAAAGAATAAGATTTTGTATGAGAGAAGTGTTTCTTTGAAACAAATAGTACATTGATATTGATTTTAATAATAATAATCATTATAATAATAAAAAGGAAATAAAACTAATTCATCATAGAAGTAGATTTAAGAACAGTCCATCATCAAGCAAATGTTTGCGAGCGAGCGAACCCTTCATGGCGTTACTGGTTATAGTTCTCATGGCTCGGCCCCGCCCTTCGATCATAATACATCGAAGCTTGCGGGTAATTGGGAGGATAGTTTTGCATTCCGCTCGCATTTCCACTCGGATTTGCGTTCGGATTTGCGTTCGGATTTGCGTTCTGCATGTGCATTCCCATCTGCATGTGCATTCCCATCTGCATGGGCATCTGCATCTGCATCTGCATGGGCATCTGCACCTGCATTCCCATCTGCATCGGCACATGTCCCTGCATCGCCATGTTGTACATCGGCATCTGCATCGAATTCGAATTCGAATTCGCGTTCGAATTCGAATTCGAATTCACTCCGGAACGAGGCGTTTCCGCGGCGTGCTGCCGTTTCTCCAACTAGTTGATCATTCCCGCGGGACCCCCACGATGCGTTTCAAATTCGCTTTCACGTAATTCACGAAACTCTCCGCATGGCGGAACACTTTCCCGTCGTACAGAATCCCCGCGGGACGCAGCTCCGCATACTCGTGGAAAACCGCGGTTCTTCGGCAGTAGGTCATGCGCAGCAGCCCCGGGCGTTTCCGACTCAGCGACACGCGGTACGGCAGATACGCGGGATTCCCGCGGGACTGCTCGAGGACGAGGGCGTCGACGCGCTCCTAGAGATGATTCCCGCGGGGAAAGTTCACATCGGGGAGGTCGGCGAACTTGGAATAGCGGGAAATGGCGTCGACCAATGAAACGAGGGGTTCCACGAAGCGCGCGATAATTTCCTCCAAATCCGTGTATGTCGTCCCGCACAGCACCAGCTTCTTCCCCAGTCCCGCGGGATTCTCCGGGTCCTTCTCCTCCTCGTCGATTTCGAACGTCGCCAGCACCTCCGACCCCAACTACGTTTCCACGTTTCCACGGTTCTACCTTCACCGTCAGCAGCAGCTGCGCGTCGCCCTGCGGGCTCGGACGGAAGAGGCAGTTCCCCGCGGGGAGGGCGGCCAGCTCGGCGGCGGCGCCGCGCGCGTCGACGCAGCGGTAAAACGGGGAAAAAATGGCGCGCTGCGCGAGCCGACGCGCCAATTTTTCCCGCTCCAGCGAAGCCGATTGCGCGGCAAGCTGCTTCGCCTCCCAGGGCTCCGGCTCCGCCTGGTAGTACGGGTCCAGGGGCGTTTCGCGCAGCGGGTCGTCGTCCCCCGCGGGAATATCCGCGGTGAGCTGGACGCGAAGAAACTCCGCGTCGATGCGCAGCACGCGGCACGTGAGCTGGTCCCCCGCCTCCAGATCGTGGAAACCGTGGAAACCGTCCCCGCGGGGGAAGTCGGCACTGTCGAGGTAGCCCGGCAATCCGTTGTCGAGGCGAAGAAGCGCGCGCTGGTCGCCCAGGATTCGCGTCACCGTCGCTTTCACCTCCGTCCCGCGGTGAAACGACGCCGGCGTCTCCCCCGCGGTTTTGTAGAGCAGCGTGAGCGGGTCCAGCGTGGCGAGCGCGGGACGGCCGTCATTCCCGCGGGACGTGAGCTCGTTGCAGAGGAGGGAAAGCGGGAGGTCGTCCATTTCGGGGATCTTCGATCGAATTCCACGATGAAACGCACCTCCGACTCCAACGCCGCCAGCGCCGACGCGCTCAGGAACCGCGGGGAAGAGACATCCCCGCGGGAATCTCCGTCCGAGTCCGCGTCCGAATCCCCGTGGGAATCTCCGTGGGAATCCCCGCGGAAGTAGACGGCGGGGTGGAGCAGAACCTCCACAACGGCTTCCTGGCCGCGCATGTCGTCGCGCCGGGATCGGACGAGAACCTCGCAGACGCGCAGAACCACGGGAAACAGGGAAACGGGGATCCGCAGCATGTCCAGCACGTGATACGGCGATGAAACGCCCAGCGTTTCGAGGTCGACGAGCCGGTTCACGGCGAACTCTGGATGGGATTCCCGCGGTTCTCCTCCTACTGAGGAAGGCGTTACAGTTTCGGAAGACGACGTCGCCGAGCTCCGCGACGCGCTTCAGATCCTCGCGGTTATGCAGCACTTTCAGATGCGCCTCCACCGCGCGCTGCAGTTCCCGCGCTTTCCGCACCCCCAAGCCCGCCACGAACGGCAGCATTCCTACGCTCGAGCCCTCCCCGCGGTTCTACCGAACCCGTCCAGATACGTCGCCGCCTCGTGCAGCGAAACGCCCGCCGCGGCGACCTCGACGCTCAGCACCTTTTCGAATTCGCGCAGAAGCATCGGCGGCGGCGCGGCGGCCTGGTCTTCGTCCAGCTCCAGCTCCAGCAATGCCGAGTGCAGCGGCTCCGTCGGCGCCGTCCAGTACAGCGCCGCCGTCTCGCGCAGCGGGTTCTGCGCGAACCGCGCCAGGAAAACCGCGGGAAGGCTCCCCGCCAAATCCGGCGGGTACAGCGACGGCGAAGCCGCGTGCGCGCGCAGCCGGCTCACCGCGTCGTCCGCCACCAGCACCTCCGCCGCCATCCCCGCGGGACGCGAAGCAGCGCCCTCGCGCGCCGTCTGTGCGTCAGAGCGAATCCCCGCGGGTACCTCGTGGCGCAGCCGCGCGGCGAGGGCGCGCTGGATCCCCGCGGTTTGGACGCCGAGCGCGGTGTTGAGCACGACGAAGTCGGCGGCGTTTCGCTCCGCCAGCTTCGCTACCGCCTCCACCATCGCCTCCTGCCGCTCCCGCGGGACAAACCCGCCCGCGGCGACGACCGCGTGATCGACCACCACGCCGTTTTCGTTCAGCACCGCCGCCACCGAGCTCGATTCCCGCGATTCTGCGAACGCCACCGCCACCACCGTCGCCGTCTTGCCCTGCGCATAACCGCGGGGAACCGTCCCTACCGCGCGCGTGGCGAGCCCGCGCCGACAGACGAGCCGCGCCAGCGCTTCGCCCGCGCGCTGCGCCACCGCGATCGCCGCGCTTTCCCGGAGCGTCTACGCGATGAAACGCCCTCCCCGCGGGAACCTGGAGGACCCAGCCGCGCGCCTGCCGTTCCAGCTGCTCGCAGCACTCCTGCACGGCGCGCAGCTGGAACGCGCGGTACGGCGAAGCCGCCGCCTCCCCCGCGCTCCCCGCGGGAAGCACGGTGAGCTGCTCGAGCTGCGTGCGCAGCGCGGCGACGCCGTCGCGCAGGTCGACGCGCCACTGCACCAGCCCCGCTTCCCGCGCTTCCTCGAGCGCCAAAAACGCCTCTTCGGACAGCTGCGCCAGCGGCTTCCCGCGCAGTCGGTGCAGTCCGAACACGCGCGCGCCGCCGTCCAGACGCGCCAAGCCCCGCGGGGTCGGGTCCGACCGCAGCGTGGCCGCCTCGAACAGCACGTCGCGCGCGAAGGACTGCACCGCGGGGTCCAGCGCCAGGAAACTCCCGTACAGAACCGCGGCATCCGACAGCAGCGCCGACGCGCCGCGCGACGACGTGCAGAACGCAGAGGTCGGATGCCGCGCCACGAAGTCCGCCACCAGCGCCTCGGGCTCCTACCCTCGAATCGTGGAAACGTGGAAACCTGGTCGGGACGGGGCGGCTCGGCGGTCATGGAGCGGGAAACCAGATTCACCTCCACGCGGTCCAGCTCCACCGTGAACTGCGCCGCCAGGTCCAGAACCGCGGGATCGCGCGCGTGCGGCAGGCGCCGCAGCAGCCGCGTCAGCGCCGGATTCCCGCGGGGCACGGCGTTTTTCGTAGAATTCTTGGCGGAATCCTCGGCAGAATCCTCGGCGTCGGGGGCGAAGAAGGCCGCCAAAAAGGCGGCGTAGCTCTGGATTCCCTCCACGAGGCGAGTCGAGGGAGTCCTCAAATCCGCCAGGAGTTTCTCCACGAGGCGCTCGACTCCCTCCAGGCCGTCCGTCAGGTCCCGCGCGCGCAGCTCCCCGCGCAGCGCCTCCAGCCGCGCTCTGGCCTCCGCGGCGGCGTCCTAGGCGTGAGTCCCGCGGGAGAGGCGGACCAGGAGATCGAGGTAGCGGCGGTAGGCGTCGCAGACCTCCCAGATGGCGTCGTCGGTGAGGAGGTCGAGATGGCGCGACTCGAACTTCATGATGTACGCGGGCTCCAAATGCTCCTCGCTGTACAGACGCAGCACCTGCGCGATCTGGTCCTGCGCCTGCTTCTGCTTGTCGAAGTCCAGCTGCACCACGCGGCGCTTCTGCAGCTCGCTCAGCACCCACCGGCTGCACGCCTGCTTCGCCTCCAGCCCCTCCAGCGCGCGGAAATCTACGATGGAGCCGGGCGAAGAGACTCACTGTCGATGAGCTGCATGCGCTCGGGGAGGTCCAGCGCGACGATCTGGAGGTCGTGCTCGGTCAGAAGGTGCTCCGCTTTGTACAGAGACTCCTCCGCTTCTTTCAGCGTGCGGAGCTCTTGCGATGGAGGCACGTCGGGAATGGCCGCGGAGTCGGAGGCCTCGTCCGCTTCTTCGGCTAGAGAGGAGGAGGGAACGAGGAAAGCATACCGATGCCAACGTCCTTGATGAAGTAGGCGATCTCCTCGCCAAAGTATTCCACGGCAAGAGCGTACTACGGATGAGAAATTTTGTAAAATAAAAATATAAAATACATATTTACGCTTGCCTTCGCTTACATACTCATCCACATATTGGCTGTTCACATCGTCCACTATAAAATCCCCATTTTCATTATTGAAGTCGATCTACAAATCGTACACCCCTTAAATACACTCACATCACTTGCTCCTCGATACTCCCTTGGATGTCGTGGAGTCTCCTCGCTGTGATTTTCACTCTATGCCTCATTCAAATCCACTAAAAAAACCATGTAGGAATCCGCGTCTTCATCAGAGTCTACACAAAGGGTTAGATCGATCCGAAACTCTCAAAATCTACTTACCCACTGACATCTTCTCCTATAGATAAGTTTCCATCACATAAACACCTACCACATTGTCCCGTTCTTCATTTTCATTTAGTACATCAATATCATCCAGATCGATTTGCTTCTTCTTTAATCTTCTGCGAATTAACGGAGCTTCCACACCATCATCACTAAGGTCATTATCGCTTTCGTTATGTGAATCGATTCTCCGTCTCTTAACGGCTGTTAGAGCATAGTCATCGTCTGACATGATTTGACTCTCTTAGAATGCGTTATTAACAAACATTCGAAAAGCCTGGAAATTGCCTCGATTTCTGGAATTGTGGTAGTATTCTGGAGTTCTCTATCGATTTGGAGTCTAGATTTCTTGGCTATTCAACTGAATCCGGTTCTGGAACCTACCATTTAGAAATCAAAAACAACAACATACAAAGATCGTGGTTCCGGAAAAGTCTTCCGTCACACACACTTGGCAAGCCAGGCGAGAGCTAGTTATTAGTGCCTCGATTTGCTGGTACTGCTTGCTCTTGCTTCTTGCGATGTTATCCAGCCACATTTGTTCTCCCACTTTTGGAGCTGGAATCTTGGACGACAGCGATTCAGAAAGTACCACATGGCAAAATTGACATCGATCTCCTCGCTGATAGGTGTCTCTGGACCACTTTTCCATATTGAACACTTTATTCGGAATACCAAGACCTTGGCAATCACCTATCCAAATAGAAAACTAAACATTGAAAACGATACCTGGAATTGGGATGCCGTACGTATCGGCTGTTTCTTTCAAGGTATCACCGATTCGAGCCTTTACTGTTCGAGACTGACCATTGGAAAGCGAAAAGGTAATATCCACTCTTGATGAATGAATCTTTTGTTCAATCCATACGTGCTATCCGACGAAGCAGGATTCCAGAGAATAAAGCGACAAGGTACTAGGCGTAATGCGTTGTTATCGGAAAATGTACCAAATAACGAGGAAAACGAGTGTCTACATGGACTTAAACGTCGACAAAGATGCGGGAGCATCCTTCTTTGCAGAAGAGGGTTCAATGAGTAGGAATGTGAGAGATAAGAGATATGGAATGAGTGTAGGATGTGTGATTTTTCGTGTGTAGGATGTATTGGTGTGTGATAACATGTCTTGAAGTGTGTCTGCGAGTTGTGTACTCGTTTAAAGCTTTTATAATCATTCTTATTTCTTTCATCCTCCTATTTTCCTCCTTCTTCTCTTAATCCTCCACCATTACCACCACTTCAAATTCCAACGATTCCTCCAACAAACACTCCAAATCGATCGACCCAAGTCATTCATTTCATACTCCAATTCATCCGGCTCCGGCCTCATCCTCACTCCCTCATACCACTTATCTCTCCACATCTTCACATCCTTCGCCATGTCCACCATCTCCCTCGTCAACTCCTTCCAGCAATGATTCAGCAGCGCCGAACTCGTTCCCAAATGCTTCTCCATTCGCCTCCGCAGCTTCCGCAGCGGCTTCTTCACATTTCCCAGCGACGCGTTCTTCGCAAACGCCTGCTTCGTCACCAAGAACGGCAGCTGCTCCTCCGATTCCGCCGTGACATGCTGCTTCGTGGAATCGTAGAACTCCTTAAACCGCGCGAATTGATACCGAATTTGTTCGTCCAAATACTTCGATTCCGCCTACTCATCAGCCCCCAAAACCCCGCCAAAATCCCCACTTCTTCGTACGCCGCTCGCCACGCCTGCACTTCGCCGCTCAGCGCGTCGATGATGCGAAGTTCCATCGTGGATTCCAAAAATTGGAGGTTTTCCGTCAAGATCAGATTGGTGTATTTCGGACCCATTCCCGCGATTTCCTCCACCTTGGCACGCACTGCCTTCCCCATTTCCACCAAGAGAGCGAGGGGATCGCATGCAGCCTCCCCCGCGGGGGTTTTTCCCGCGGGATTGGGGATGGTCTGGTTCAATTGGCTGTGGATTTCGCGCATTCGGTTGTTCATCGGGCCGCTTTTGTCCAGCGCTTGCTTCAAGCGGCCCGTTACCACTGTACGCAGTTTCTCCGATTCCACGATCCGGTCCGCCACGCACGGCAGAATCTTGACGGGCCGCAGCACGCCGCAGTACCGCGGTTCTACGTTGGTTTCTTGGATGTGCCGGTTGATTTCGCGCGCGAAGGCGACCCATTTGGCCTCGATTTCCTGCTTCTCGGAGAGACACAATCGGAACAACACGCTGTTCCGCATCAAGATTCCGCCGTGCTGCATGGCGAGCTCCAATAAATCGATCTGCGATTGAAACAAGAACGGACTTTGGTTCTCGTTTTCGATGAATGAATGCAAATTCACCGACACACACTTCAGAATTTGGTTCAGCGACGCGTCGATTCCACGTTTCTCCAATGTCTCCTTCGGCTTCCCCGCGGTTCCAAACACCTCCACGCACATCAATTCGATTCGCTCGCTCACCGGAAGCAGGTACGCCAAAAACCGCTCCAGTCCCACGGGAATCAAATATTGGCCCATTTCGTCCCCGCCGTCCCGGTAGAATTCCCGCGTTTCCTTCATCTCCTCGTTCCCCGACGCGATTCCCGCCAACCGCAGCGCGTCCCATTCGCCCTTCTCGCTCGGCGGGAGTTTTTTCTACCTCGCACAATCAATGAAACGCCCACCAGCCGGCTCTGAATCTCCGAAACGGTTTTCTTCGCCTCCTCCTCGTGGGGTTAAAGAACCGCGGGAATTCGAACAGGATATAAAACCGCGGGAAAGCGTATCGATGATCGTCTGCTTGACATCTTCGCCCATGGCTTCGCTCTACCCTCGATTTCCCGCCAAAACGCAACGAATTCCGCGATTATCCGAAGCAGCGGAGCGACGCACGTGATCTGCCGGCACGCCTCGATAACCGCGGTTTTACCGAGTCTCTGAATCCAGCCCTTCAGCGACGAAACGGTCATGTCGAAGAAACGCTTCGCGGTTTCCACGTTTTCGCTTTTTCGTTCGCGCACGGAAGCGAGCGAGCTGATTGGATAGTTCTACGCATTCCCGCGGGGATCCGATCCTACGCAGAGCGTCTGATTGGACGCCACGGAGATTCGTTGCAACTCGCTGGCGGCATTTTGGAGGCGAAGCAGAAAATTGGCGGGAGGCAGAGAGCGGAGCGTTTCGTCCAATCCCCCGTTCTGCACCTGGTTTCCCCACTTTTCACACTCCTCGAAATACTATTCCTCGTCCCGCGGTTCTACGCCTACTTTGCGCAGACTTCCCTCCACATCGTTCAGAATCCCCGCGGTTTCCGGGCTCAGCGTGACCATCGCGATGAGCGTCTACATCCCCAACATCCCCGCGGTTCTCACCTGCACGGTCTGCTGCAGTCTCCCGTGGTTCTCTCGCTGTTGCACGAGACTTTTGTTCTCCTGCGTGATGGCGCGCAATGCATGCGTCATCGCCCCCAACTTGGCGTTTCGCTTGTAGAGCCATTCTTCGAATTCGACGAGCTCGGTTCCAACCGAATTCGCGCTCTGCAGGATTCGGTTCACGGATTCGTTTCGACGCGTTTCCATCTCCAATAAATGGTCCAGAATCACGCGCTCCGAATTCTACAAATCACACACTGTTAAACCGCGGGAACGTTCACTTGCGACGTGATGTCGGATTGGATCCCGTCCAGCGTTACCGCGGGAATTCGGTACTCGATTTCCTCCACCGTCGCGCGCAGCGCCGCTTCCAGCTGGGCGTTTCGCTCCTTGTACTGCGAGGTCACCGCGGTGGAGAGAGTGGAGAACTGGAGGTAATGGGGAAACGGGGAAACCAACGGCGCGCTCGCGTTGCTGGGAGGGGGAGGAATAGAGAAGACACATCGAATCGAGGTCATTGAGCATCGAGAAGCGGTTCAGATCCTCCACGTCGATGTTCTTCAGCACGAGCGGAGCGTTCAGATACTGCGTAGACAGCTTGGAGAGCAGGTAGATGATCGCATTCGAAATGATCAAACGGAAGATGAGGAGTACATGCATTACGCGGTTCTTCGCGCAAAACTCGATTCGCTTGTCGCTTAGCTGGAGCTCCAGGTGAAGAAGATGGATATCGGGGTTCGCGGAACCGTTTGGAGCGTCGATTTGACGGACTGAACGCACCTCGCCCAGAGTGCATCCTTTGAATAACGAGAACGAAAGACCTGTGTGAGTTTTGTTGCATTTCGAGGTGATCTATTCGAATCAAGCAGTTGGAATTGCACTCATACATCATACACGCGGAGAACGCCGGGATCGTCGTCACGCACTTTTTCGGCTGTAATGCACAGAAAATCCAAAAATATCTTTTTTGAAGTATCGAATACATTCAGTGGAATCATGGATTCTCGCATTCGAACCACGTCCACCAAAAACACAATCTGCGGCTTATTTATTTCTACTAAACTGATACTTCGCCGAGGATCTCGCTAGAACAAGCGTAAATTTCTTCATTTAGGGATTCGGACGATAATTCGTTGAGAAACAACAATTCGTCTCGAATCTCCACATTACTATATGGACTACATGATAATCCCAAACTCAAGCCAAAAGCTACTTAGACATGATCCAATATGTCCTAGATAATGAGAAATCCCAGATTTGAAGGAGCCGATCGGTTCCGAAACGTGGCGGAAAAAAGGCGAATTCCCGTGATTCAACAAACAACTCCCCCAATCCAGCCAAAACGGCTTAAAGCAACACGAATCCTTGTTTCTTTTGTCTTTTTTTGTCTTTCCTCCCGTCACCATCGCACCCAAACGCTCTATCTTCCCGTCTGCCGCTGTCTGCCCCCGGTCGTTCGCTGACTCAGTATATTGAACGGTCTTCTTCCCTTGTACCCATCCTCTCGCTTCTCCTCCCGCATTCTCTTGTTCGCGTCTTCCAGCTCGTTCACCTTCTCCGCCATCTGCAATGTCAGCATCTCCACTCGGCTCGGCAGCGTCTCCACGAACTGCAGCATCGTCGCGTCTTCATTCCAGAACGCGCTCACCAATCCCTGCAGCAGCAGCCGGTTCACCTCGGCTCGCACACGATCCGCGGGGAGACTGAACATTTCGCAGAGCCCCTCCAGACTCAGCGATTGGTAGCACGTGCCGCGCTCCAGCAAAAACGCCTGCAGCGCCAGCGTCTGCGTCTTCCCTTCCAGCATCGCCAGCACGTTCTCGCGCATTTCCGCGGGGAGGAACCGCCACGCGTCGATTCCGCGGGAAATCGCGACGGCCTGGCGCCAGTCGCCCTTCTAGAGGTGAGTGTCCCGCGGGGAAAGCACGAGAATGGCCTCGTAGGCGGCGAGGACGCGGAGCGAATCGGTGTCCGGGCGGAGGAAAACGTGTCTGCGGTAGCGATCGTAGTAGCGCTTGAAGAAGGCGGAGATCTTGTAGATGTTGCTTCGCTGCGGGTGAGCGGGTCGGAACACAAAAACACACATCGGCCACCATGGAGGCGACGTCCATGAACACGCAGGAGAGCAGATAGCACACCTCCACCAGCTCCAGGTTGACCCACTACCGTTCACTCGTTCTCCCGCGGCGTACTTGATGCATCGGCACGCTCCACCGCTCGTGCAGCGCGTGCGTCTCCTCGTCCTGCGCGTCGCTGCCCTGCGCCACGAGGGCGCGGAGCTGGTTGCTGCGCGTGCCGAGATTGACGAGGTCGTCGAGGCAGTTGTGCGCGTAGACCATGTTGCCCTGGCAGAACGCCGCCACGCCCAGATGCATCATCGCGCGGTTGAACAGCAGACGCTGCTCGTCCTCCGCGCGCACGATCCGCTCCTGCACGTGCGCCATCAGCATCAGATCGCGCGCCGCCACGAACCGACCGTTCACCGAGAGGTGGATGATCTCGTAGAGCGCCGCCTCCAGGCGCTGCGCCGCGATGCCCTCGCGGTACACCAGCCCGCACGCCGCGCGCACCGTGGCGAACAGATCCGCGGGGGGCTGCGCGGGGCGGCAGGTGGAGTAGAGCGCGCGATAGACGGGCTCGCGGAGATAATGGCTGGGGGTGAGGCAGGATAAAAGAGAAAAAAACAGAAGACGGACGCGGAGCAAGGCCATCTGCACGCAGAGACGCGGCTGCGCGGCGTAGTAGCGCTGCACGCGCGCGGCCAGACCCTCCAAGCGAACCTCGTCGCGCAGACGCGCCACGTAGGCGGTGGAGTGCGCGTCGCTCTGCTGCTGCGATCGCACGTAGTCGGCGGCGAGCTGCGCGACGTACTGCGCCAAATCGCCCTCGATGCGCGCGGGCGAGTCGCTGGCGGCGAGGTCTTGGAGGTCGGCCTCCAGCGTGTTGGCGCCGCGGATGGCTTCGTAGACGTTGTAGAACTCGAGGGAGAGCGAGGGATGCGACTCCACGAGCGACAGCATCGACTCGATCAGCTCGAACACGCGGCTCCAGTCCTCCGGAGAGAGCGAGCCGCTTCGCGACGCGCTGCGCAGCTGCGAGACGACGCAGTGCGAGAGCACGCGCAGCTGGTATTTCACGCCCAGCTCGGCGGCGAACGGAAGCAGCTCGCTGAAGTTCTGCAGCACCAGCGACGCGCCTAGGCCGTGAGACAAGCTACGGAGAGGAAACTTCGCTTCTCGCGCGTTTCCAGGATCGAGCGCACCGCCGTCATCAGTTTCTCGGGCGTTTCGTAGGTCTTCCGCACGACTTCGGCCTCGGCTTCGGCCTCGGAGAGCTCGGTTTTCTCCTTGTCGAGCTTCTTTCGCTCCTCGTCCTTGCGCTTCTTCTCCTCCTCTTTCTTCTTCTTCTCCTCCTCTTTCTTCTTCTGCTTCTCGATGTCCTTCGGCTGCAGCACCCACTTCGCACGTCCCGTCAGCTTGGGGTTCGGCTCTTCGTCGCTGTCGCTATCGCTGTCACTGTCGCTCGAGAAATCGCTATCGGACGACATGGCTTCCGAATCGTAGTACGATTCATCATAGTACGATTCATCACTCTCCGAGCTCTCACTATCGCTCTCTTCAGATCCAGAACCCGAACCCGAACCCGATTCAGATTCAGATTCAGAATCAAACTCGGATCCGGACTCCGATTCACTTCCATACGAAGAACCCGAATCGCTCTCCGATCCAGACTCCGATTCGCTCGGCTCCGGCTCCGACTCGCTCTCTTCGATGGGGTTGGCACGGAAATCCGCAACTAGCTGGGCGAAATCGGCGTTCTTCAACTCCTTCTTGATGGTTTGCTTCATTCGGTTGAACGCCATGGCGACATTCTTTGAAAAATTCTTTGTATCCGCCTTCGAAGTGTTATTGATCGCGTCGTCCAGCTTCACAAACTCGCGGATGTACATCACGGGATAGCCCTACACATCATCTCCAAAACCCTCACAAACAGTCTCACTCAGAACACGACCATGGTCATCCACCTGACTCTTCAATTTGTCATAGTCTATATGTCAGTTTTCATCCCAATTCCCACCATTTGCCAACTGGACCCAGTCATTGATTCTAAAGTGATTCTTTATATTTCTGGTCACTTCCTTCATCTCGTCCATATATTTCTCCCTGCAAATAAACCACGCCAAGCCAAACTCACTTAGGAGTCTTGACGATACGCTTCTCTTCTTCGCTATCGCTATCGGATTCGATGACATACTTGGACTTCTCCATAGGCTTGCGTTGAACCACTTCCTCGGAAGAATCGGAGTAAGACGAATAATCGCTGTAATCGTCTTCCGAATCGTATCCTGCCCAAAATCGATTTTGATTATTCGACATTCGGAATCACTTTATCCAGTCAAGGTGCTATAAAGCTTTATTTTTTTCTGTAGGCGTTTCAAACCAACTCTTCTTTTTCACTTATTCCTATTCATTCTCAAGTTTTTTGTGGAAGAGGAAAATCAAATGAGTGAAAATCACGAATTCCGTGTTGTACCGGGAGGTTTGGCTTCTTTAGGGACTCTGAGCTATAGATCGTATTGGCTCGTGTGAAGAATTTGAGTGCGGCGACGGAGTTTTTGCAAACAATGGTATTATTTATTCATCCATCGTTGGTACGCGAAAACAAAAACCAGGAAGTATGTGCCTCTTTGGTTAGTAAAATGTGTAGCAAAGCTTCCTATCATCTACGTTGAGCCTGCCAAACAAGTTATTATTCCGAATGTTGGCGATATTGTGCTCGCCCGCGTCACTTATGTGACGGCTGTGTAGAGGTTTCGATTATGCGTGTGATATAGAATGGCAAGCCTCCATATATTGTGTGTCAACGGAGTTGCTGTTACCTCCTACTTCCGAGGCACAATCCGTAAAAACCATGTTCGGGCCTTTGAAATTGACAAAGTTGTAATGTACAACTCCTTCCGCATTGGCGACATTGTTCGAGCGCGCGTACTATCGCGAGGAGATCGGCGTTCCTACTTTCTGTCGACCGATCAGAATGATTTGGGAGTCATTCTGGCCACCAGCGCTACAGGAAGTCCGATGATTCCTGTAAGTTGGGAATTGATGCAATGTCCCGAGACGAAGCAAGTGGAATACCGCAAGGTAGCGAAGATCCTCTCGGATGAGGAGATCAACGTGTTGAAGAACAAACAATTGGTGAATGAACTTGTTTCATAGAAAAAGGGCAGCTTTCCAGATTGAAGTATGAGTCCTATTCGTTTATAATAGTACTACTTATTTTTATATGAATATGCGTATTATAATTTTTATTATTAATAATAATAATAATAATAATAATAGTATTGTTGTTATTATTTCCATGCTGTTTGTTGGCTTTATTGGCTTTTATCAAAGGAGCGAAACACAAAACAAAAGATCACTATTTCCCTTCTCTCTCTTTTCTCATTCTTCACTGGTCCTACACTTTCTTAGGCACAGCGAAGCTTGAAAACACGTGAATGTTGCCTTCCATCGTTCCCGCCAAAAACACAAAACACGAATTGACATCCTCCGTTACATTGTTTTTCTTTTTATATGCCTGAACCACCTCGTTCACGTCTTCGATCTGGCCCGGTTTGCAGTTCTGAATCGCATTATCCGGAACGATCGTCACACACGATAATCGTTCGTGTTCCAAGCAGCAATGAAAGCTTTCAAACGCCTCGTAATGCATAATTCCGTCTCTAACTACCGTAGGCTTCACCCCCAAGTCGCAAGCCGTCCTCCACATAAATCTACTCCGAAGCACGCTCTACTTCCTACATTCTGTCGTCATCCGATCCGCACACGATGTACTTCTCATTGCTACTATTTCTAACTCCTTCCCTACACCTCGACCTAATCGATGCTCGGAATTGCCGACTTCGGTTGGCATGACCCTTATATTTACTAATGAGCCCGAACGTGTCCATCGAAATCAATCGAATCCGACTATCGTTCGTGGTCACCACCATACACTGCCCTTCATTGCGCTCCACAAACGCGATCCCCGTGACTTTCCTCCCCCTCTTATCTTTCCCGCGGTGATTCCTGCACTCGGTCTGCGTGAAGTACCGCAGTCCGTCCGAGTAGTAGAAGATCACCTGCCCATCGAGCAGTCCCGCGGCGCAGAGCCGTCCGCCCGGGCAGAACGTCACAGTGGAGATAACCGCGGGTGCCTGGACCCACTTGAGGACGCATCCCTGCGGAATGGACCAGATGCGGAGCTTCCTGTCCATGGATCCGGAGAGGAAATAGCTCTCTTCCTCGGGAAAGAAGTCCACGGAGGTGACCATGTCTCTGCGCGTGAGAGAGAGGAGAAGGAGGCGTGCTTGTGCCGGAACTCGCAGAGGCAGGAGGGATCGTGGATGTGCCACAAGCGAACCGTGCAGTCCAGCGACGCGGAGAGAAGAAACCCGCTTTTCGACCACGCCAAATCCACGATGTGCGACTAGAAAACAAATCGCTGCCAGGCAAGAAACGGTGTGTCCTGCGTATTTCCGCACAGGCGCTTCATCGAACACATGCATGAGGTCGCTCCTCGAGTCGCGCCCCAGCGTCCCCGTTCGGACTTTCCACACGCAGATCACGCCGTCGGCGCCGGCAGACGCGAGATACTCGCCATCGGGACTGAACTTCAGCGCCCACACGGCCTTTCTGCAGGTAAAGCGACCGAGGGAAGCGACTTGTGCTCGCGAAGCTCCTGGCAGATGCGGAGCTCACTCAGCTCTTGAAAGGATTTGCCGACGACGTTCACTTTGATGGTGCCTTCGGAACGATCTCCGGACTGAGCGTTAGAGGAAAACGAAGAGAGAGACGGAAGGATTCAACGAGTCGGAGTCACTTTGTTTGAGTAAAAAAATAACAAATTGTACACGTCGGATTCGTCCGAGAAATCGTCGTATTCATCGTTCTCTAGAGCTTAGCGGAGAGAGACGAATTAACCGGATGTTTCTTCTATCTACCTGTTAAATTCATCTCTACATAGGATACAGTCTCCCGAATGTCCATGCCTTCTTAGCGAAAAGAATATCTGCTTCGTTTTTTCTTGTATTCTCTCTCGTTTTTTGGATCGAGTGTATTCGTATCGTTGGCTTACGTCAGATTGATACTCCGATTTTGTTTTTGCTTTGAATCTTGCATCTTGACTCGATTCTCCTGTCAATAATTCGTTGAACCATTCTATTTCGTTTTCCCTATTCAGCAGGTGCGGACACGAATCGTTCCCTTTTCAACAAACATCCCACATAAACACAGGACCCTTGCCTTAAATCTCCTACGCCTGCTCCTCCTGCTCCTCCTGCTCCTCCTGCTGCCGTCTCAGCTCTCTCTCCTTGAGGTACTTCTTCGGGATTCCCTTGCCCAGCATCAGCGTCTTCACCTTCGGATCCGACAACTGATTCATGAACGCTATAAACCGTTTCTGGTACTTCTCTAAGCCTTACGTCCTCCTCCTCTCCCCCCACGCGGCTTCTGCACGGAGACGCCCTTTCCGTCCATAAACACCGTCTTGATCGCGAGCTCGCCGAACTTCCGCGCGTTGAAACTACCCCTCACACCGCTCCTCCTCGCTCACTGAATCAGGATATCGATCACGCCCATGTAGTACACCTGCGTCCCGTCCTCGCTCAGCAGACCGCCCCAATCGCGCTGCCAGAACGGCACGTGCCGCCCATACACGGACTTCGCGCGCGGCGGGAGCGGTCCCTCCACGTTGTGGATCCCCAGCAGCAGCGAGTAGTCGATGATGCCGCACTCCGCCAGGAACTGCGAGTCCTTCGCCAGCTGGCTCTGGAACTGCGTCGTGGTCTTCTCGTTCAGCCGGATGTGCTCGTTCAGGTCCACGATGTCCAGATCCTTCAGCGCGCGCGCCGTGTCCCCGCGGTCCGCGTCCTTCGTGCTACGCGTCACGCCTCCCCCGAAAACGAACAAGCGGCCCACCCAGGAGCCCTTGAGGTCGTAGCGGCGATGGATTTTCAGCGGCGTGTCGAAGAGGTTCCCCATCACCACGAAGTAAATGCTCTTGCTCCCCACCTTGCTGTGCCGGCCCTGGCGGATTTTGTGCGCGCCCAGGAATCGCACGAGCATCGTGTCGCGGTTCTGCACCATGTGGGAATAGTATTTCTCGAGGATGTGCCGGAAGAAGCGGTGCTCGGTGTGGGAAATCGTCTTCACCATGTACTTCCCATCGAACGAGTAGTAGAAAAACGAGCCCGACTTCCCCTCGGAATACAGTTCCGTCAGGGTCGACAGGGTTCCCATGATGATGTTCCCTACCCCTCACGTCGGCCCCTCATCGCTACGCAGAATCTGCTGCGGACCGATCGACGACATGTACTCATCCGCCGAAACGCCCCACAATTCGCGGAGTTTCCGGAACACCATGGGCGCGTAGTCCACAAACCGCACGTCATCCGCGGGAGATTTGCCCGCAGAGGTGTGGGGCAGCACGATGGTGAGCTTCTCCTTCATGGTGTAGTCGGCAGGGCAGAGGTCGCGGTTGGCTTCGACCATCACGCGGCCGATCGCCAGGCGGATTCCGATCATGATGTTCACCACCATGTTCCAGCTTTCGTGCACCGGATGCACCGCCTTCCCCTTGCTATCCATGTGGTGCTTGTTCTACGCTTCACCGCACGCCCTTCTTCCCCTACTTGCAGCATGTCCACTTCCCACGGCTTCTCCTCCTCCGAGTCCTCCGAGTCCGAAATCGCCTCGAACGGCCGCGTCCGCTTCAGGTCCTGCACCACTTCCACTGTGCTCGGCGGCAGCAGCTTATCCACTTGTTGCTCCAGCAGGTGGTCCGTCTGCGACTCCCTGGACTGCCCAGCAGGCCCGGCAGGCCCGGCAGAACCCATAGGACCGGCAGAACCCGCGGGACCCGGCAGTTGCTGCTGCGAGATCGATATTCTCCGCGCTGACTCGGGCGCTCCATCGGCACTCAGGTTGCGCAGGGATTGCGGCACCGACTCCTGCGTCGAACCCACCACCACCTTGTCCACCTAGGTCGCAGACACCGCGGGAATCTACCGTGTTCTGGAAGCTGTTGAGGTGCAGGAGCAGCTGGTACTGCCGACTGATGCTCTCTCCCAGCAGCTCCTGCACTTGACGCATGTCCTCGTCGTTTTCCACGCCATTCCCGCGGTCACACACGCGGTTCACGTGCTCCAGCATGCTGGCGAGCGAATTGAGAAGATCGGAAGCCACTTTCTTGCTGGTCTACGAGAGAGCGAGCGAAGAAACGCCCACGGAAAGCTGCTGGTGGACGTAGAAGGGGAGCTGCATGGCCAAATCGCGATCCTGAAGAAGGCCTTTTTCGGAGCTGAAGTGACTCATCCAATTCGTGAGGCCTAGAGGATAAGAGAAACAAGAGAGAGAGAGAAAAAAATACCAAGGTTCTTAAAGCAGCGCTTGAACTCTTCGAAAGTCACTTTATTATCTTTGTCGACATCCATTTGCTCGAAGAGTTTCTATAGGGCATTCACAACAACAGGGAGAGAAGTACTTTGACCGCTTCGGGCTGGATTCCTATGTTTCGAGTACCGTTGTGAGCCAGGCTAGAAGTGAATTACAGAGAGGGGCGGAAAACTTGTCCACGGAGTTTACAACACGCTGGGTCGAGTTCAGAATCAGCTGGAAATCATCCAGAGAGATCTCCCCCTTGCGCTCCGAATCGATCATATCAAACGAAAATTTCTACACTGGAAGCTCCTCGAACAACATACGAGCTTTTCATCTTCGGTTCCTTGAGTCAAGGTGTGCAGTCCAATCGCATACTCCCGAAAAGATATAACTTTACGATTTCCTGTGCTAAACGCGTTGAAAAGCAGATCAGTGAACGGAGAATCTCCCAAGGCACCTAGTAGGCCAAGTGACTCTCGAAATTGGACTCTAAAAGTGACCAATTACTCAAAAATCGTGGTACATGTCCATAACATTCTTTCCGTCGGTATACGATCGGAAGTACTTCAAATTTGTCTCCAAATCTTTTTTGGAATACCCCAATTCATCCTAGTCTCTCAAAGAACGGTTAAACGAGCTACAGCCAATGCTTCGATATCGACAATTTCATCCATGACCTTCTATCAAGATAGAATGGGAAAATCAATAGGATTAAACCGTAATTCCAAAAACACCAATCCATTTTCCAAAATTAGTCTTGCCGAAAAGTGCAATTCCACAATTCAGAAAACCCTTGTTTACCCTGCATACTGGGTTTAAACGAAGTCCTTTGGGATTCAAGTATTGCTACTTCACATTATTAATACGATTGAATACAAATGAGCGACAGTGATTCAGAAAACGTGCCTATCAGTCAGTAACGCGTTTTCGTGTTGATGACATGAATAGAACTTTGAATGACAGTGATTCGGATGTTTTCATGGATGAGGTGGATGAGGACATTGATGATGACTCAGTGCTTGATAATGTAAGTATCTTCGGACATGGTTATAATGGATTAGCTATATGATTCGGACGATGACGCTCCAATTGTCAAGTACGGTTCCCTTGGGAGTAATTATGCTAGAAAGCCCCAAACTCCAACTTCCAAGAGAGCGTCTAAGAAGAAAAGTGCGTCCCGTGAGGAAGTGTCAAGTGATGATTCAATGATGGACTATATCGTGGATGATGGCGATGATAGTGGTACGGATAGTTACAAGTCGTTGCAAAAAATGGGGTTGAGACGTAGTGAAGATGGTGAGCCACCGAAGCGAAAGAGAACTGCCCGGAAATCATCTGCTACCTCTTCGAAATCAAAAGCACGGCCGAAGAAGCAGGAAAAATCGACTCCTCGATCGAGATCGCCATCCAAGCCTACCTCCACCAAAGCCCCAAATAGTGCAACCTCTAAAGTAGCCGCCAAACCCAAATTCAAAGCCACCGCCAAGCCCACCGCCGAGCCCACCGCCGAGCCCACCGCCAAAACCCCGACCAAAACCCCGACCAAAACCCCGACCAAAACCCCGACCAAAACGCCCTCGACGCGCAAGCCCCGGGCAAAGCAGAGCCTTCCGCCGATCTCTCCGACGAGTTCCCCCTTTCCCCCTTTCTCCCCGTAGTTCCGCGGCTCCCCGCCGTTCCCGGAAGCGCGCGTCTCCGAGCGCCTCGAAGTCACGTGACTCGACGGACGCGATCGCGGTGAAGCTGGAGCACCTTCTGGACCGCGCGAAACAGCAGCGGAAGTCGAAGGAGCTCTCACCGGTGGAGCTTCTGGACCGCGCGGTGCAGGTAGCGACGAAGGCTCGCGCTCCTGGATAGGCGTACAAGTGGTGGGAGCATCACCGCGGGGAGGAGGATTCCTATTGGACGACGCTGCAGCACAACGGGATGGTCTTCCAGCCGCTCTACGCGCCGCACGGCGTGCCGCTCTACTACGACGGGAAGCCCGTGGCGCTGACGCCCGAGCAGGAAGAGATCGCGACGCTCTACGCGCAGGTGGGCGACGACGCGATCCAGCTGCGCGACCCGAAGACCGCCGCGGTGTTCAACGCGAACTTCTTCTCGTTCTTCCGCGAGGCGCTGGGCGCGGACAGCCCGGTGCGGACCATGGACAAGTGCGACTTCAGCGCGATCCGCGCGCACCTCGAGGCGCAGCGGAAGCAGCGCGTCAAGACCTCCGCGGAGGAGAAACAGCAGCAGCAGCTGCGCATGGGGTACATGCTGGTAGACGGCAACTGCCAGAAGGTAGGGAACTACGTCATCGAGCCGCCCTCGCTGTTCCGCGGCCGCGGCATGCATCCGCGCATGGGCTCGGTGAAAATGCGCGTGATCCCCGAGCAGGTACTGCTGAACGTGGACCTGAACATGGCGGTGCCCGCGTGCCCGATGCCCGGACACAACTACGAGTCGATCGTGTGCAAGAAGGACACGCTGTGGCTGGCGAAATGGGAGGACAACCTCGGCCATGGCAAGTACTGCGGCGTGAACGCGTCCTGCTATTTGAAGGGGCAGAACGATATGGAGAAGTACGAAATCGCCCGCAGACTCAAGCGGTTCATCCGGAAGATCCGCTCCACCGTGCTGCGAGACCTCAAAAGCGACGACAAGAAGGAAAAGTCCCGATTTGTGGAATTCCATGAAGCGCAGACAACTCGCCACGGCGATTTGGATCATCGATAAACTCGCGCTGCGTGTCGGAAACGAGAAATCCGAGGTCGGTTTCCACTCCCGCGGTTATCTCTAGGACGAAGCCGACACGGTAGGATGTTGTTCTCTGCGCGTGGAACACTTATCCTTCGCGGACGACTGCACGCTCACCCTGGATTTCCTCGCGAAGGACTCGATGCCCTACCACCAGACCATCCAGGTCCGATTCCCGCGGTTCTCTGACGGCTAGCTCGACCAATACGAAGGCGGGAAGCTGGTGTTCAAGAACTTAAAGTCGTTCTGCAAGGCGAAGAGCCCGAAGGACGACGTGTTCGACCTGCTGTCGACGTCGTCGCTGAACGCGCGGCTGACCCAGTTCATGCCCGGCCTCACCGCGAAGGTGTTCCGAACCTACAACGCGTCGGTGACGCTCGAGGAGCAGCTGCACTCCACGTACCCCGCGGGGACGTCGGTCGAGGAGATGGTGCTGCAGTACAACGACGCAAACCGCGAGGTGGCGATTCTGTGCAACCATCAGCGCTCGCTGCCGAAGAATTGGGACCAGACCAACGCCAAGAAGCGCGGGCAGATCGAGCTGCTCCAGCGGCAGACCGACGAGCTGCGGCAGATGCTGCGCGATGTGCGCGCGCAGAAGCCGGTGGAGCTGCTGCCCGAGGCGTACTGGGCCCCGGTGAAGAAGGAGGAGGTTCCGGAGGACGCGAGCGAAGAGGAGCGGAAGCAAATCAAGGAGAAACACGACGAAAGGGTCGCCGAGCGCGCGCAGTATCTGCATCTGTTCAAGTCACAGCCCACCGAGGCGCAGGTAGAGAAGAGGCTGGAGGCGTACTCCAAGCGGTTGGCGGATGGGGAGCTGAAGCTGCGCGACATGGTGGATGTCTGATGATGGAGTGAGGTGTAGGAGTCAAATAAGCTGGTGGCGCTGGGGACCAGCAAGATTAATTATATGGATCCGAGAATCACGGTGGCGTGGTGCAAACGAGTAATGGAAGGAGGAAAAAGTGATGGGTAGAACGAAGTGCCGATTGAGAAGATTTTTGCAAAGACGTTACGAACCCGACATAATTGGGCTATGTGCGTTCCCGAATCCTATCGTTTCTGATTCCTATTGTTTGTTGCCAGAAATCGGCCGAATTTTTGGATTTTTGAACACAGTCTTTGTGAATCCGATCTCCCGAGATTAATAGAAACTGCGAGAATAAAATGCAATCAGGGTAACAAGAAAAAAGAGCTTGCAACGGGAGTGAAACCGAGAGAAAAAATGCAAATGACGAGTAGATAGGAATTATTTTTTTGAAAAGTAGAGGTTGAAATGAACTACTGTCTTTGGCGAATTCGGCAATCGAGAGAACGATGTCATTCGTCCCTTCGCTTCCTGTCCCATTTATTGGCTCATATGAGTGGATGATTATGGAGATAATTGCGACTTTCTTCGCGTTGGGAGGTATTCTGCATTGTAATATTTCGTGTTACTAACTTTTACTGCGTATTCATTATACATTGCTATAATGAAAACTGCTGAGAAAACGACACATGTGTCAGAATACAATTCAAATTGAAACACCGATATGGTAAATAGTGATCCCGCAATTGTGTATTTCTTTTAGAGCAGAATAACCTTTTAAAAGAAATGACAGCCATGCAGATCTGTCAAACTCTTGTCATAGTATAACTTCTAATATGTGTGTTATTCGATCTGATATGAACTCTTCGAGTATATTCATTATTGATCTGCAACGCCTTTCAAAATGTCATCATACAGGTTGCATTATAAATTGTATATAAAATGAGCGATGTGTCAACTCTCAATCAATTGTGGTTGACATGAGACAAAAAACGTTAGTTAAGGAACTTCCGCGGTTATATAATGTAAGATGAGAACCTTAAAAAAAAGATACCTGGCTTTGCTTGTTGTATATTGTAATAGGGTAGAAGTATCCGTAAGACCTGTTTGAAGATTGAAAAAGAAGTCTGCTTTTGATAACATTTTTTGACAGATGGACCCTTTCGATCGGGTAAGTGTCTTAGATCTGCTTTTAGCATAGTCTCGTTATCTTAACATTGACCCAGATGAGGATGTATCGAATTGTCCCGAACTGATGATTGTAGATTACAAACGATAGTAATCCCTTGAGAGATGAAGTTAGTACGTGGGAAAAAGAAATTAGCAGCAGAGTTGAACAATTCAAAAAGTCTTGTCAAGATCCCATTTTACATACTCGTAAATCTGTTCAGTAGCTGTGAATGTAGATCTTCTTCAAGGGTTTGAGAACGAAAGAAAACAATTGAAACGTTTTGCGAATATTGGCGTCGCAGTGGAAGAGCTGAATAGACGCCGAATGGATATTCATTATAGCATATGTATCAAGATTAGTATTTGATCTTCGTTGGTGTCTATATTACTAGCCAAATTTATCGGTTCTTTTAGCTATCTTCTCACATGTGATGATGAGAACTCAAGTACAAGCTTAATTCAGCGGATGGACACAAAGTTTATCGAAACTTGGCGTGAAATGAAAGCGTTGAGCAGGCTTCGTGATATCGATGTCATGGATACGCGACTCTTGATTCTAAAGAAGTTGATTCGGCTGGAAGCCGAAGTGTCCCTCTTTGCTTCTTGGGTGAAGCGTTACATCTACATCCAACAGCGTCATGACATCCAAACCTGCGAGATTGACCTGCTCATGCGAGAAGCCAGGAAGGTAGCGGAGGAGCGAACGAGATTCAGCAAGTTCTGCCACCTTTCCGAGATCGTCGACTGGAACTGGGGCGTTTGCCAGTTCCACGACGACGATTTCAAGGACGTCAAGGACGCCATCAACTTCGCTCGCGGGCTTTTCACCAAGTATTGGGAGGAGGATTGGTTTTTGCGTCGCATGTCCGAATTCTCCGAGAATATGTTGCACATCTGCAGAGTCTCCGTGTCCGTTCTAGACGCCAAAAAGCGCGAATGTGAACGCTACAAAAGTCGCTTTACGCGAAAGCTTACAATGTAGAACTCACGATGGAGGCCAAAACCGAGCTCGATCGCCAGAAAGAACTGCTCCGATTGCTTTTTCGAGGCTTTCAAAGCCGAAAGCGAGGCCAGGAGGCGCAGCTGGAGGTCGTGAGAGTCGAGAAAAGGAGGAGAGCGAAGAGTGAAGCGGGGAGAAGAGTGGAGTTGCGGAATTGGGGAGAGAAAGGAGTGGAACACAAACCGCGGGGTTTAGTGGAGGAGGAGGAGGAGAAGGAGAAGGAGGTGCTGATGCTGGAGAGTCGGAAGAAGGAGGAGAGTTTGGAGAAGAAGAGAAATGTGGGAGGAAAAGTGGAAGCAAATTAGAGTTTTCTGGTGAGAGAGCAGTCATTTAGGGTCATTTTATTCATTTTACTAGTTTCCTTAGCTGTTGAATTATTTTAGTGTTTGTATGTTCACTGATTGTTAAAATAAGCGTATTTCGATTGTGAACTGTGCCGTTGTGGAACTGAAACAAATAGATAAAAATAGATATTATACAAACACATTATTTGATTCCTCATGCTAGCAGGACGGTTCCTCTGGAATTGTAGACGAGTGTGCGTCCGTTCGTTTGCCAGTTCTCTCAAAGATATCTCGATTAAGGGATTTTTCGAAGCAAAGACGTATGCGGTTATCGGTGCGAGCACAAAGCCTGGTACGTTAGGACATACAATTTGCGAGAATTACGTGCGTACTTACAAAGGAGAAGCCTTTTTTGTGAATCCGAAGGGTTTTTGCAGCATTTGGAGCTAAGGTGCAGGAGGAGAGCTCTTTGGAAAGCCTATCTACAAATCGGTTCTGGATGTCCCTGGAGAGATCGAGGCAGCGGCGGTCGTCGTTTCGGTGAAGTTTGCTTTACAGTCTGCGGAAGAGTGTATGAAGAAAGGAGCCAAATACCTGATTATGATTCCTGGTGGTTTCAAGGAGTCAAAAACCGAAGACGGTATCAAGAAGCAAGTAATGAATATGGACAAACTAAGATCCGTTAGGAGGAACTTGTAAAATTAGCGCACAAATGCAACTGTCGAATTCTAGGTCCCAATTGCATGGGAGTGTATGATCCAAACCACGTTGACACCCTTTTCGTGGGTGAAGACCAGTCTCCCACTCTCATTCCCCTCTCATCCCCAGACTGTCCAAGCCGGGCTTCGGCCCCGTCGGCATTTTCTCTCAGAGCGGCTCGATCGCGTCTGCGATCCTCAACGAGCTCTCAGGCCGCCACAAGGACGGCTGGATCTCGAAGTTCATCTCCTTCGGCAACGCCTGCGACGTCAACGAGCTGGACATCCTCGCCTACTACGCCGACGAGCCCTCCGTCCAGCAGGCCTGGGCCTATCTCGAGGGCTTCCGCGACGCGCCCGCTTTCATGCGCCAAGCTCGGCTCTTCTCCAAGAAAAAGCCGCTTCTGCTCATCAAGGCCAACCGCAGCGCTGCGGGCGCCAAGGCCTCCGCGTCGCACTCCGCGTCCCTCGCCGCCAACGACGCCGTCTGCGACCAGCTGCTGCAGAACGTGGGGGGTGCCGGGAGAGGCGGGTAATGCCCAGGCGGGCGTGATTCGCTGCGACGTCTGGCGCGATCTCTTCAACATCGGCCGGCTCATCCGCTCCCAGCCGCTCCCGCGGGGACGGCGCGTCGGAGGTAGGCGCAGAGAGGCGAGGCGAGGTGAGGCGTGACGCGCAGTCGTGACGAATGTCGCGGGGATGGGGACCATGATCGCCGATGCCGCCACTCTCTTCCAAATGAAACTCCCGGCGTTTTCGACGCAGACGCTGTCGGCGTTTTCGACGCGATTCCCGCGGTTCTTGCCGTATTCGAACCCGCTGGATTTGGCGGGGAAGTTGAATTTGGCGGGGTTGATGGAGGCGGCGAGCGAAGCCATGAAGGACGCTAACATGGATGTTATCGTGTTGGGTCTGGAGCCGAATTCCATCGAACACGGAGATCCCGCGGAAATGGCCAAGCAGTTGGCGGACAGGTTCGGACCGGGGAAAACGGAGAAGCCCTTTTTGGTGGTGGAGTTCGGCGGGACGCAGGAATTCGATCGAACGCTCCGCATGGCGCTAAAAGAACGGGGAATTGCGATTTATAGCGGACCGGAGGAAGCGCTGCGCGGCCTCGGAAAACTCATGAAGTACGCCGAATTCCGCGACCAGCAGAGCCCCACCGACGAGGTTTCCCCTTTTCCCCGTTTCGCCTCTAGACGTACGCCTCGGTGGACTTCCCCGCGGTGAAGTCACTCTTCCGGAAAGTCCAGAAATCGGGGCGAAAAGTGCTGACGGAGGTGGAAGGGTACGAGGTGCTGTGTCACTGCGGAATCCAAACCCCCGCGCACGCCGTCGTGACGAGCGGGACTTCCGCGGGGGACTTCGCGGCGAAGCTGTTTTCGCGGGGCGTTCGGAGCGTGGTGGCGAAGGTGGTTTCTCCGGATGTACCGCGGTTCTGGGAGGAATGAACGGCAGATTCTGCACAAGACGGACGTGGGCGGCGTTTCGTTGAATTTGGAGTCGGAGGAAGCGGTGAGTCGCGAAGTGGCGCGTCTGCACGCGAAGTTCAGCGCGCAGGGAATCGAGTATCACGGCATCATGGTGAGCGAGATGGTGCCAAAGGGGCTGGAGATGATGATCGGAGCCAATCGCGATGCGGCGTTCGGTCCGCTGACGGTCGCGGGAGCCGGCGGCGTGTTCGTGGAGCTGCTGAAGGACGTGGCGTTCAATATGTGTCCGGTGAGCATCGAAGAAGCGAAGCGATCGCTGTGCCATTTGAAGTATCGCGAGATGATGGAGGGGTAGGAACGAAGGGGGAAATGAAGGGAAGAAAACTGGGACTTCCGCCGTTGAATCAGGGACTGTTCGCGCGGTCCGTGTCGGCGGTGTCGTGCTTGATGAAGGAGTGTCCGGAGATCAAGGAGCTCGATATCAATCCGCTCATTCAGATGAAGGACGGGAACTTGACTGCGGTGGATTCGGTGATAAAATTGGAGTGGAGTGTTTGTTGGAAACAGAGAAAAACAGGAAATAATACGAGGAAGCGGCGCTGCGCTCCACGGTGAAAATCTCGCCGGGGATCGACGCGGACTCAAGACTGGAAATCGAGCTGCATGTGTTGATGGCCTTTCTTAAAGCCAGTAAATCCATCAGCTGCACTTCGATTTGCACATCGACAGGCGTGTCAAGCGATGGAAGGTCGAATTGAAGACTTTGGTGGATGGAAGAAGCGCTTGGATCGCCTATTTGAATGAAGAGCAGCGGGCAAATCAGCTGAACGACGAGAACGTGGTGCTTGCTTTGAAGTCTGAATTTGGTGTACAATCTACGATGGAAATGAATGATTAGGATGGAAAATGATACTTCCATCGATAAAAGTCGAGTAATTCTACAAAAATCCTTCGGATTGTGGAGTAAAACGGTTTGGATTCAAGTCGAATTCGATCTTTCAGCAATTCGATTGCGAAGTTCGGTTCCCGTTCGTCGATGAAGGACCCGAGTCGATTTCCACAATGACTGCAAAACACACTTTTATCTTCAAATGAGTGAGATAAATTCGTGTCGTTTTCTGGATTTCCAGAATTCGATTCGCTGTTGGGTTCATTCGAATTCTCACTCTCTCCAATCGTTCCATTCGAATTCTCACTCTCTCCCTTCATTTCTCTGTTTTCCACAGAAGTTCGAATATTCTGAACGTTCTTCGGATGGAACAACAGTGAATACGATCGAACAAACACAGTCCCGAAGGATCGCATAATCCCCGTGGTATTCTACATCCATTACGAACCGAATCCTGACGGTACCAAATGGGGATGTTGGTGAATATTCCCTCCATGCTCGCAATAAATCAACTCACACAAGTCGCTCCACAAAACGGAGGGAGATCGCTTGACCATCTTCGTGTTGTCATCGGTCAAACTTTGACCACATCGAGCACACTGCATCTTCGTAATATGCGAAGAAAGATAGTCACATTCTTCGTACTAGTGGAATGATTCAAATAAACAAACTACAAGATAATGATCAAGTTGATCGTCGCATGATTGAATGACGTCATCAAACCGTTTCACATTCAAATCCACAACAAAACAGTCCTTCTAGAAGCAATCACACGTAACTCCTATTCACACTTTTATGTAACAAGCTCCGTCGTTCGAATCCACCCACGCAGCGACACAAACATCTTGGAAAAAAAGGGTGGAACCTGTCGATAAGCGAATTCGAAGATTCGATGAGGGTTTCAACGGATTCTGAACGTTTGTGGATTCAATGGAAAACGAAATCGAGCGGATCTGCAGTTTCGTTTCTTTGTTTTGAATGACGATGTGAAGTCGCTTTGTTTGGCGGAGGAAAAACACCACAAATGGAAAGTGGATCGTTTCTTCGGTGGTTTCTGTGGAGAGTTCGTGCGGAAAAATGGAATTCCAAATCAAAGGAATACGTTTGTGAAGTAAAAGAATCAACTCTCCTTCTGCTATGCATCAATAATGAAAAAACGACCTAAACAATATGTCCATGAGGATTCCGATACGCGGATTTCTCCATACAGGTCAAACTACAACATTACTAACTCGAACTACAAAAACGGAAGAAGAAAAGCTATTATCATCAATGACTATACTGATTGACGTTGATTTCATATCGATATGGACTGAGTTCTTTTTGCAATCAGAAGGAATGGGAACATACACAGTAATGATTGATTCCTATATTCGTAACAATTCCGAATCTACAACATTTTCTTCAAAATACATCGACTGAAGAAAGGAATCGTTCGTTCTCTAAAAACTGAGTACATCAGAAAATAAATACAGCAACAGCATCTGTGTAATCCTTTAAGTACTTTCCACATACAGATTTGTGCATCGGCCAATCTCGAACTTGACATTGCTTTGAACAGTAGTAAACACGTTTGCATTTTGAACATCTCAGTGCTCCCTCCTTCCCGCAGAACTGGCATTTAAAACTCATGTCAAGCAAAGAATTGTGAACAAACAAACAAACAACGATTACACAAGAGTCCACATAATAGAAAACAGCGAGAAGATTCCAACAAAAATAAGGAACGTTCCCAGATTGTTCAAGAACCAAACCACAGAGATGATCTTCAATGTTTTTCGGTAGCTCTTCAGAATGTTTACAAGGATGAAAAACCACGATGACATGCCAACACAAGCGCCCAGACCCCAAAACAAAGCATATCGTTTTCTGAATGTAACGAAGTGATAGGGGTTGACTAAAAGGAAATGAAAGAATCAAAGAATCAAAAAACTGGCAGTAATCAGAGCGATATGATTGGCAACAAGAGCGATGTTCACGATGGAGAAATAAAACCCTCTAAAAATGGTACCTTTTGCACCCTGGGAATTAAAAATCAAACGAATCCAAACATCTTCAGAAGTAGAATTGTTCGTTGCTGCAAATGTACTGGCTGTCATTTGCGTGAAATTGCGTCCAACGTTGATAATAATCAAGGCTGCAATCACTCTAACGAATCAAAGCAGTTAACGGAGCCGACTTCAACAGGGGCATGATATAGTTCAGAATCTTGCTATCACCGACTAACTCGAAAAAGACAATGTAGGCAGCCATAGCATAGACTCCTTCAGCTATTGAAGCACCAAAAGCCATATAGATGGCTTGTTCGTACCTTCCAGAGAAGGATTCCTATGACTCGCGGTGTGCAAAAGAGAATACACGTAAAACTAGAGAGCTAATAGGTCCCATGACCGGAACGGACATAACGAAAGAGAATACAAATTCAATAAAGAAGTGAGTGAGGTATTGCTACAAAACAAAAAAGAAAGCACTGAATACCATCGTTTTAACAAGAAAACTTGAAGTTGCTGAAGAGTCAATTTTTACTACAATGTTTGGAAATAATATTGGAGATGGTGTATATATTATTTTTACGTTCGTAATGTCTAGAAAGGGCAAAGGAAGAGTTTGTTTCCGCCAGTTAGTTTAATGGATGCTTCGTTATGTTCTAGATATATGACAATAGCCCGCGATACACTTCCTTATATCAAAACGTAAGATTGGTTGCCTACTTTCATCTCACAGTCAAACCCAACAAACCGTTTCCTCTTTTTATTAGTATAATTATGCAGAGGGTTCTCTGTCTTCCAAAGATATAAAAACATTGAATAAATATGGCTTCACTGCACCTCCAAAGCGTCCTTCTCCCAAACTGGTCGAAAGTAAATTGTATTTCTGCTTTTTCTCGCTCATTCGAAGCCCTCCGATCGATCCCGACAAGCCTCGAGAAGATCAGTTTCCTCCCCCTGTTCCACTTCCTGCTCAGAGCATCTATAGTTCTGTTCCACCTCTTCCCACAAATTCGGATTTCCAGTCGGGACCCAATCTTCATTCGAGTGTTCATACCTGTTCTGAATTCAACTTGTCATCCTCTTATTCGCCGCATTCGGGCTTTCATCCTCAGGGCATTATCGCCCCGCCACAACCTTCCACGAATTCATACAATCTTTTGTCAAACACGAACACTTGGCTTTCGCAGCACGAACAGCAAAACCACCAAAATTGGGAGCGAATTGTGGAGAACGAGGCGCAGAAAGATCTCGCGACACGCCGCGCTGCTCTTTCTTCCACATGCACATTTCCCTCCATTCAGCCCATCGACTCCACAAATGAGTCTTCTCGTTCGAATCGAAGTTCGTTGCGAGTCAACGCGATGGCAGGGCCGTTATCTTCGCAAGGAGAGCCTACTCCGAATTTTGGAATTCCAGAAAACCGGCGAATCCTGAGAACGCAGTCTATGCAGGAAGTAACGCGTTCTCCAGACCCGCCAACTCCACCAGAGATAATTTCTTTCCCTGCACGTCCGAGTCCACCTCGAAGCGAAACGCCCGCCTTTATTTCAATTCCGAACCTCAACGAAGACGAAACAGTTTCGTTCCCTGCGAAAGCGAATCTTAAGCCACAGCCAAAGCCACAGCCAAAGCCACAGCCAAAGCCACAGCCACAACCGCAGTCAGAGCCAAATCTGCAGCCAATACAAAGAAAGAATCCGCCAAAACCATCAAAAGCGAAGAAAGCAGCTGTGCATGCAAAGGAAGAAGCGAAGGAGGGAAGGGAGGACGAGATCGCGAAGGAGGACGACGAGCTGAACGAGCTGATCAACAGTCTTCACTCGTCCGTTTCGGGGCAGGAGAAGGAAGGACCGGATATGGAGATCCAGAACGTGTGGGACCAGAAGATCAAGCAGTTCCAGGAGCTGCAGCGACGAAAGCAGAAGGCGCTGCGCGAAGTGGGGAAGGCGGGAGAAGAATCGGTGGTAGGGAGAGGAGAGAGAATGGGACGTAGGAACAACTGAAGCAGGACTACGAAGAGATCAAGGACTTCCAGAAAATGGTGGGGCGGATCTATGAGATCTTGCAAAGACATCGAGGCACGCCGGATAAGAAGCGGCAGGAGAGAGAGAAGGAGAGAGAGATGAGGCGTGCAGAGAGAGCGATGGAGTTGATGAAGAAAAAGGAGGAGCGAGTGAGACGAAGGCTGGAAATGAAGGAAGCGAGGGATAAGGAGAGAGCGGAGAGAGCGAGGGAACGTAAATATTCTTATGGGAATGGGTTTGATAGTAATGAGGGGGAGGAGGAGGAGGAAAGCGATGAGGAGGAGTTCTAATGCAATGTGTTTGTTTGTTTGAAATAAGAATGGATTGATCGGGTGTTTGTTTGAAAAGAAAGTATTGGTCTGGTTTCCTTATTATTATTATTTATTTGGTGAGAGAACGATTTCCAAGCAATCTCCTGCCCCTTTTCCCCAAAAGAATAAACGTAAACCTCTTCTAGTCAGTGGATCTACATTACCAATCCATCCATCCATCCATTCCATTCCATTCATTATCTATTCCTTCCAATCCTCTCCAAGCAATATCAAAATCCTCTCCAAACAATAACAATATCCTCTCCTTGTCCTCACTCCCTTTTGATTCACACAAACACTCTCACAACTGACTATTTACAACTCTTCTCTTCTCTCTCGCTTGCCGCATGATCCACTGAATGCAGTTATACCATACCGCTTCGTTCATCTCGGGAGTCAAAAACCGAAACTTTATCTTCTTTGGCTACACTTCGCTCTCCCGTCCATTCCCTACCCTATCGACTTTAATCAAAAAGCCCTTCGAGGTCACCACCACGTCCGAAATCTGCGTTGGCACAATCACCGCTTTTATCGACGTTATCGGATTGTCCATAATCACAAGTCGGTTTTTCGATGTAAGAACCAACTATTCCTCATCTTTTCTCTTCATTTCTACCTGGCGAGTGCGTTCTTCGGACTGATGCACATGCACCACAATACTCGCATAGCGACATCGCTCTCCTTCTCCCAGCACGCGCTCAATGGCTACCCCTAACCCGATCCTCTGATGACTCACCTTCTCGTTTTAAACGCTCCTGAACACGATACGTCTCATCAATACTGTATCGTAAGTTCACTAATTCGTTCTCCAAAGGATTGTCACGAATCACAGGAAGAGGCTCATACGGAGGAACGAACGGCGGAATCTGAGATGAAAGAGTGGTGAAATCAATTCCATTAAAATAAGGATGCTCCTAGAAGTGAGAAATCGGTTGAGCGAATGAAGGATACCATGATTTGTTGCGCAGTTATTCGGCTCAATGGGTTCGTATCGAGCATGCGTCGAATCAGATCCTACTCCTCAGAGAACGGTTCGCTAACCAAACTCGAGCATCCTCTGGGATATAATCTGGAAACTCGAGTAAATCGACACAGAAATGATCAATGCTTTCGATCACATTGAGTCTAGAAGAGAATAAAAGAAAGACAAGAGAGAAATACTCGTTTTCTCCTTCGAAAATGAAACATCCAGTAAAGAGAAGATAGAACATGCAGCCGATTGACCAGATATCGACTGCGTATGTGACCGATTCGCGATGAATAGTCTATTGTGAAGCTCCACAAAGTACAATACTTCCGGAGCTAAGTATAAGATGGTTCCACACATCGTGTTGCGACGTGTTCTTTCACTGCTTGTGGTGATGGTGCCAAAATCAGTCACCATGATGTGCCCTGATTCTGAGATGAGGATGTTTTCGGGTTTTAGATCGCGGTGAATGAGATGGGCAGTGTTGTGTAAATAATTAATTGCAGATATGATCTGTTGAAAAGCGAATCCAAGGAACGTCTACTTCAGCTAAATAAAAACGTATGAGAGCTGGGTCGCAACCTCTGCCAGACAGCCGGAGGGTTCTAGATACTATAAGAGAAGCGAATCCCACTTTAACACATCCCACATACTACCTCCCCTACACAGTGTAAGAACGAAATAAAGATACTGACTATCCTTTTTGTCAAACAAGATGAGAAAAACTACTTGGAATGTATAATACAGATGAACAATAAAGGGATGATTCACAATAGTCAGAGCATCTCGTTCTGCTCGAACCGCTTCCTCCTTTTTCTCCTGTAATAGGTTAGTTTAGAAGGGTACATCAAGCTATACCTTTGCTATAAATGCTTTACTGATTCTCTTCACAGCATAATAGCTACTTGTTGTCTTCATTCGAGCTATGAAAACCTATTCTTTACACGTTTTAGAGAGTCTTATACTTTAGAAAACGCTCCTTCACCTATAACATCTCCCAAGGCAAATGATTCAACTCCAATTTTCTTAGACTAATCACACACCAGAAAGTCTACCCCTTTAGTGGGAAGAACTTTGGATTTATCCATTCCACCCCTTAATAATCCCAAACTAAACAGATAGAGTAACTTTGGAATTCCAGATGTTCGGTGCTTTTTAGTATCATTGATATTTTTTAGTTGAAAGATGGGATCATCGTGCTCACGATGTTCATGTGGAAAAAAGGAAAAAGACCATTATAGATGCGTAATTGTGGGTCTGGACGGTGCTGGCAAGACAAGTATGTGTTCAAATTCGTTATATTGTCTTAGCATTATTTAATTATATCTGTGATAAAAATCAAGGTGAAAAACAACCGATAAGTGGTTTCGAGATTTGTAGTCGAGAGTATGATAAAATTATCTTCGATTTCTGGGTATTGTCTGATGGTGAGCTTTATGTGTAGGATACCAACGGTGATGCGTGTTGTCGCCAGTTTTGGACGCACTATATATTTGGAGCTCACGTATGGATTCCATTTCTATTGATTCCATAGGCTATAATATTTGTTGTAGATAGTACAAATAGAGAACGGTTCCCGGAAGTGAAGGCAGAGCTTATTAAGTTACTGAACTGTGAAGGCACAGAGGTATTCCAAGTGTCCTTTTGAAATGTAGAATCTCTTGTGGCTGATCGTAGCTTCTAAGCTAGATGTCCCTGGCCATGTGTTTGAACGAGAAATATTGGATTCCCTAAACTTGGATCAGTATTTACTTTCTGTTTTTATTCATGATAGGCTTTTGGGAGAACGCCATTGGAGATTATTTGCTGAAGAAAAGTCGAAGCCCCCAATAAACGATTACTTGAAATACTTGGCTAGTTCGTTCATAAACTAGATTGTGTTGTTGTTGTTGTTGTTTTTTTAATAAATACATATAAATACATATTACTCTCAACAAACATACAACAAACACTTCTTGCATAGACATGGCCTTCCTATGAAATCGTGAAGAAACAACAAGTAAAGTACCTTCAAAAAAATTCGACACGATTACATCCACAGATTCTCGGAATGAACTGTGGCATTTAGAGCACCTCCAATAGTATTTCGCTTCGCTTCCTATCGCTACAGCTTCGCATGAAACCTCGTTGTTCTGATAGTCCCAGTTTCGAAGAAGCTCAGAACAGCGAGCAGAGAGCGAGATCGTTCCTGCGTCTCTGCATTTGGGGCAGCGAAGATTTCGTTGGGTTCGATTATAAATGGATGCTTTCCAAGAATGACCGTTCCTACACTTCCACCATGCTTCATAGCGCGATTTTGCATTGAACTGATCGGGGTGATACTCGTTTTTTTCTTGATCCCACTCTTTCGCGAGAGCTGGATAAAGACTTTGGAAGCTGGTGGAAGCGGAAGGTTTGTATCCAAGACAATAGGGACATGCTACCGCTTAGAGGCGAATCGAATCAACAAAAACACTGTAAGTTGTCGGTTCTGCGATTTGGAGAGGTTTGAAAGAAGTGATCAGCGTGGTTGTGACATTTCCACCATGCTTGCTTCGTAGAACCGTACGTAATTTGACTCAGTGGCGAATTTTGATTTCGTGAATCATCCCATTCGCCTGCAATTTCAGGAAAACGAATCGAAAGGCTATTTGTTACAGAAACGCGTCTTCCGGAACAGAATGGGCAAAAATCTACTCGAGAATAAACGAAAGCCTGCTACGATGAGACTGGTTGTGCAAATAGCCAGCCACCACTTCAGAAATAGTCATTTTCCACTCGTGATCCGGTCCGTTCGGACATTTCCACAACAGAACTGTACTTGCAGGAATCGCTCTTTTTCCAAACTCTTGCTGAAAAGCAGGATGGAGCAGTGAGTAGACTCCAGGAAAATCCTTTTCAAGAGTGATTGTTGCTGCTTTGCTGTTTCGATAGGAAATGGATCGTATCGAGCGAAGAAGCGATTTCATAGCTTATGAAATTCAAAATGACAATCGTATCAATCCGCCGGAAATAACTCTCGGATTAATATGTATTGTTTTGTTTTGTATTGTTTTCTACTCTTGATTTGTTAAAGCGCTTGATCCCATTGATTATGGTTTGATTATGTATCAATCGAACCATTAATGTCAGGATCCTTCTGTATTATGTTTCAATTCAGAGTCCTATCTGCTTTCCAAGAGAAGAAATGGACCCTTCTCTCCCCATTTGCTCCAGTCTGCAACAAACAAGAACTCACTCCGAGAGCTTTTCAATGGACACACAAGCATAGTTATAGTTGGTCGATTCATTCCCCACGATCGCGCTAATCGTCAAATTCTCCTCCTTCAGCGAGCCGTAAGCCTTCACGCTGCCTCCCAGCTCCGCGAACAACCCGTCCAGCGTCGCGAACAGCTTCTCCACGGTCTTCGCTTTGGGCTGCTCGCCATTCTCTCCGCAATCCCTACGAACACCACGAACGAGAACGTGGGCGTGTGCAGGCCGTACCGCAGAATGCTCTCCACGTACACGCGCAGCGCCTTCAGATGGACCCATTCGCTCGCCAGCTCCGAGTAGTTCGGTCGGCACCACTGCAGCAGATCCGACTACACGCAAATCGACCGCCTCGCTCACCGCTACCTTCAGCTTCCGCTCCTCCACCTCGAACTTCGCCAGCTCGCGCTCCTCCATCTCCGTCGCGCCGCTCTCCTTCATCTCCTCCAGGTTGAACAGACGCATCGTGTAGCGGTTCTCGCGGCACGCCGTCTGCACCGCGCGCTCGAACTTCTTCAGAATCACCACCGAGAACAGCACGTAGCCCTCGCTGTCGCTCACCAGGCGGCGCGCGCTCTCCGGAACCACCACTTCACGCCCCGCTTCCTCGCTGCCCAGCTTCGCGTAGCTCTGCAGGAACTCCTTCTCTTGCGTACTACGTCGAGACGAGGGACAAAAGCCTACTTTGAGATGATAATGACCACGGTTTCGAGGTAGTCCGTGCTCAGGAACACTTCCTTCAGCGTCATTCCGTTCGTCGCCTTCATCACGTCCTCTTCACGAAGAATCAGACTCAGTGGCGCTGTGAGGATGTTTGCTCTATCGGTGAGAATGAAGGAAAAGAAGAAGAAGCGAACCCTCGCTTTCGGCGCAGAGCAGTCACATTGCTGTGCACATCTTGGTACTTCTGCAGCATCTTGCGTAACTCACTCTCCACGCTGCGTGTGTCCTGCTGGATCAGATTTTTGTGCTCACCGATGGAGTTGCGCTCCGGGAAACGGCTCTCATCCCAATGGAAGTCCTCCAGATACTTTTCGAGACTACGGCCGTCCACAGTGAGCTTTCTGTAGTTTCCCTCTAAAGACATATCGTGATAGGTCTTGGCTATCTTCTCGATTAGCTGGCGCAACATACTATCCATCTTGACCATCTCGTCGCTCAAGTGCTACATGGTAGACAGATCGATTCCAGCATACCATCAAGAGTTCGAGAGTACAATCACCAAGATTAGGAATGGGGAAAGTTTTCATAGCTATAGACAGGGTAAGCAACGTGGGACTAGAAAATGCAAAAACCTACAGCAATATGGAGAGTTAGAACTCGCGATCGCTCCTCGAATTACTCCTTCACTCTTAAGGTCGGAAGGAACCGAGATAAGAACGGGATCATCAATGGATTTGCTCATCGATTTGAATTTGCTTTCTATGTACTATAGAGAAATGTGGAAAACAATGAAACGCCCTTCCCTCTTTCAGCTAGAATCGACGCAATGCTGAACCGATTTATTGCATCTTCTGCGGCAACCATACAGAAATGGGCAAGAAACTCGAATTCCATTCTCAATGTTGTTATTGGAAATGAAGTATGATTTTGAGTTGAAATCTAAATAATAGGCAGTCGATGTAGACAGTGCAGTGTGCAGCATCGTGTACGCCTATATTCTGCAACACAGACTCGAAAGGAGCGAGAATTATGACCCAGAATCTCAGTTTTGTGTGCCCATGATTCAAATGCCAACAGATCAGTTGTTGCTGAGAAATGACCTGATGCGGTTGTTTTCCTTGGCCGAGATTGACTACAAGCAGCTCTTGACATACGACAAATACGGTTCAATATTAAATCAGAATAAGCATTGTGTCAATCTCTACCTGGTGGATCACAACGTGCTTTCGGATCAATTTTCCGGGTTTTCTTCTGTTTTCATCGAATATGCTTCTGATTCTGTAGTGCCTGAAAGAAATAATCGATCATCGCGAGGATAGTGGTCTGTATTCTGGCGTTTCCAAGCATATTTCCTTCAATCCAGCGGAATCTCGCGGCGTGGGTTCTTGTGGCACGTTAATCGCCTCCATTCTTCGCGAAACCCCATCCATTCCTTCTCTTTCCGAGTGTTGCTTGCTCTTAGAATCCGCAGTTCTTTTAGACACTCTGAATCTCACCTATTCTTTCAAAACCACTCCCCAGGACATCGAGGCGGTGTCTTGGCTCGAGGCTCATCGACGCAGCCCTCCTAGTATCACGCAAAACGAATTATTTGATACACTGTCAACCGCAAAATTCGATCCCCTGTTTTGGGAGTCGTTGAGTGCTCGAAATGCTCTGGCTCTGGATTACAAAACCATCCCAATGCAGTCGTTGCGAGTTGGATGGAGCGCTGTGCTCCTTCCGATCGGCGCGCTGCAGAGAAAGCAGGGATTGAAAGAAGAAATGGATGAGATTATCAGAAAGGAAAGGCTGGATTTAATGCTGGTTTCGAGTACTGTAAAAGAGAAGGTGGTGCGCAGAGAATTGTTGATGACCTGCCCAGAGGGTTGCGACGAGGAGTTGAAGAGGAAAATCGAAAAGGTGGAGCAAACGTTAGAGATGAAGTACAATTGCAGTCGAAATGCCCAGAATCCGCATTTACTGGAAACAACGAAGGAGTTTAGTCGAAAATCATTAGCGAAGGAAATAGCTCAGCTGCTCAAATACGATTGTTTGTTCAAACACGACTGGAAACTATTTCTATCCTACTCAAGCAGATGTCGCTCGAGTTTTCGCAGGCTTCGAGCCAGACAATAAATCATATTGATCGAATAAAGGCGATAATAGCCACAGTGGGTACGCAAGATGTATATGGATGCTCAAATATGTAATGAATAGTCTGAAAGCAAGGAGGAAAGGGCAAAGAAGGAGCGAGAGGTTAAAATGTTACTACTTCAGATAAATAGGCTTTCCCGAGGTTTGTTCGGGGAGTTGAGTAGATTTGAAAAGTCGATCGAGGACGCATTACTAAAATCACAAGGGGTTTTACGTGATCTTCACGGATTAGAAATCGAGAACACCTGCCTGCGTCATTCACTTGACAACTGTAAATCTTTTACGTGTGTACAGCGGAAGCAGCGTTACTTTTAGAACACCTCAGTATGATCGTGTGATTAGTGACACGCATCCTGTTGAACTGACAAAAGAGGACGGTGATAAAACACTCTTCGAAAAGCAAGCTGAAGAGTTAAAGCATGAGTTGAACGAACGAAAACGGTAAGAATGACTGACCTCTTGGTTGATTGTAGCATAAAGAACGAACTCGAAGAAGCCAAGCAGCTGAAGAGACAGCGCGTTCTTGCCTCGATGCATCTGAAGCACATGGCTCAGAACGTAGTGACTCCGCAGTTAAAGAAGCTGGAGGAGGTACGATGTTTCGTTTGCTTATAATAGAAAGTCATTCAAAAGCATCACAGAGAGCTATAACAGAATTCTACAGGGGGAAGAGGAAGAAAAGGAGAGTGAGAAGGATCAAGATGCTATCAAAGGAAAGTGGAAAGAAGAGGTGAAGGACAAGGATAAGGCGAGTAGTAAAGATAAGCCAAAAGAGGGACAAAAGAAGTAGATCCCAAAGAACGAAGGAGTAAAGTATATTTGTGTGTGTGTGTGCTTGTTTGTTTGTTAAAGGAACTCTAGGATGTCCGAATTTGATGAAGTTGTGCCTACATTCATTCTTACGGAAAGTATCCACGATTTGTGCTCCAGACAGATTGCTCGGGCAATCAAGAAAAACCAATGGCTAAAGGAAGAAGACTCGGTGATGGTTTGAATACAAGTGTCAAATAACGAAATAGGACTTTGGTTGTGGAATTGGTTCGTTTTCCTACATTCTGTTGGAAGAAATTGGATACAAGAGCTGCCTTGGGGTTGATTCTTCTGAAAAGATGGTTGCTCGATATAACAAAACCGTTCTCCCTCATGGAGTGATTGAATCCTAGGCAAAGGAGAACCACTGGGATGACAAGATGAAGGCAATCTGTAAGTTCATCGAGAACCCAGGTTCGAGTTCTTCAAAAGTGTCATGTAGATGAGCTGAATGGTGAGAAATTCGATGTAATTGTTTCACTCAAAACGTTCCACCATATCCCCAACCCTGTTGAGACGATAACTCTTCTGGTACTACTTATAGAACCGTTTGTTTAGACATAGAAATCCTATCTCAAACCACAGGGTCGTTTAATCATCGCAGACTTGAAATTAGACGCGTTTGGTTCATTGTGGTTGTTGCTTACATAGTCATTCTCCCATCTATCACCGATCCGTTGCGGAACCGCCCGTTTGTCATGGCTTTACCCAGGAGACAATGAGAGAGTATATGGAGAAGGCAGGATTCAAGGTGGACGTGGAGACGGTCAATGTAGTCCATTTCCTGGAATGCCTCGATCACGAGGCAGCCAAAGTGGAATACGATGCTCTGCCGCCATTTGAGGGCCGAGTCGACCGAATGGATCTTGACAAACTACCTCCGATGATTCATTTGGGTCCCAAGTATTTTGAAAAGGATGTGTTTCCTTTCATTGTTGCTTGTGGAACGCTGGCTTGATTGTTTTCTGTTTGTTGGAACAAACAATTGAATCGATGCTCATGGACACATCACTCGAACTATTCGAGTTATCAAAGTTGATCGATTCCTTCCAGTCACTTGATTGCATGGCTCCATTCTCGCTCCGAACGCCAGCAGAACTTGGGATATTGGAGGTGAGTCGAGGGCTGCAAGCAGGATTCCCATTTCCCTGTTTCGACGCTAAATAGTTGCGAACCGCCGGATCATTTGGGGACTCAGCAAGCAGGAAATCCACTAGACTCCACAGCTCGTCAGCATCCACCAGCGAAGTGTTTTCTCGGTCCATTTCATCATTCATTCCTTCGCTTCGCCCCGCCATTTCCGCTGCGATCTCTTCTATTCTTGCCAACGCTTGTCTGCTGTCTTTGAACTGCGATAACGAGCGGGGATTCTGCAGATCGCGATAGCGCTGTACCACGATGCGCAAAATCTCCATTCCTTCCGGAGAAAACAAGCTCCAGTCGTTCGCCTTCCTCGCCCGTCTGACCCAATTCACAAGATTCTCGCGGGTTTCGATTCCTTCGCGCAGTTGTAACTGACAGAGACGAAGTAAGCACACTCGCGATTCCTTTTCATCGAATTCCAAGCATCGCTGGCCTCGTTGAAAGGCATCCATTGCCTTCTTCGTCTCGTTCCTCGCAGAAAAAAAATCTCCCAACGCTAGCCATCCGCGCGGAAACTGCTGTCTAGAAAGGAAAGCGTTCCATTGAAACGAACTGGATCGAGAGTGTTCGCATAAAGAAATAGTACGCCATCTGATCGTTGATATCCTGCGAATAGGCCTGCGCCAGCGCGAAAAAGCCGCGGTAATCCGTCTGATTGATCTGGGTCGCTTTCATGTAGCACGCGATCGCTTCTTTGAGCATTTGCAACGCTCTGTACTCATGGCCTAGAAGAAGCCAGGCATCATAACACTCTGGCGAACGCTCCAGCATTTGAGTGAAGCAGAGGACGGATTTTTTGTGTTGACCAACGAGACTCCAATAGGATCCTTCGACGAGTGGCTGCGAAGGCGTGTGCTCGAGCTGACGACTGAGTTGGAGCAGGGCTTCTGCGTCCTCTCGAATGAAGAAAAGGTTGCAGAGGAGGAATTCGAAGGGAGATCGATCGTGTGTGGAGTGAATGGAGTGGAGTTCGACAGACTGGAGAGTGGCAAGAGCTTCATCGAATTCTAGAAGAAACTAGAGAAAAGGATAGAGCGAGTACGTGAGTGATTGTATTGGTATTGTGCAAGTTGGATTCGAAGGAAAGTGGAAGTGGGAAAGAAAGAGGAGAGAGTGGTGAAAAGGAGTTTGGGTGTTTGTGACTACAAAAATGATAAAAGATAGGGAGGACGGGGCACCTGCAAGAGATGATTCGTTGCATAGAGCTGGAAGAAGTTTTTGAGGATGCAGCGAAGCGGAGGCGTGATCGATGAGACAGAGTTCTCTGTGTTGTTTAGAAAAAGAGCCGACAATTCCAGCCAACAGCTCCAAAAGTAGGGGAACTGCTGAACAGAGGAGAGAAATGCGGATTTACAGCGTGAATCATGCTTTAATTTCCAAAGGAGACCGAGATTGTAAAGACAGAACGAATCGAAGGGAGGATGGAAAGAACGACGAATTAGCTCCGATTCGATGCGATCGCGTACTGGAAGAGTGCAGTTCATTTTCAGAATGGCACTTGATGCGAAGAATAACTCCTTGGAAGAGAAGGATGTGAGATCAAGCGTGTCAAAGTAGCCGAGAATGGCAGAATAGTTCTCATTCCGATACAGTAACGAAATACGGAGTTCTTGAAAGGATGGAGTTGCTAGGTGACATGCGATCCATTGCAATACCATCATCAACAAATGGGTTCGAAAGAGGGTCAAATTCCAGCAAGTCAATTCTGGACGGATCTGCGGCCTGGATTAAGTCCATTAGCCTAGGATCTGAATATTGCATATTTAGACATACCACAGTGCATCATCGGTCTGTCCATAGTCTTCTAAAATAGAAACAGCGCGAGTAAGCTCCTCCGAAAAAGACATGAACAAACGAGCGTAATAGATTCAACTTTTTAATATCTGACCTCTGTGGTCTTATATCCCGATCAACGAGATGTCGAAAAATTACAAAATGATTAATAACATTGATACAATCGCGCAGATATCTCTCCAATACTCAAGGAAGATGAAGAGGATGTTCTGGGAGTCCAGCACCTTGACGTCTTCCATAAAGCATTGGTTTGAGAGAATCTCTCCATCTATATTGTATCGGACTGTTATTAAGGGATGAAGGAATAGACTCTTTCGTGAGCAAATACGAGTTTTAAGTGTATATAGTGGTTCTCCGGAGAACGATCAAACCATTATCTCTATCTTAACCAAACACTTGAATCGATATCGGTATGAGCATTGGCGTAGTCAATAAATGTCTAGGTATGTGATTGTGGAGCCAGGCGATCCGGGAGCGTTTGAGGTTGATGGTTGCTGTTGAGCCTGACTGGATAGAGCGAGTTTTCGAGGCAACGCAAGAGTTCCTCGTGTGTGGTAGAACTTTCCCCATACCCTCATTTTCTCACCTTTGAAACATTCGAAAAGTTCGACCTGATTTTCCTTTTTGACGTCCCCATCAATTCCAACGCTTGCGAGTCCGTTATTCGCAAGGGCAAGTCTTTACTTCGCGTTGGCGGGCAAATCTGTCTATTTAGCGCTGTTTCCGCTCCTTTCCTCCTCCATTCTAGCAAGACACCAATCTTCTCGAACTCATTCGTCTGCTCCAAGGCTCGGACGACTCTTCCAGCTTCGCCGCTTCCTTTCTCCCCTCCAAACAGGACGCGATTTCCGTGGGGAAGGACTCCGAATCGGACCAAAGCCCGACGCCATGCGACGAAGCCCTCACGGCGGAATCTCCAGCGGTCGAGGTAGCGGAGCAAGCGCCGCCGGTGCCTCGGAAAGAAGCGATGGAGCAACGCCGGTATGAGGGCTATCTGACGAGCGATTCCTTCGTGCGTCTGGTGCTCACCGACTTCGAAGTGCGTAGTTTTGTGCGGTCCGAACGTAGCTGTGCTTCAAAACGACGCTGCTGGAAGCGGAAATGGACATCGCGGAGTGTTTTCGGCGGTCGCGAGACGGACTGATGCTGCTCTCTGGGCTGATGAAGATCGACTTAACCGGAGCGATGGACTCGCTGGTGAGCGAGGTAGGCGTGCGTGGAGACTGGCGAGCAGATCCTCGACTTTCTCTCGCTGAAAACCAAGCCGGGCACCACGCGGATCCCCTACAATTTCTCCATCTATACGATCTATTCCGACTTGATCGGTAGTCTGCTCGCGCTGGCTTTCATCTAGCCGAAGTCATTCATCGAAGCCCCAATCCCACGCCCACGCCGTGGTTCCCCGAAGGAGAGACGGGGCGCTTCGTCAATGTCGGGGAGGAGCGGTGGAAGAAGAGTTTGGAGGAGTGGCGAGCGGCGGAGAACGAAGAGCCGTAGCGAAGAGAAAGGCTTGCGATGTGTAGGGTCAAAAAGATGAGTACCAGCTCCATTGAGGGGGTTGTGGAGACGATCGCGGATGACACGTTGCGGAGAAATAAACTTCCTGAGCCGGTTAATTTGGATGAGGTGAGGAGAGGGGCGATGATGCCAGGTAGTTGCTGCCTTTGTGTGACGAGACATGGAAGTATCAAGGAAATCGCTGAGAGATTTGAAAGGTTTGTGGAGTGGTGGAAGAAGAAGAAGAAGTGTTTGTTATAGTAATAATAATAATGATCATTGTTCTGCTAGTTACTGCGATTACCTCCCTACTTGTGTTGGGAGTGCTAATCTACACAATTCGGAAGTATATGGGCTCTACAACGGTGGATGTAGGTCACTTTGATTTTCCATCATGGAAAGGAAACGAACGAGGATACAGAGGCGCTGCTCAAGAAGTAAGTCGCGAAGAAGGAAGGATTAGTGATAGGGAGGAAAAAAGAGGGATTGGAACGAATGAATTATCTATCTCCGAGACAAAGACGATTGTACCTATATTAACCAAGTCAGAAATGGAGGCGGACACTGTGGTGACAATGGTGAGTCAATCGAATTAAACTGAGGTATAGCCGATGAATAAGAAGGAGATCGAGTTGTTGAGTGACGAAGAATTGTTGCAAGATATCGGAGAGGATAGTGAGGATGATGAATAGATTGTATTACATATTATTTGTGAGACGTGTTAATTTCTCTTATATTCGATTTGTTGGTTTGTTTGTTGTAGTAAGGGAGTTGTGGATGGGTCCGAATGGGTCCGAATGGGTCCGAATGGGTCTGAATGGGTCTGAATGGGTCTGAATGGGTCTGAATGGGTCCGAATGGGTGGAAATAGAGTCGCACTAAAAAGGACAAGGTACCAAAGTTGCGGAGGAGGAGGAGTTAGAGACATGTGTGAAATGAATGACAACCCAGCGAATCTTTCATTTCCTTTGATTATCAAATAAAATGATCAAATCATGCATTCAAATTAGAGTGAGTACACGCCGTAAAATCGAGTTGGTACAAAACTGTAAGAAGAAGAATGCAATCTGTGTTGTTCCTATTCCACATTCTGCGGCTGTAGAAAATCATCTTCCCAATTCCCAATCAGTCCTAAAACAGTACATATATTTATATCTAAATAGCAAGTTTTGCCCATTCTCTTCAAAAAAGTCTATTGTTTGATTGTTACGTTTGCCGATGCTTGCCCCTCTAAAAACTGCGGTGGTTGCATCTCCAATAATCGGTCTTGCTGCACTGAATGGCATTTTTGGGTAGACTGTGGACTCTTCGTTTTTCCGTCTAGATACCGTTGCCGTCAGTATATGGGAAAGGATCGACCCAAGGAAATTGCAAATAGGATCGATCCACGGATTTGTTCGTCAGAAGAGGAAAGTTTGCTTTTGAAGAGTGTTAGGTAATTGCGTGAGCGCCTCGGTAACTAAAAGAGCGGCCGATATTTTTGCTGTTCGATGGGCGATGAAGTACTTGCTCCACGTCCGGAATCGAGTCCACCACTATAACTTACTACGTCTATTTAGCGCGATCGATCGTCCCAAAGGGGTTGGTCTTCTCACAGTTTGTAATCACGTTTCGACTTTGGACAGCGCATCGATTGTTCCGTCTATCATCCCGCTCCGTTCTCCTCTATCTACCCTCTAACTCGCAGGCAACATGCTAACAAGTCGTAATTGCGGGTTTTGGAACCTCGCTGCAGAGGAGATTATGTTCTGCACTCCCCTAAAGAACATGATCAGCAGCCTCGTGAAAGTACTCTCTACGCCCATTTCACACAGAGGTCATGCCCATCGATCGGAATGGCGGTGTATTTCAGCCCGCGCTTTCCGACTTCACAGAACGAGTTACCCGCGGGGATTGGGTGCATATGTTCCCAGAGGGCCGTACCTATCAAGACCAGCTGAAGAGTTGCCGCGATTCTTTGGGCCGCCGCGTTCGAAAGAGCGGGAGAGCGGCGCCTCCGGGCCGCGACTTGGGACCGATGAAATGGGGAGTGGGGAAGGTGATTTTTGACGCGATAACGAAGAATTCCCGCGGTGACGAGGCGTTTGGGTTTGCGAACGGAGTGAACGGTGGGAAGCTGATCGTGCTCCCGTATTACCATCTGAACATGGAGCGGATTTTGCCGGAGGACGAGGATTTGAAGCTGATTAGCAATTTTCCGCGGACAGGAGCGGACGTTTATTGCATGATCGGGGAGCCGGTCGATTTTTCGGATCTTGTTTGTGTGTTTTATAAACGAATTGGGGAAATGGAAGAAGGGGAGGAGAAGAGGAAGGTGCAGTATGAGTGCTATAAGGCCATTACTGATCGTCTGGAACAGGTAGGGATTGGAGGATGGGGCTCGATGGAAAGGAGATGGAGAGAGTGGAGTATGCGTTGAAGGATTTACGCAAGAGGGAAGTGTATGTTTAGTTACAATTTGTCTGTTTGATAAACCAAATGTATGTGCTTGTGGTGTGTTTGTGATGCAGGTCTGGAAAGGTGTCGTTTAAAATCACGCTGACCTCAGATCCCAAGCTTCCCTATAAAATGTTCGATTGCAATTTGGTTCGCTCAGAATTATAGAATCAGCATTCCTGAATCAGCTCCTTTTTTGGCTGTATTGAAATTCGCTGCTCAGCAAGTACAGTAGCTATTTGGCCTCGATGTGTAGTTTGGAGTGCAAGCTGCGACGAGTGCAATTATTACAAATGGCAAGATATTCATTGTGTTGTTGAATGGATAGATGGCTCAGGGATCAATCCGCAGCAGACTGCAGGGACTGTATTTCTGAAGTATGGATCGGAATTACGTCTCATTCCGCGTGATCGTGTAGGTGGGTTGTGAAATGTTTGTTAAAATCGATAATCCGTGCTATAATTGTGAATGGCCGTGCTATTCTTACAAAGAGTGGCTGTGAGTAAACGCAGTTGATTGACTTACTTGCTTTTTTGCATTGTGGGTTAAGAAATAGAAGTGAAGTTTTCTATTGTAGGGAGAAATGACAATAACAAATGAACAACCCATTCAACATCTTAAAAAAAAGAAAAAGTCATCAAACAAACAAACCCATTAGAAATAGTGATTTCTATCCAAAATGATAGAGTTCACATCATCACTGTACTCAAAGGGAGAGTTAACACACATCGCCGCATACTCTGGGTCGATTTCTCTTTCACACTACACATCACGCCACATTTCAATTCCTGCTTTTTTCCACTGATCCATTTTACTGCTAGTCTCCTTAAACAAGTCCACTTCCTTCAACACATCGTTTTTATCTTCATAGAGTTTTTCTAAAAAGGCGACTGGGTTGCTTGGAACGAGCACTTCAACGCCGAGATACTTCATTTTCTTCAAGGGAAGCAAGTAATCCACGATTTCCTCGGGCTCAAAGTGGCGAACAACGACTCCGATGGGAACTTCGACTGTGTTATCCACGAGGTTCACCCCGAAACACACTTGATTGTCCTCTTCATTGCGCAGAATATCGAGGCCGTATTGAGAGAGTTCTTTCAGCGTGTTTTGGTCTGTGGATCAAATGGGGGAAAAGGGGAAACTGCTGAGATCAAAGTAGTCGCATCGCTTGTTCGTTTGTGGGTTCTGAAGAGCATGTGCAATGAAGGAAATTAATAAAAAAAGAAGGGTGAGAGAGAGAGAGAGAGGATCACTGAATGAAATATGGAAAAGGATCAACGACAAACAATGAATGAATGTATTTCAAGGCAATGAATGAATCAATAAATTAAACCAAAAACTATCACGCAAAACATGCAATCCTTCAAACACCCACACATTCATTCCCATATTCATTCATTCCTTCCCTCTCTTCTTCTTCTTCACATAAAAATGGATATGCAACTGAATATTATCCGCCCACGGAAAAGGCATTCCCAGCAAAACCGCCGCCATCAAATCATCTTCCCTTCATTCCCCCTTCCACCTCCCACCATCCATCAAAAACGCCGGAATCCCGCTGTGCCGCAAGATCGAAGAGCTCGCCATCATCATTTCCCGTTGCTCATGATAATAACTCGCAGGATGATAGGTATAGCTGAGCTATTCGTCACTCCTCCTCCCGATCCGCACATCGAACAACTCATAAACCGGCTCGGGAAGATACGCTTTCGTCCCGTCCGGATAGACGACGCATCCCACATGGAACTTCGCAGCGAACGCCCTACTTTGAACCACCACGACACACGCCTCACTTCTTGCTCAGCTCGTCCAGCCTCGCAATCGGCTGCGAAAACACGTTGCAACTGTCGATGTCCTCCTCTCGCGAGGGCGAATACGCCTCAATCGAGTTGAACCGAAGAATACTCCCAGGGCAGAATCCGACCTTGATTTCGAACGATTTCAACTGCAGATAGAACGCCTCCACAGCCAGCGTGAGCGGCAATCGCTCGCTCGGCCACAGCTGCTTGAGCGTTTCTTTGTTCGTCATCAAATACGGGGCTCCTCGCTCACAGAGCAACTGGTTACCCGCGAAAACGCCCGCATATCCACGCCGAATTCGCAGCTCGTGGGAGTGATAGCGATACTGCAACTCAGCGACCCGTTCAAGCGCTACATCGAAACACTGACCGATCAATTCGTTGGTAGCCGCGTTTTCGAGCATGGGAGAGACCACGCGGACTTGACGGGAATCCAACATCGACTTCATGCGAGGGAGATTGGTGTTATGAGTGAACTCCACGGAGGCGTCCACAAGAAAGACATAGCGCGTTTTGACATTGGCGAGGCCTCTACGACAAATCAGTCCTTCTGACCCACTCCATAATCTTTGAGGACCCTTGAAGATCGTTAGGCTAAGCATGAGACGTAGTAGCATTCACTCCCACTCCATCCAAATAGACCTTCTCCACAGGATACCAGCGATTCAATCTGCACGGAAGGAAGCAAAACGAAGTACATGTCGATTGACTCAGATGGATATTTGGTTCGCATTGTACAGTTTCCACACACAATGAGGATTGTGATATCCGTATTCATATCGGACTTGTCGATAGGCCAAATTCATTCCTACTTTTTGGGGCGGATTCTTCTTCACATCTTCCTCTTGAAAACCCGGAGAATTCGACCAATCAAATACGGACTAGCTTCAAATGCATCCATCACAAATACAGGATTCAAAGACTCTGACGTATTCTTCTCCAGAAAGCGATGACCATGCAGTGGAACAGAAACTGTAGTAGTAGCAGCAGTAGTGCTTTTATCGATTAAATACTGATCAGTAACCCCCAAAAAAAGACCATTACTCCCGATGATGCACATATAGAGAGCTCATTTTTCGCAGAAGCCAATATTTTCTCGGTACGTTGTTGCGTTCTTTGAGCGCTTGACAATCTCCTTTCCTAAAAACAAGCAGACCCTAATTGCAAACAAGTTCGGCGATTTCACTCTTAAGGTCGAGTATCTACTTGTCACAGATAAAGGGCGTGTCAACCTCTTTTTCTCGTTCAAACAGAGATAGTTCCAGTGACTCAATCTCACTGTATGCCTAAAATTGCAATTGACGTGAAAAGTTACCACAGCACCATCGGGAACGAACTCTGAGCTGTGTCTTTCATATTTGTGTATAGAAAGAGTCAACGAATTCTCATCATCATCATTAATCAGCTACCACATACCACTACAAACAGCAGGACCGCATTGATCCCGAAGCAAAGAATAACAACTAAGAAGCTAAATAATTGTTTTTCCATCAAACAAATAAAAATTGTTAATACTTCCTCAGAAACGCCAATTCTCGAGGGTATTAGGGACTGGTTTAATTGGTTTCATATCCAGGGCAGTCAGGAGTAGAAGGCAGAGGATAAGGTCCAGTGATATCATTGTTGAAGGCACCATTCACCTCCCAATTCCAGTTGAAACGGCACTGAGCAGCATCCTTCACATCATTCATATCGTAGTAGTAAGTTCTGGTCATCGTCTGAGACTGGAAAGCGTTGTCATCCACGCAGAACACAGGATACTTGATCATTGTTTCTTGAGCCTCAATGGTCACACCAGTTGCAGAAGGAGAGCAAGCACCCTTCAACTCCTCAGCGAATCCAGCAGCTCCCTGCAAGTTGTATCCGTTCATGTTCAGGTTAATGTAACGCAGCTTAGGGAAATAAGTCTTCTCAGAGCACATGCTCTTGAGATAGGCCACAATATCTCTAGTAAGATTCGCGGCATAACCAGGCTTCTGACCCTCCATCAGATAATCGTAAGTAGCAATGTAGTTCTTCACAACATAGAACTCCTCCAGGTTCAGGAACCACTTCTTATCCTTGTAAAGGTCCATAAACTGGAGCACGCTGAGGAATCCCTCACGGTACAGAGTTCCATCACCAATGAACAGAATACGAGGATGAGTGAACTTCGCAAGCTCCAAGTGCAGCAGAGCAAGCTCAGTACTGATCGTACGACCCTTAATAGGATCATGCATGATGTAGAAATCAATAGGAGCAACATTCATAACCTGCTTTTCCAGAGACTCCTTCCACAGCTGAATATTAATCTTATCCACTCCGGAAAGATCAATCACACGAGTATGAGCCAAAGCCTTCGTAGGATAAGCATCACGAATAGCCAGGTACAAGCCAGTCACGTTGGTCTCAGGAATAATCTCCTGCTTGCAAACATCAGGAGTCACATAGTTGCAGTTATCTCCCAGAATGAAAGGATCGTAGATAGGGAACCAAGGCTCGGGAGTAGGAGTAGGAGTCGGGGTCGGAGTAGGAGTAGGCGTAGGAGTAGGAGTGGGGGTAGGCGTAGGAGTAGGCGTAGGAGTCGGGGTAGGAGTAGGAGTAGGAGTGGGCGTGGGAGTAGGCGTAGGGGTAGGAGTGGGAGTAGGAGTCGGGGTAGGAGTAGGAGTAGGAGTAGGAGTCGGCGTGGGAGTAGGAGTAGGAGTAGGAGTAGGAGTGGGAGTAGGAGGAACAGTGGGAGGCTCAGGAGTAGGAAGAAGCTCGCTCACAATCGGACGAATAGCGAATCCAGCAATACCAGCAATATTCGCATCAGCCTCAGTCTCACGAATCGGCAAACGGAACACGAACGAATCGCAAGCACGAAGTCTAGCCTCAATAGCGAAGAAAGGCCACTCAGCAAACTCAGGCTCACCATCCACAGCATACTGCTTGTACTCCACCACAACACCATACACAGAAGGTCTCCAATAAGCGGTATCGAAATAAGGACCCTCCTCACGATCATTACGGTAGTACTGGAAGAACTCAGGATCCAGACCCAGAGTCACAGCAGTAGGTCCCTTCATCACCAGGTCCATCAAACCCCACTTGTTGTAAGTAGAAGGCTTCTCATATCCAGCAATGTGATACTTGTTAATATCCTCAATTTCGCTCTCTCTGCACACACTAGCCTCATAGTTGGTGTGTCTGTAGAATTGACGATAAGCAATACCATTATCAAACACATAATCAAATCCCCAAGCAATAGGAAGACCCTCGCAAGTATCAGTCACTCCGTGCTCCTTACCAACGCAATCAATCAACTCCTGAGCAGAAAGAGCCACCTCCACAATCTGATCGTACTCCTCGAAGTACAGCTTCTTAATAGCGTACTCAATCGAAGTACTCACAGCGAAAGCCCAAGTCACAGAGCAGTTCTGAGGCTTGCAAATGTACTCTCTCAGAGTCGTCTGGTCAGCCAAACGACGAGTAACCTCGGGAGCATCGAAAGTGTAAACCTCATCACAAGGATCCAGAGAAGGCATCAGATAACGGAGATTCGAATTGTTGTGAACAGGGGTTCTAGCAGGAACAGGAGTCTGAATACCAGAGTAACGCTGCTTGGTCGTCGTAATCTCCTCGAACTCATCAGGATGCCAATCAGCATAGAAAGTGAACTCCATCACATACTTGTCACGAGTGTTCCAGTCATGGATCTTCTCGCAAGAATCCTGGAAGTACTCCAGACGCTTCTTGAACTCAGCAGACGTCTTATCACGAGAAGTGCACTTCATGGAATAGTCCCACTTCTCCAGATACTTCAAATAACCATCCTCAGTGCAAGGGAAATCGTCCTTCTCGTTGGTAGGATCAGTGGGGTAAGCAGGCTTGCCAGTAAGAGGCTTGCTCTTATCGAGGTCAGGCTTCGTGTGGCTGTCGGGGACACTAGTCCAGCTCTCAGTCACATAGTCCAACTTCAGGAACACGCTGTTGACGTTGGAAGCATCAAGATCATAGTTCTTGTTAAAAGTCAGATACTTCACATTCACCACAGCAGGAGCTCTGCACTTAATATAATAGTATCCAGGGTTCAGACAATAAGCAGCAGCATAAGTCAGCTTCTCAATCAATACAGTACCATCAGGCTTGTAGGAAGCATCAGAAAGACGCACCTCACAACGCTCCTCACCTTCCAGTTTCGTAAAAGTCACAGACATAAAACCTTCACCACACTCAGAACCTAAAATCACAAAGAAACAAAAACACTACTCTGAGCAACAACAGCTAAGACCAGCTGAGTAATAAGCACAGCACACAGAAAAGACTTCATAACACTGTGGAAAACTAATTTATGTGGTATAAACTAACAAAGCTCTTAATTAAATATACTGTTATTTGATTGGTTTATTACCATATCTAAACGTTCTCATAAATAGCAAAGGAAATTGGCAGAACCGTTATATTGCTAAGAAGAAATGAATGACTAAATACCTCTGATTTCTATGAGTATATGAAAGAGGTTATTTGGTAGTTTGAAGTTGAGAAGTGTTAGTAATTGATGTTTAATTAGCCCATTCATCTATCATTCTTATCGTATACTAGTTTGTTCACAGTTCGAGTAGTAGTGCTATTTCTCGAAGTAGAAGGTGCTTAAGTAGAAGTGTGTCTAAAACAGTAAATATGAATGATGGTGAGAACGATTTATACAATAGAGTAATGGTTATAAACTTTTAACCAAAGTTTTCTAATTCCTTTTGTATATAACTGGAATAGACTATTTGAAATAGAATTTAAATAATAGAATAGAAAAGAAAGGAAAAGGGTGGGTAGGGAAGATATCTATTTGACTTGATATTCTTAAAGACTATTCGAAATGATGTTTCAATGATGATATATATATGGAAAGAGAGATTAAAACACAAAGCATATATTTGAAATACTATTTGAGAAAAACCCGAACTATGATGATAATAGTATATAAAAAAGATATATTTAGTAATTGTGTATTGCGCGAAAACTTTTGGCCGCCTTTTTCGCCCCAAAATTGCCACTTTACCCGTCAGCCTGGTCGGTCATGCTAAACCGCCTCTCTGCCCCTCGCTTCCATAAATCCGAGTCACCCCTAACGCCTCACGTCGACAGGGATCATAGTTTTGCGCAAAACCACGCCAGTTACCAACTACTATGGTAAATAGAGTAAGCCATTCACTACTCCATGTTCATCCAAGGCTTATCTAGTAATGGCACGTTCAAATGGATCAACCCCGTACAAATATCGGAACCCCTACATCACTTCCATGATTGCCTTGGTCAGATCAAACCCTGTCATGTTCAACAATGTGGATTCTATGAATGTGGTCACCAACTCGAATGACAAGGAGCTAACGATTCCTCCTGGATACTACACGATCGGTCAAATCATTGCCATCCTCAACATCATGATCGATACTATGTTCTCGATATCTACGAAGGCTTCGAGTTATATGTGTATTTATATCCAGTCCACAAACACCATTGACTTCACCAATGCTCCGGATATTCGAGAATTTTTCAGTTTGGAAGGACGAACGGTCATTCTACACACTTCGTTCTATGGATCGAACGTGATTGATATCACGCGAAATCGACAAGTGATCCAAGTCTACTCGTCTTTCGTGTATTCCTCCGATCTGAAGATTGCCAACCAGAACAACAATCTGCTCACCACAATGATCATTGATGATCCCGAGGTTAATTACCTCCGCACCGTGGAAGACATCTGCATTCCGATGATAACCCGATTCGACCGATTGATGTTCCTGTTCCTCGATATGGATGGTAATATCATGCGATTGAACGGCGAATTCGAACTCCAATTGACGATCGAAGATGTGTTTGATCAAGTGTCTTCCTCAATTCTACCGATGAACCAGTTCAGTGTGATTGAAGTATTTGGACATAATAGAGCAAGAAGGAGATGAAATTGGATAATCCTCTATCATTCGATAAGTGTTACATATCACTTGTATCATTCTGTACCGATTTCACATTCCATAATGTACCATCTGATCAAGTAGTTGTGATTAATGGAGATAGAACAGATGAAATTGTAATATCGATTTCATGAGGTACATATGATATCGAAACGATCATCACAATGTTGAATGCGAGTGATGCTCTATTTGAAATAGTGTATAGTGGGGAAAATGCATTTCGAGTCTATAACCAGTTTGTGATTCTTTCTCTGACACAACTTATTCATTCCTTGAATAAAGTGATTCATTTATCGAGGTGTGTGGGGAGCATGAATGAGATCAAGGAACTATGGAAACCAGCAAAATGAAGAGGTGCAACTCGAATGATCATTATTGGGTTCAAACGAAACATATACTTCATCGATCTTATCGATTTCTCTTCCAAACAACACAAATCGATACAGGAAGTGTTAGGAAGACAAAAGAGTACAGGATTCTACAAGAATCGTGGATACAAATATGTCCTTGTATGTATTGATGGATATTCGAAATACCTGATGACTCGGAAACTGAAGAGCCAGAGTGCTACAGAAGTCACTCATGCGATGAAGGATATCCTTCAGACATATGGTGAATCACCAAAGCATATTTGCTCGGATCGAGGTACCGAGTTCACCAGTGCCATCTTTCGTACCAACATCTTGGACAAGTATGATATCACCATGTATCACATGGATTCAGCGAATAGGGCAGTACTAGCCGAACGAGTAATTCGAGATATCAAGGAACACATCATGGTTCCTTCATTCCATTCAATCAATCAATGGAAAGGTGTATGGTTCGACTTGATCGATGGTACAGTTCGTAGACACAATGGAAGGAAGAACAGAGACATCGGATATACACCCAATGACATTTGGCTTAACAACAACAACAACGATATCTTGTACATGGAGAAAACAGAACCATCCAACATGACAGTAAAGGACACAACACCTCAATTCGATGTTGGTGATTATGTTTGAGTGGCACGAAGACCTCGCATTCTGGAAAAGCGATCATTGACGATCAAATGGTCTCAGGACTTGGTTGAAGTTGTTGACATTGACGATCACATCATGCCATTGATGTACGAAGTGAAGAATGTGGAAAGCGATAGCACACAGAAGTGTTATGATTGGGAACTGCTGGCAAGCAAATGCAAACCACAACCAGCACCGCCTGTCACTCGATCCAAGAGTGGTAAGGAAACCCAATGCATTGAGAGAGGCAGCAAGATCACATCGACCCATTACGAGGAGCCAGAAGAAGAAACAACAACCTGGCCCAAGTGTTCGAAAACGATTGTGATGCTCTTCACACCTACCAGACATACAAGAGAAGGGATATTTGTGAATAAAGAGATCATATGACTCTCACTTGTCCATTCTATTCCATTTATCAGTTTGGTATGGGAAAGGGTCACAAGATTGTTGAGTGTATCGATGAATGGCATATCGAGCAATCACACACCATCCATTGAAACATTCACCTTGTATCCCTTATCCACAACCGATTCGATGGAATCACAATGTTTGAATAGGGCATCATTCTCATTGTAACATGGAATCGATGCGATTATGAGATATAAAGCAGAAGATAATTGGAATTGGCATTGATTATTGAATGGTTGAGTAAATGCGTGTGTATATTCAAACATTATGGCATTATTGACTTTCACAAAACACCCAGAATGTATCGTTCATGAATATTGAGGAACGCCATCCACTGTCTCACGAATGAGGACATGTTTGCCGTCGTTTTCGGGCATATTGATGAGCATGTTATCGAGCTTCTTGAACGTGTAATTGTTTCCATTGCTACTGAAGATGTATGACATTGATTCATTCAATTTACTTTTGTTGATTTCGTTCATAGGGTTTGACATACACACCCTTGAGACATGCGCTATCATCGATGAACAAATCAGACAACTCGGGAGGAGGTTTATCATTCACGACCTTATAGACCACGCGAACATAGTAGTTCGAGAAGAAATAGATGGCACGATTCTTGGTCATTACGCCGATAATATGAGGAGGCAGTAAAACATTCCTAAAAAACACATTCAGAGGTACACCGAGCAGACCATTGGATTCCAATTGAGGCAATAGATACTCCCATTCATCCTCGGTAAACATGGGCGGACGAGTTTCATCCAGAGTCATCTCGATGCAATCATAGTCGTGCAGGATCAAACCACAGTTCACATTTGCTTGCGGGGTGCGAACACTGAATCCGAATAGTCGCTCGGAATTGGCCGGATACTTGGTATGGATGATGATATCGGCGAGTTCGATATTCTCGTCCTCCCAAGTGCGTATCAGGGAAGACCATGTGTTGTTCTCTGGTTTCTAGTATTTCAATTAATCAAAGCGTGAACTCGGGTTAAAAGAGATAAATAGATATACATAAATAGAAAAATTAATACACACAATCACGCATTGAACCCCAATTCGGGACGAGAAATTCAAACAACGGAGTTTGCTTCTGGAACCTAATAAAGCATGGATTCAAGTACAGAGAGGAACTGAATCGCTTGTACGACACACCATTACCACTGAATACGACGAAGTACGTTCCCAAATCAAGAATGCTTTCTCCAGGCAATTGTTCATGATTATAGGACTTTCAGTATACTACGAGTTACTCCGTGACAATTATAGACCACGAGGCGGCAAGTGGGTGAAGATGAGCAAAGAAGAAGCCAAAGCGTACGATAGTGACACGGATATCAAGAAGATATTCGTGGACGACCAGGACGATGATTCGGACAACTCATCGTCCTACCCGGACGACATCGCTGAATTCGAGTACGACGAATATAGACATGCGATATTCCCATTCTAGGTCGGACATTCCAATAACCATTTTTTTAGTCACACTTTTTTTCACTTTGGGTTGAATGTATTTTATGCCTATATATAAATGGATACTCATCACGAAGAATATACTATCAACCCTGAGACTGGACGTAAGGCCAAGATTGGCGCTCAAACCTGGAAACGATTGGCAGCCAAGTACTACATGATTTATGGAAGTTCACAGACCATCTATTTTCTAATTCACGAGCGTGTGTGTTAAACAAGGTGTGGGATGAGAATACGAGGTCAATGAAGGTATCAAAGAAACCAAAACTTGTAACTCCTCGGAAACGAGTTGGTGATGCCAAAAAAGAGCGTAAGTATCTGATTGTGGGAAGCAAGGCATAGAACGAGCGATATCTCGAATATGAGTGGAATGGACATGAATTCGGTTAGAAGCGAAAACAACCGTTGCCTGAATTCATGAACACGGTCGAAAAGAGACGTCAAACACGACGAAACGTATTCTTCGCTATATTCGAT